GACATGGCAGATGTGGGCGACGCTGGCCATCGAGGGGATGTTCGCGCGTGAGTGCACCCCCCACCCCAAAACCGTCAGATGCGAAACACACACCACTAACCGCCTCCCAGTGCTATCGCGACAGGACCAGCTCCTCACCGTGGCATCGGGCCGCGCGCCGCCCAACTCGCCGCGCAAGCGCCTCCGCCTGCAAGGCGATGAGAACCTCCCCACCGTCGAAGTCCTGCTGCCCTGCTGCGGCGAGCCCGTCGAGGTGATCCTGGACACGATCCGCGCGGCGTGCACGCTGGACTACCCGGCGACCCGATTCCGGGTGCGCGTGCTGGACGACGGCGGGTCGGCGGCGCTGCGCTCCGCCGTCACGGAGCTGCAAGCCCGCTGGCCGCACCTGTCGTACCACTCGCGCGGCCGGCAGACGGGCCAGGTGTTCGCGAAAGCGGGCAACCTGAACTACGCGCTGCAGACGCTGCAGGCGAAGACGCGGCCGGAGTTCTGCGCGATCTTCGACGCGGACTCGATCGCGGCGCCGGAGTTCCTGCGCGCGACGCTGCCGCACCTGCTGGCGACGCCCGAGGCGGTGCTGGTCACCACGCGCCAGTACTTCTACAACCTGCCGCGCGGGGACCCGTTCTCGCAGTCGCGGCTGCACTTCTACACCTGCCAGAACACGGAGCTGGATCTGCAGCGGCGCGCGATCGACGCCGGGTCCGGGGCGCTGTTCCGGCGGCGCGCCATCGTCGACGCCGGCGGGTACCCGACCTACTCGTTCTCGGAGGACTGGCAGCTGTCGCTGGTGCTGCAGGGCCTGGGCCACGAGACGATCCAGGTGCAGGAGCCGCTGCAGTTCGGGCTCGTGCCGACCTCGCTGGCGGGCCACATCGCGCAGCAGAGCCGCTGGCACATCGGGCACACGCAGCAGACCCGCGTGCTGTGCGCCCCCACCAACGCGACCCTGTCCCGCGCCATGCAGTGGGGGATCGTGCTGAACGGGCTGGCCATCACCGGCCGGCTGGTCGCCTTGCTCGCGATCTTCGTGGCGGTGCCCGCTCTCCTCCTCACCGCGCAGCCCCTAATCCCCACCACCACCCACCTGCTCAAACCCCAGCTCATTCTGGCAACCGCCCACGTGACACTAAGCTGGCTCTTCGCCGCGCTGCAATCCGCGCACACAGACTTCCAAAGCGCCCCCTTCGCCCATCTGGAGAACACCTGGCTCGCCGGCCGTAAGTCCCCTTTACCCCAACCCCAACCTTTACCCACTCCCCCAACCCCACTAACACAAAACAGCACACCTCCTCTCCCTCCTGCGCTTCCACCTCATCTCCCCCGGCCCAAAGAAAGGCTCCTTCGTCACCGGCAGCACAACCAACACCTCTAACAGCCCCGCCGCGGCCGCCCCGACGCTCCTCCAGAACCTATCCCACAACCTCTGGGACAACGGCATCGGATTCAGCGCGCTGCTGCTCTGCGCGACGATCGCCGCATTCACCCTCGCCCTGTGGCGGGGTGTCTCCGACTCCCACCCCTGGCCATCAGCGCTGAAGACCCTGCTCACCGGCGCAGCCTTCCCGCCAATGCTGCACATCACCTTCCTGGTGACGGGCAGCCTCCTCGAGCCGGTGGTGCATCTGCTCGCGCCGCCGGTTTTCCCCGACCGGAACGCGGGGCTGGAGGTTTCGGGGAGCGGGGTGCGCCAGCCCTCGGCCGCGGTGCGGGCGGCGTGCGTGCAGCAGCGGAAGTCGATGCTGGGGTTTGTGGGGAGGATGGCGGTTGTGGGGGTCGGGTTGGCGGCGGTGGGGGTCGGGGTTTGGTGGTTGTAGACCGCACGATACTTAATTGGGGGTGGGAGGAGATTGGATATGTTGGAGGGGGGGGGGAAGGGGGAGGGGCAGGTTGCGTTAGTGGGTGGGTTTGGTTTATTTGGTAATTTGTAACTATGGGAATACTGTTTAATCGGCAATCAATAATTTCCGGGCTAGGAGGGTTCGGATGGGAATGTTGGCGGAAGCGGAAGTGAGCTGGAGGTTCGGGCGCGCGGGTGGACACTGCGATTTTGCTGCCTCGCAGTTACTTGAGATCATGACGCATTATGGAAATATGGTCAAGGGGGAGTGAGGATGAGGGTTTGCACGCTGGTTGCAAATTGCGGTACATCTTTTATGACTTAACCTTGTTCGAGGGACTAAACCGTTCTCCACTTGTAAGTTGTCAGAACAAATACAATGGAGGTATTGGATCTAATCCACTGTTGCATTTCATTATAAACAATTGGCTAAGAATAGTCCCAGCTAGTTCTTAACCAGTATAGATCACACCCTAGTACTACCTAGTACCTGTTGCTGTTATGGTCTAGGATCTCGATGCTATCCTGCCCATCAATGCAGCTCTATGTCCAGCATTACAAGCAAAGCCAACCAGAGCAACAGCATCAATCATCCAGCACCCTCTGGCACCCACCCACAACTCAAACCGCCCTCGAACCCCCTCACACCACAAGACAAGACGGCCTAAAGAATCTCTGGATCCCGAAACCGTCCCTTCTCCTCCCTCCACCGCCTCCCAAACACCACAATCCCCGCCATCCCCACCACCCCCAACACCGCCCCCCCCCCCCAAAACACTCGACCCCCTCCCCACCCCCAGATTCCGATACAAGGGCACCCCGTAATGGATTGACCCCGCCGCCAGCGCCGACCGACAGAAGTCGTTCGCCGCGAAGAGACTCGCCGCGTATCGCGGGTACATCTTCGGCAGGTACAGGAACAGACACTGGAAGATGACGAAGACGCCGCCGGTGTAGAGGACCACGCCGATGAGGCTGGGGAGCCAATGGATCTCGCCGGGGCGGGCGGTCCAGCCGAACAGGAAGAGGCCGACGGGGAGGAAGATGGTGGCTGGGAGGGCGGGGAGGAGGTTGCGTTCCGGGGGTGGGGCGGTGTTGTTGTTGTTGTTGTTGTGGGGGGCTTCACTCGAAGGGTCGGGTTTGGTCTCATGGTCGGTTGCAGGCGGCCGGGGGGAGAAGATGTACGGCACCAGGACCAGAAAGTAAACCGCCGCGGCGAGGACGCATCCCACCAGCACGCTCAGATAGAACAAGGCCAACGTCCCCGTCGAGACCTGGTACCCCTCTAGGTACGCCACGGGAAACGAGTCGAAGAAGATGTAGTAGCTCGAGTAGATGAAGGAGGTGTACAGGTTGGCAAAGAGCACCGCGGGGTCCTGCAGGGTGATCTGCACCGGCTTGACGAGGTAGAATCTGAGGCGGGCCCAGGCGCTGATGGTCGCGTCGGTATGGGCAATCCCCCGCCGGAGCCGGACGGTGGGAGCGTACGTCTCCGGCAGCACGAACAGCAACACCCCCACCGGCGCGGACATGCACGCGATCAGCCAGATGGACCAGTGCCACGAGAGCTGGTACACGAGGTGGTCGGTCAGCAACGGGCCCAGCGCCGGCCCGCAGTACGCCGCCGCCGTCCAGAGCCCCAGCGCGTAGGGGTATTGGGTCTCGTTGAACATGTCGTGCATGCTGGCGGCCCCGTTGGCCAGGCACGGGCTGCCGAAGAAGCCCTGGATCGACCGGAGGAAGACGAACGCGCCGAAATTGTCCACGCTGGCGGCACCCGCGGTGATGGCGATGAAGACCACGAAGCTGCTGAAGTATACCACGGAGCGACCGACGGAGGGGATCTCGCTCATCGGACCCCACAGGAGAGGGCCGGCGCCGTCTAAAGTTGTCAGACGACTCAAAACCTGGAAGAGGTGTATACCTACAGCCCAGAACATAGGCGGATAGCCCGAGCAAAGATCGCTGTTCGCTCATGCCAAACTGCTTGACCAGCACCGGCACAGCCGACATGTACATCGCGGATCCCGCATAGACCACGAAGCTGACGCAGTGAGTACGAACGAGCATGGCCAGAGATCGAGTCGGCATACTTACGTATAGGCGTAGATCACGCTGGCGGCGAACACCTTGCGCGACAACGGCCAGTTCATCGGGTTGGCACTGTGGGCCTCCCAGTCATGGCTGGCTGAAGCGCCCTTGGTTTGTGGGCTAGTAGGTCTCGCAACATTTGCTGATGAAGCATCGTGGTGTGTTTCCCCACGATTGTGACGCAAAGATTGAAGGCAATAGATGATCGGAAGGTCCGACAATGTCTGCAACATGGCTAGTCAACTTGCAGAAACGGTGCGACAGTGTACGGTTAGACGCACTCCTGCGCGGCGAAACCCAGTATATATGCAACTGATGCACGTCATGCTGTCATTAAGCATCTTTCAATACTTGCTTAGTCGACTGTAGGCATTCGCATGGCGTAGGCTCTTCACACCGGAATTCCCCGGCCGCTTGGAATGTGAGCTGGAACCCATTTGCAGATCTGCAACCCGAACAGGTATTTTGCAGGATCATGAGCCTGGATGGGAATGTAACTCAACCCAACCAGGGGTTTAACAATTATTCGACCTTGTTGAAGCCGGATAAGATTAAAGTTGCGAACATGACTCGGAGCGATTCCTCTGACGTCTGAAGCATTCCCGATCAACACGATGAGGGAATCCCCCATGCAGTGTGAGATGTTATGCGCCCGAGAACGAGAGTAGATTCCGTGTGAGGAATGAGAGAGGCGAGATTAGACCAGAGTGCGATGATGGCGTCAGAGGGAATATATGCCGTCGTAGGTAGGAAGCCAGTCGGCTAGCAAAGCAAGGATGAACTGATCATGAGAAGATGCCGGAAGATGATGGTTGGGATCCGGCCAATTATTTGGTGAATGAGATGTTGATGGGAGTAGAGGGAGAATGAGGTTGATGTTCAGACCAAGGCAACCGCCCACCGGCTCTGCCTCTAGTATCACTAGCACCACAACCACTGGCACTACCACCACCACCACCACCAGTACTCACTCACACTCACACCACAGCACCACCCACCTCAACCCCATACCACATTATCCTCCTGACTCTTGGTATTTACTCGCTGGAAGAAGCAGGTTCTACCCCGAACATCTTCTCTCATGCAGACAATGGGTTTCAAGTCCCGCCCCAGGCGAGTGGCGACGTTCCACATGGAATCGGTCCGTATGGGATGTCCCAATGTCATACGTGAGAGCTTTTCATTTACTGTACGTACTGATTGTCTAGCGGCCAGAATCGACTTCCATCCATCGCTTGGATGCCAATCTCTTTTAGTCCTCAGCACTCACACTCACAGCACTTCCCTGCTTCCACCGCGCTTAGCCGACAATAGCACGAGGTCACAATGGGCACATCGGCCGCCGCCATCGCCAGATCCCGGGCCGGCTCGATCAGCCGCGCCTCAGCCAGCTTCTTCTGCCTCACCAGACACTCATGCAACCCATGCAATCCCCAGACATTATTGAGCCGGCCCTTCCGCCGCGGAAACCCCTCCGCCATACCCAGGTCCTCCCGAAACACCCTCTCCGCTTCAGCCACCCGCCCCTGCTCGAGCAACAACCCCCCCAGCGCATGTCTGACCGGCTGCATCCACGGCGGCGGATCCCCGTAGGGCAGACCATCCTCCAGCTCGGCCGCGCTCGCCAACGTCTCAAACGCCTGATCCACCTCACCCCGGCGATACTCCAGCTCGCCCTGCAACATCTGCGCGCCCACAGCCAACACATCGACCTGCTTGCTCGGCAGACTCGCGATGCGGGTAGTCGGGACCTTCTCCCTGGCCTCATCGAACCGCCGCTGCATCGCCTCCGCCTCCTCCACCCTCCCCAACGCACTCAACGCGATTCCCTTGGCATACAGCACCGTCGCATACGTCGAGCAGTACAGCTCGCGATCGCGCGGCTCCTGCAGGCCAAGAATATCCTCCCACCGGCCGAACCGCACCAGCACATGCGCGCGGTTCCCCAGGAACGACTCCACCCAGTCCGCGACGGGGGGACTTTTGATTTGCAGTGTCTCCTCGGTCACCAGCCCCTCCAACTGCTGTACGGCCTCCATACTCACAGCGAACTGCCCCGCGATGAGCGCAGAGTACAGCTTCGCGCAGATGTTATGCACGCGGTACGCGACGTACAGCGCGCCGCCGACGCCCGCGCCCGTGCGCCCCTCCGCCACGCACCCGGCCACATACGTCTCGTCCGCGCGGATCGCGTCCGAGTTCGACTCCACCGAGCGCCGGTAGTCGCCGACCGCCATGTCGATGTGTGTCGGCATGTGCAGGAGATGGGCGGCGTCGGGCGCCGCGCGCCGCAGCCGGTCCGCGGCCGGCAGCGCGATCTCCGGGTACGGCGACATCTCCATCAGGTGGATGTACAGGTGGCACAGGGTCGGGTTGTGTTGGGCTTTGGGGCCGGTGGCGAACGCGGACTCGATCAGCTGGCGCGCCTCCACCGTGTGGCGCCCGCTGGGCTCCCCCGTCGTCAGGTTCCACAGCCCGCGCGGCGAGATGCACATCAGCGCTTCGATCAGCAGGGCCGTGATGTCGATGTCGTCTGGGTGTTCTTTGTAGGCGGTGCGCATGGCGTCCGCGTAGGCTTGGTTCAGGCGGGCGAAGTCGATGGGGAAGTTGCTGTCCGTGTCGGAGGGGCCGGTGGATGCGGACCAGCGCGGGAAGCGGGGGAAGAGAGCGGTGATGAGGGCTTTTTCGGCCGCGGTGGTCTTGGTGGAGGGGTCGTTGGCGAGTTCCAGGGCGTGGGTGAGGGCGCCCAGGGCTTTGGCTATGCTCACTGCCAGATCGGCGCGGTCGAAGAAGGCCCACGCTTTGTTGTAGTTGGGGCCCAGACTGTAGGCGATGCCCCAGTGGGCCATGGCGCATTTGGGGTCATGTTTGGTGGCGGTCTCGAAGCAGCGCAGGGCTTCTTCGTGGTTGAAGCTGTAGGCCCATTGCCAGCCGCGGGTGAACCAGGTTTGGGCCGCGGGGGAGGTGGTGGTGACTGTGCGGGAGTAGGTGCCTAGATTGTAGTAGACATCGTCGGGTGGGGGAGGCCTAGAGATGTTAGGTCGACAGGACGGTCATAGAGACCGACAGAAGAGAAGAAAGGAAAGACTCACGCCATCATGACGGTTGTTCGCAAGATGGAGATGGGAGACGTGGTGTGAGAAGAAGAGTTGTGTTGTGGAAGAGGGTCGGCAAGATAAGCTGGGCTGAACTTATAAGGCGGGAGCGGGGTAAGCAAACGGAAGCAAGCGGAGGCATCCATGATCCATTGCCCTCCTCCCGAGTCGCCGAGCTGCGGGGCTGCTTTTGGAAATGTAGATCCCGCCACTATTGCACCGATGCATCGCAAGGGATCTGTGCACTGCATCCCTCCATTGGTGGCTCAAGAAAATCGGCGATTACAGGGGATGACTGCATATTTATTACACAACAGTACTCCGTATTTGGTATACTTGGGCATGCTGTATAATTGTCTACCGACTCTCTAGGTTGTTGCAATTCATCGACAATTGGAGCCATCCGGCGCTATGATTATGCTATTGAGGGCACCAATTGCGCAATGCCGCACTAATTTGGTGAATCCAGAATAGCATAGTCTAAGTGCAGCTGGAGCAAGGTTTTCTGCGATGTCTAGAGAGCAATGGACATATATGCTTGTAAGTCCAGACTAGATATAACACTGCGATGGTCGGGAGGGACTGTGATGCGGAACCATTTCAACCATCGGCGTCATTTAGGGCCGGGGCAGATTAGCATTGCTGGCCAGCATAAAAGATACCAAACATACACTACCGAGCACATTAAAACAAACCATATTATTTGATTTTAGAAGGAATCAACTTTACTGGGATGTATTGTCTCAGTTAATAAGAAACAACATGATAAATCTAAGTTGGTAAAGATCTATTTTACACAGGGACCATTCCATTCACACACGACAATAATCAAATTGAATACTAGCATAGGGTGAATCGCTTGCTGTTGATGAATATGAGAGTGACCACAAATCTGGAGTGAACCGTTTCCTCTACCAGCCCTCAAGATGTCTGGAGTCTTTCTTCATCTCAACTTCGAGTCAAACCACCTGCATTTTCTTATTAACTCCAGAGTTCAGTGCAGAGGAGAGACGCATCAGAACTGTCTGAGTAAAATATGATGTCCAAAGTCAATATAGGCATAGCACCCTTGCCAGGCTTCCTTTCTATCTACCTCCGGACCAGGCATACAGACCTAGAATCAAAGATTCCAGGCCAAAGTCCACAGCATAGGATCTTCAAGATCGCCGTCGCCGAAACCAGTGACTCCTCCCCAACGGTTGCAGGGTATCCAAGACTAGCCAGCTTGGCGTATTCGGCGTTCTGCAACTACTTGGAGCGTATTCTCTGGATTGTTGCGCCTCCCCAACGAGCGGAGAAGAGGAGCGGATCGCAACTGTCTGAATGCTCTTCAATGTCCAAGGTGACCGGGCGGATCTTTTCCTTTCCGGAGATCAAAAAACCGAACGGGTCTATGTCCGCCGTGGACATTTGCAGGGTCCTCGTTTGGATGAGCTCCCTTCGAATCCGCCGGTCAGGCGTTTCAGAGCGTTTGTTGTGCGGACAAAAAGATTATTCCCTTCCTGGGAACAGAATCCGACAGATCCGAGGCGCAAATGCTGCAACGAAGGAGCTCAGTCCCGTCGAAAATGGATCCCTCTCCGCAGTTCTCACCCGGGAGTGAGTGTGCTGTTGTAGTACGATTCTGCCAATCAGCTCAGGCGCAACGCAGCTCTTTAAATACCCTGGACCTATGGACTTGATACCAGATGACTTGGGCACGGATGAGAATTGTGTAGGTCGAGACTAAACATCAGCGAATGGAGGTCACAAATGCACGGTATAGAAGTCCCATGATGGAAATGTACGAGGTATCCACGCATTGTCTAGATTGTCTGAGGCTATGCAGATAAGCTTAGATCTAGGCTGCACAGCTTGTTGGCTCGTCGATGTCTGCTGATGGCCTCAGATCTAGATTCAAATACCGATCTGCGGGGGATCCTCCCGAGATCTCGTGCACTGGATACGAGGCCAATCATCTACCTTTCTAGCGATGCAGCTGAATAGCACCACCTCAGGGTTTGTCTACGCCTGTTGCGGTGGAAATACATGATAGAAACCGATGGCTACCTTACTATGCTTGATACCACAGTTTGGGCAGCTATACTACCGAAGTATGTGCTTTAAGTGGTTCTTCGGCCTGTAGGGGCCCTATTATCACTCAGAACCAATGTCATCTATGGTCAGTGGCCATCACGATGTACACGTAGGGTCTTCTCCCCTCGGTGTCGCCACTCCACATCCCTAGATCGCTCACGTGTTCCAGCAACCCGATTGATAAATAGTGGTTTCGAATCTCAGCATCAAGGTCAGGGTTGGCTTCTTGGTTTTCTGTTCTAGCGGAATCTGTCTCACAAAGCTATAGCCTTCATACAAGTAGTGCTTTGATTTGTGCTTGACTGATCGACTGAAATAGCTAGAGTGATCCTTGCTGCTGAAGATATCAGTTGTGTCTAGCCAGTTAGGAATCGGACTGAGTAAAAACGATTGCAATGAGTTAATTTCGGCTGGACTAGGGTGAAAGAGGCTTTCGATTAAGGGGGTGGAGAGTATCGGCATAGCTGAGTAATCCGGCCACGTGATGCAACGCGTAACCAAGTTGCTTCCCATATTAATACATTAGTTCCAACCACTAATAGAATTAAGAACATGTTCCAAATACCTTACCTCTGAGACCTTAATATCGCTGACAGGTTATGAGCCCGGAGCCTCTTTAAGATTCTGGGATATGTTATTTATTTTTTTATTTATTAAATTTAATACTTTTTATGCTTATCAAGTTCTTTTATTAATAAAACACACCACTGCTAAGATGCCCGAGATTACTAAGTTTTTATATATTCTTACCGGCTCGCAGAACTAGCACCTCTAGAGTCTCCGCATCAAAGCCCAACTCTGTGTTTATTCAGCCTAGGATATTCTTACTAAGACCGTTGATAAAGATAATAAAAAAACAGCAGAGAAAACCAAAAAAAGTAAGAAATTACAATTAGTTTAATTTTAAACTTGCTGTTTAACTCGATTTTTAAATTCTTATCTTATTATACCGATATTAAAGCCCTTTGATAGTTTCTTAAAAAGAAATATGATGATTCTAATAAGATATAGTCTTTTTAAAATCTTTAAACTATAATAAAAACTTTTTTAAGTAATTATATTAATATTAAGAATTACATCGCTAAAGTTAAAAATAATATTCGCTTAATTAAGTTTTGTTTATTCTCTGAGAAGAAACAGTTTTCGGAATAGTTTTTATATAATCTTTTACTTGCAAATCTTGATAATCTATACTAGGAAGTTTTTGTTACTATTTATCTCAACGAGTTTAAAAAATTAAGTTTCAAAGATCTCGCCGCCCAGATAATTAAATACGAAAAACAGATGCAATATTAAGATTCTCTGTTAAATATTGTTAGGGCTAAGAAGAACAAGCAATTAGCTAAGGCTTTACGTAAAAGATATAAGGCTTGGATCTGTGACTACTGTAGAAAAAACGGTTATAAGAAGAAGGCCTGTTAGCAGCTAAACCTGGAGTTAAAAGCAGAGAGATTTAAGAATCCTGTTAATACTAAGCGTACTAAATATATTAATATTGTCTTTAGAGAAGTAATACATACTTTCTTTTAATATTATTTAGTATTAGAATTGCTATACAAGTTTTTATAAGAACCGGATTGCCGCAAGATTGCGAGAAATTACCGCCTAGGGCCTATAGGTAAGAACTAATTACTACTAAAAATAAGAAGAACCACTATAAGCGAGAGATTGCCACCAAGAAGAGGATAAGAAATACTATATATTTTAGTTAATCTTTATTTTATATAGCCGCTTTGGCTTTACATACGGCGCGGATTAAGAGGGTATATCGGTATAGCTGAGTAATCCGGCTATATAATACAACACGTAACTAAGTTGCTTCCTATATTGATATGTTAGTTCCAACCACCAACAGAATTGAGAACACGTTCCAAACACCTCACCTCTGAGACCTCAATATCGCTGACAGAGAGTGAGGCCGGACATTCCGGCATGGTTCAGGCGATACGCTAGTCTCGATGGCATTGCTCTAGCAGGATTAGGGGGCAGCGTTGCTGGTAACCTCATGTAGTACAGTCATCGTGGTCATAGTCCACGATATTATCCAGATGCCAGCATAGGGATGATAGCGTGAGATCGTGAGAGGGGCTCCCCGGGAACAAAGGCAGACGTGGGGTGTCTTACGTTACCCAGCCGAGGAACCCTGTATAATATTTCTAGTTGGGTTTGCAATTCTACTAGTATCTAGAAGCTTGAATTTTTTCTTCCATATAGTAACAAGGTGCTCACGGGTCCCGTGTTTGTTCAACATTCTAGTGTTATGGTAATGGTGAATTGACTAGACTGAGACTAGTCGGCTATGGAACATGGATGGTATTCGCAATGGTCAAGAAAATATTCTCAGATGAGCCTCTTCGTAGGCATCGCTGCGTGTGTTGTTGTGTGAGGCATCTCCGTCTCTGCCCCATCCTAGTTCTGCGCCGCAAATACTGCTCGAGCAAGCCCCAGACGCCATTTTTGGCCGCTGCTCAGGGCAATGCCATTAGACCCTATTACCGAGTGATCCTCATCTGGCAGGTTGTTGATATGTTGATATAAGAAATTCCCTCGCGCCGCAAAAAGTCACAGTTTCTGACGAACCAAATAGTACCCCAAGGAAGATGATGCCACGAACGAGGCAATCAAAGGGTTGAGTTCTAAACAGTAAGATAATCGACTGGAGAAACGCGTCACAAGGAGATCACCCGAATTGAAGTCGCAAAAGAAACAAGAGAATTCCTCCGCCGTAGGCGATACTGATTTGAGACAAGAGAGGCTCGCTATTGAAATCAACAACGGAGTTATGCTACAAGGTTGGACAGCTATCTTTTAACAACTGCAACAGAAATCATGCCTCCTCGATTTTGCTAGCTGCAGACAGTAGTCTAAGACTGACATGGTCTATCAATACAAGAATGATATACTCCCTATCCAAAAACATGTACGTGGAAAACAAGAAATAAAAAGAGCCCGGGATACAACCTGTCGACTGTGTTATCAACTCGGCTCGGGTAGGAGATGTTGTCATTGAACTCCATGCGTTTGCGTCTCCACTAGAAGTCTGAAAGGCATAGCTAAACATTCCCACTCAACGCTAGAACAAATACTGTGGGTTTTCTGCCTGCAGCATGGAGCACTTCCCGATTGAACCGGCCCAAATATCAAACTCTTACAACTGATGACGAGAATTCCATGGGAACCGCAAACACCACCCAACTACTGGGCCAGAGCGCAGTCGAGTGATATGCCTCTCTCCTTGACAAGTGCTACAGCAGCCCGGACCAGCAGTAGATGCAATAACAGTGGGGATCGGGGTTGAACGTACCTGCAATGCTTGGCTCTGGTTGGCTGCACAACAGGCAGACTGAAGGCAGCGGTCGAAACTCTGCTCGCAGGTCTCGTTACTGGGGTAATCAACGCCTTGGTGATGTTAGTCATGATAGCAGTGAACACTCTCAGGACACTTGAAAGGTGCAGCAAGGGACAGAGGTGAATTTACACAAGGTACCCACCCCTGCGCCAACGGGCGCGCCGTTCCCGTAAGTGTCGAGAAGGCCGGGGATCGGCGAGGAGAGATTGTCGGCAGCATAGACGTTTCGACAGCAGCGTAGGGTTCCGGGGCAAGACTGGGCCGCGGCCATTAGTCGCGTGTAATTAAGAGAGAATAGAGGGACTAGAAGGATGGGCCGCATGCTAGCAGTGTTACCAAGGGTGAGGAGGATCAATTGAGAAGAGTAATATTCAAAGATATATGCAATGGGGAGACAGACCCCTTGCCAGAAATGTGCTGATCCTCTTCGATTAAGTGCTACGTACTGAGGTTGTCGGCCTGTCAGTGATATCACCTCACCCTGCTGTCATATGATAGAATTGATGCGATTTTGAGGGTATGTCTTCGGACGGTGATCCGCAGTAGTCTATGCCGTAATCCCTGAGATCGAACTCTATTCTCTGACTCTGATGGCATGAGATGATGCGGGCGTATGCTTCCAGTGCTCCAGTACTGACTACCACGGGTCATGAACAAAGGTCATAGCTGTTTACGGAGGGAGGGGGACAGACATGGCCCACCTTGTTCTATTCATCACTCTGGAGCTGGGATACCCACTGGGTCTGGCCCGGACTGCTTTCAGGACATGTCATCTTGAGATGCAGTCAATCTAAACCGCAATTCCGTGCAGGCTAGATTACGACATGAGTCCAGAATTTCAGTCGTGACGTGCACGATCTTTCCTATCCCTATCTCATTGGGGAAATTGCAAATACTTAACCAACGCTGTCTCCAGCTCCACGATGAGTGCTCCCTTATCTAAAGTAAACATTATCGTTTCTCACTTAGAGCCAACAGCCATCGTGCCATTCTTTTATCCCCTACAGTCCAAGATGGTCTTTTCGCATTACATCGCCGCCAGCCCTTACAGTGCTGGTGGCAATGTCCCGTACTGGGTGTGGTTGTTCATCTCGGCCGATCGCAACACCGCCGACAACTGCTTCCGGATCCTGCAGGAAAACCTAGGCCGGACGCTGAAGGTCCCCAGCGGACCGACCTATGGTGATCGACGCTTTACACCGCAGGCCATCACGCGTGCGTCACCGCGGTTCTGGACGGTGCAGATCGGCGAGAACAACCTCGAGGCCTTCAGTGGACTGGGGGCGGCGGTGGCGCTCACCTCCGACACCGGCGAGACTGATTCCGTGTTCCACCCCATCAAGGGCAAGATGCTCTGCTACTGGATGGGGGCCTACAGCTCCGGCATGTCGCGCGTTCTGCCGGAGCTGGGCCACGGCGACCGGGAGTTCGACACGCTGTCGGGCTACAGCTTCTTCGTGCGGCGCCGGGGCTACACCACCAGCTACTGGTACTGCGACGGCAGCATGATCTACCTGTCCGACACGAAGCGGTCGCGCTTCACCATCACCATCACCGACGCCGCGGGCACCCCCTGGACCCCTAAGGCCAAGGAGCGCGTGCCCCTCATCTACTCCGACCACGTCGCCATTTCCTGGTCCACCGCCAAGGGCAAGTCGCTGCGCGTGGGACTCGACGACCAAGACGACGGTCTGATTGTCACCGGCGGCGACCAGCAGATCTTTACCTTCCGCGACTTCAGCGGCCGGTTCTACCTGCGAGACCGCGATGTTCTGCACGAACAGTCCCATACCACCGTGCAGGGGGTCTGTTGGTCGGATCGGGTGGCCTTTGAGGACAGTTTTGAGGTCTGTTACGGTAGTCACGCAGATGAGTATCTGTGAGGGGGAATGACCTCGAGGCAAGCAAGGGGCGGGGGGATTTGGAGACTGCAATCTTCGTGTCACAGTCCTGTGTTCTTTTCGCATTCTTAAAAGCTACAAATGTGTGATGACGGTACAGGTCACGGTTTTGGGTAACCAAAAGGTTCCTTCGGTTAGGCTTTGTGAGACACTGGTGCGAAATTTGGGGAATTGCCGCTTAAGTCGCGCGAAGTTAGGGCAAGCTTGGTGTAGTAAAGCAGCGAAGAGAAATTGCCTTATATCCATGAGAGTTCCGTATCTTAAGACATTCCGTATTCCCGATTGAAGTACGGAGTAGTAGCGTGTAGTATCTGGACATTTCATTGGATGAAGCGACATTCCACAAATTTAAGAGAGCACCTGGGGTCGTCCCGAACGAGGGAAGTAAGGAGTGCGGCATATATACATATACATAACTTAGTACTGTACATTTCTCCCTTCTCCTGGGGCTGGGAGCCTGCCCCGAAATGCCCCAAATCATTCTTCTCGAGATGAATTCTGTGATTTTTTTTCTTTTTGAAGTTTCGGGAAAGCCTATATTTAACTAAGTTCGATGACAGCCGCTGTCAACCTGTCACCACTAGAAATAGCCAAGCAAGCAGATAGACAATGGGGGAAAAGAACTCAGTTAGTGTTATTTTTTTTTGTTTGTTGGACAAGAAGAGAAAGCAAAAAGAAAGTAAAAATTTAAGAGAGAACAGAAGATGAAAATAACAGTAAAACATTCCTCATTTTAGACAATCGTCCGCACCGTGACATGGTTCCGGGCATTCCGTACGACAGGCCCTAACCTGACAACACCACTACAATTCATCAGCAGCAACCTTTCCATTTCCCGGAGGCCTAACTCCCCACCCACAACTGTTGTAGTGACTCTTCGTGTCGCAAGGAACCTCAGTGAGGATCACTGGGAAACATGTCTGCGGGCTGCCGGGGAGGAAGGTAATGCCTGGAGTATCACTGGAGCAGGCCGCCCCAACCCCTCCGCCTGATCCGCCCAGACAGTAGGAGCCCAGCCCCCATTTGGTCAGGCTGAACTTACCAGCACTCTCGAAATCTGTGGTCTGAGAGATGTGCCGTCCGTTCGATGACCCGTCAACCCAGACACCTCCGTTGAAGGTGTCCCGCAGATAAAAAGCGTCGCTGGGGTTGACGGATTTATGGGAGGAACTACAGCTTTGCTCCGTACAGACCTGGAAGCGGCCCATGAGACGATGGCCGTCCGGTAGCGCGAAGGAGTATTCGCCCTTTTCTCCGAGGGACAGGTACTGCCCATTCCGACGGGAGATCAAGTAGCATTTGCCTAACCCGAGTGGGCTCCAAGGTTAGTGCGCCGCTCCCATACCTAACTTATACCATTCTACCGGAAAAGAGAAAGCCCCTACGTACGTACCTGGATCCACCCCGGACGGACACTCCACCGGAGGCTCGCAGCCCCCCTTCTCCCCTTCGACCATTCCGTCGGGACATACGCATTTTCCCGCGACGAGATGTTTGCCTTGGGGACAGGTCTGCGGCGGCTGGCAGTCCCCCTGGGGGCCCTCGATCATGCCCTCCGGACAGATACATTTGCCCGCGACGAGACGTTTGCCTTGGGGGCAGGTCTGCGGCGGCTGGCAGTCCCCCTTGGGGCCCTCGATCATGCCCTCCGGGCAGACACATTTGTTGTCGACTCGCGTCTTCCCACCCGTGCACTCCGCGCACTTGCCTGCCGTGTAGATGTTGCCGGTGGGACAGCAGCGGTAATCGCCCTGGCCGGAGGGTCCCGCCAACTCGTGGCCGTCGGCACAGCAGTCCCAGGCAGTTTGGGGGCTCCCCAGCAGGTGCGTGCCGTAGGTGCAGCAAGCAAAGTACTTTTTCGGAGGCAGGTCCAGGATGGAGGGTACCGCGTTGCTGTCTTTGCACGTTTGGGTTGTCCGGCAGGAGAGGGACGGCGGGCAGTCGGCCTCCTCGAAGGTGATGGAATGGCCCGTGATGTTGGCATTGGGCTTGATCTCGAAGACGTTCAATCCCCCATTCGCGTTGGCTTGGGGCGCAAGACCTAAAGCAGTCTGAAGGATCAGCGCCCCGGTGGCCAGGAGAAGATGCATATTCATTGTTCTTCGTGCGCCGAATGAGGAGTCCTGAGAGGGGGACAAATCAATGGACAATGATTGAGGGTTGGATTTCCAGTGGAGGTCGACGATCAGTGCTTTGGATGTGAAGCGGCCTTTGTAGCTTTCTTCTCTTTTTCTTCTTCTTTTGGCGGTAGGGTGTGTTGGCGTATCCTGGTTGGGCCCTAGGGGGGAGGGAACCGGGGTGGAGTGGGAGGCCTCTCTCCGCGTACAACAGCAGAAATAAAATGTCGTTGACGTCTTGACCTACGTCTCTTTCCCATATGCCTCCAGGTGGGGTGCGTGGCATCGGGCATCCTCGTTCGATGATAGTGGCACCTTACTGGTAGACCTAACCAACCGAAAGACTCGTAGTGGTCATCCCACCCTCACGTTTCCAGCACAAGCCATCTGTTGTCGCATTCAGCTGCCACATTTCATGCTGCATTACCCAGCGGTTACTTCGAGACCTTCCGTAAACGGCGGATCTCTTCAGCCCGGCTGTCTCGGACTCACGCAAGCACAATGGATTCCCTCAAGACTGGGCCATCTTGGGAGATTGTGGTAATTGACTGGTCGTGGTCCGGGTTGTCAGGGAGTCTTAGGCCCAGTCTCCCAGTCTATACTCGACTGAGTAGGATTTACCCCGGTAGTACCCAGTCCGACACCCCCGGAGTGATGCTGTACGGTGCCTCCCCGGCCCCAACTTGAGAACTGAGAGACTGAGGAACTGAAGGTCTACTACTCTAAACTCTTCGATACTCACTGGTGGAAGCAGCGAACGGAGGTCAAGCGCTTTGGCTGCAATCGGTAATTAAACCTGTAGTAGAAGAGAGAGGAGGCCGAAGAAAAAGACACCATTTCTTCAGAGTGCCTTCATATCAAAATATATATAGATGTATGTATTTGATGATTTCAGAGAACTCTTTTCTTGAAATAAAATCTACTTCAATACTGTGAGATCCATATACTGAAAGAAGAACTTGCAAGTGTAATACTTTGATGCTCAAGAGGACTAATTTGTTGTGGCTGCATAGCGGAATCAGAGAATTGTAAATTATCTGGCCCGGGATCTGGCCCGGGAGGGTACATCACTTTAGAAATCCAGCTTGATTCGAGGGCTTCTAGTAGCTGAACCACTCAGTTGGACCAGAATGCCCTCGTTTCACAGCACAGGATGAAATATCTTTGTGAAAGTGGATTCACCTGCTTTGTGTAGTCGATAGAGCTTCATGTCATTCTTGACGCAATAAGATAAAAGTCATGAGTACGAGTCTACTTTGTCACGCTGGATCGCCCTATCCAAGGATTTGATATTATGTCTCTGTAGCTACAGAACTGGTGCTGCTTTCACATTCGTGCCTGTCCAAGACGTGGGCAAAACCCTGTAGACCCGAAACCACTACCCAAATCATCAACAGATTGGAAGGAAGGATAAACCAGTCCAAAAAAAGCCTGTGATTATCTTTAATGAGCGATACCGACACTTGAGAATAGAGGATTTATGAAGCCAAAGACCTAGCACTCCAGGATCTTCGCGGATAGGGGAGCACGTGTCAGTTTAAAGGTGGGTCTGGCAAGCTTTGGGCGGGGGAGGTGTGCCGGTGCACATCACTTTGGTCTCGGTCCACGCGTGGTACTGCTGGGGCATATAGCTGGTGTAGGGCAGGAGGGTTGTGGTGCAAGTGTCGCAGACACTCGCGGGGCCCTTCTGGCAGTTCAGGCAGTCGTCGCCCTGGGGGTATTGGAAGGTACCCGGCGATGAGCTTGCTGGGGTGTTCGATGCAGCGCTCGGATCGCCGGAAGCTGCACCCTGTCCCTGGACAAGCACAGCCAGCGGGAGAACGAGCATGCTGAGAACGGCTTGGGTCTTCATTTTGATCTAAAGAGAGCCCCCAAGGGGGGGTGAGCTTGTGGGCAAGACACCAATTTTCGTGTCTGGGGTACGAACCTAGGGTTCCGGAATTGGACGGTGACGGTAGGATCTGTTGCAAGGTGGGAATGGAGATTGAGGTGTGGATTGTGGATTGTGGCTCTTGGTGAACTGGAACTGGAACTCGCGAGTCCATGAGGCCAAATAAATAACCTGGATTCGTTGTAGTCGGAATGAGCCGCCGCGGGCATCTATAGACGTCTTGACCTCATCGACTCCGACGACCTCATGGCAAAGAATATGGCGATCATCGTGGCGTCAGGTTTTACTTCTTGACTGACTCTACGCTTGAGAGATTCTCTTGTCTTCGTTCATGAAGGATTTCGAGCTGAGGTCTCCGACTGTGGATCACAAACTCTGTTCGAGTCCAAGATCGTGCATGGATTACGCGTAGTGTTCGGTTGGTATCAAAAGTCTCATCAGAATCACACCGTAGCAACAGTATGGGAAGAGCCAGCGGTCTAACTTCCTAGTCATGACATACACCATTCTTATCACTAGGTTAGCTGTGCCGTAGCGGCCGCCACGGAAGTCCAGGATGGTGCACTGTTTTTGGGAAAGTCCATGATGAGGATAGGCTTCTCTCAAGTGTGAGCCGGAGGTTTCCAGAACCTGACTCTGGACCCGAAATGAAGTGAAGTCATCGCTGCATCAGAGCCATCAAGGCTACACCTAGCAGATGGGGACCGAGGGGTCTAGTCTTTCTTTCGTTGCATGCTGAAGAGTCTTGACGTGAATGTCAGTTCAACTCAAGGCATCATCTATCAGCATAGCAGGAACTGTATATAGCTGTGTAGTAGATGATTGTTGTTGAAACAACACCTACTGTTCAAACTGCCCTTCGTGAAACGCGCCTAATCTAAACCTCAGTTCAATCAGCACTGGGGCACAAGAGAATCGAAGATGCGTCACTTTCCTTTCTCCAATTTGGCACTTTATGCATTCTTCGCCTGTGCGGCCAGCCAAGTTGACCCGGCTCCTTCTTCCTCCTATTCTTCCTGTGCAACTGACCCGACTCTCAAGTCATGCTGCGCTTCGGGGACCGCGAGCGGAACGGTCTGCGTTGATGGCGAGGTCTATACATATACCTGTGGCAAATGGGCGGGTCGGTATTCAATGCACGAGGGCCTGGCTGGGTCTCAATGCATGCAGGAATGCAGCCGCGACCCCCGCTGCTACTGGGCCAGCTGGGACACGACGCTTCAGAACTGTTATCTAGGCGATAAAGATGTCACCACTGGCAGCGATGACACCTATATCCTGCTGCAAAAGAGTGGCCCGGGTCAATGTAGCGGTGGCCATGACTGCAAGCACGAGATCGAGCAAGCCAAGGAGGAGTGCAGCAAGCATTGCAAGACTCAAACCGAGCAAATCAAGGAGCAGTGCACCAAAGACTGCCAGGGCCAGATCGAGCAAGCCAAGGAGCAGTGCACCAAGGATTGCAACTCCCAGATTGATCAGGCTGTGGCGCAATGCAATGCGGACAGGTCTGCCTGCACGCAGAAGCTGTCGAACTGCGAGCATGACGGCGCGACCTGCGACAGCCGGTTGAAAGATGCGTTGGCCGAGCGAGACAAGCAGACCGCCGCGCTCCAGCAGGCTCAGGCGGCCACGGACGAGTGCAACCGCAAGCTGACGCAGTGCGAGGCGGAGCCCAAGGGCGACATCACCAAGTGCAATGCAGAAAAGAAAGCCTGCGAGGATGCCAAAGCGCAGCTGCAGAAGGCACTCGACGAGGCGAGGGCTCAGATCCAGATCATCACCACTAGACGAGGCACGCGCATCAAAGATCCTTTGTCCAAGGAGAACCAGGATCTGGTCGAGGCTGTCACGAATGCGCACTTGGATGGGCTCTGCAGGGATAACAGGCTCAATGCAATGACTTTCACCACACTCAATCCCGACAAGACCTGGAATGAGTGGGAGATCCTGTGTAACTATTATTGCGAAACCAAGTCCGTCCAGGACACGCAGAAGAATTGCGACGCGGGCGACAACGTAGTCGCCCACTTGCAGCAGCAGCAGGACAAGTCAGAGTTCTATGGGTTCTGGTGGAGCACTGATGGGAGATGCCTTCCCTTGTTCGCCAGCGCCGATTACGCCTGGCCGGAGTGCTGGCGAAACAGCGAGGCTCGAGTGTCAAGCCCCCGCTACCACCTGGTACGGAGGATCAAGGCCTTTTACTGAATACTGTGGCTGTAAGAGCTGAAGGTGAATCTTGTGTCAGTTATGTAGTTCAATGTCAACTTGACTTCGATCAATTTTCCACTTTAAGAAGAGATAGATAGTAAGACGCAAGTCGAACTATCAGAAAGGGTAATGGATCCAAACATCAGAAGATTGCAAGAAATATTGCAACAGAAACGGTCAACAAGGAGCCTGACTCAATGGCAGACTGGACGATCATTTCGAAGAGCTTAGATTTGTAGGTGATGCTTTGGAGCCTTGGGGAGAAGTGGGCGGCAACCATATTATATAGACAATTGAGGCCATCAGGCAGCTCCATGTTGACTCAGACATACTAAGCAGGGTGCAAGTATCACGCGATAACACACAAGCTCGCATGAGGGTGCCTGGACCCGAAGTCATCCAATATACGTTCGGCCATACAATTCCTCAGGCGTCAATATACCGAGCCCGTCCCAGCAAAAAACACTCAATTATTCAGTTAATCAACAAGAGAATTCGATAAGCACTACATTTCTTACAGGCATAATACCAAGACATCGGATTCTATCTCTTTACTTAGTGAATCAGCCCAACAAGCGTCCCATTCCTCGAGCAAAGCGCAAGGCCCGGACTTCCCTCCCAAGGCCCAGAATTCCGACTCTCCAGCCCCTGGCATTCTTAGAATATGCGAATAAAGCACAGCTCGCTTCAGTCAAAGCATACCGCTAATCAAAACAGATACACGGGCGGCTATTAAGCAATAGATAGCCCCAGCGCAGCTGCCACTGCAATATGCCATTCTCCCAGCACTTGGGACGGAATTTATTAGTATCTCGGCTGTACAAATCGACTCGACAATAAATAGCATAGACACTGTACACGACTAGAGTTCCCTTAAGGACAAAGACGGGAGAAAATCCGTCTTCATCGCCGCCTAAAGGTAGGGTAGTGTCTTTACAAGCTTCGCGCTGGTTACGGGGGATAACAGGGTAAAGATAGAGGGCTAGGATTCTGGGTTAGTACAAAGACTAATTTGTAAAGAACGACAGGTATCTGATAGGGGCTTGTACATATACTCCTTGATACATCACTCCAAATACTTAAGTAAATTAAGCTGCTTGTAGATTGGAGACGGAATCTGCAAGGACTTCCCATTACAGCTTTTAAAAAATTCTTGACTGATGTAAATTTAGCTTTGAAAAAATTCTATAAAAGCTTCTTCTTTTTTATGTTAAAAAAAAAGAGATCTTCAATTCTAGATAAACTATAAAAGGTTTAATATAATTATAATTAAAATTAATCTTTTTGAGTTTTGAACTTGGAAATTTTATATAGCATTACAATGGTCTAATATTTTCTAAATATTTAAAATATTTATCACTAAATTTAAATTAAGATTGATCCGACTCGTTCTTCGCATGCTCCTTCGAACACCCTCACCAGAATATCTTCGTGGTACTTGGATCTGGCTCTCGGTATCATTGTCAATCGAGCCTGTCCAGTGCACATTTAGGATGAGTCTTGCATCCGATACATCGAGCATTCAGTAGGCTGGAACTCGACAGCAGGCTGAAACTTGTTATAGGTTCCCCCAAGTCGGAAGAGAGACTATTCAGCAAGAGAAGAAGTCGACGCGCGTGAAGGGTATATATAGAACCGGGTCACGATGGGGATACCCCATTTTGCTGATTTTTCTTTTGTCTTTTTTCCTTTTTGTTTTTTCGAGTTTCAGAAACAATCGAACAGGGTGAAGCAAAAACATACAACGAATGCTCCTCGCCCGGCCTTTCCCATCTCATCAAAAGTTAGTTTCCCGGTGTATATATGAGGTCAACGATTGTCCGGATAACGTAGCAGATAGTAAGGTTATTGTAGGACCGCAACTGGTCATGACCTGGCTCAGTTGCAATATCTAAAATCTGTCACTCATCTAGAGACGTCATAGCAGTGAAAGAGGCCTCTACACTCGATACAGAACAGATAAGAAGCTGTTCGAGGGCTTGATGTCAGTAGCCACGAGATTCCGGCACCAAGCATGACCCAACCTATTTCCGAGGACTCCGTCCGAAGACAACCTGCACAAACCCACCACCGCCATCACGCCGCCTCCTCCGCCAACGCCTCCGTCCTCGACCGACTCTTCGGATCCAAATACGGCGCCTCGCCAATCCCCACGGCACGATGCCCGAACCGCTCCCCGAGGCCCTCATAATCAAACGTCGCCGTATGGAACGCACTCCGATTATCCCAGATCGCTGCCGACACGTTAGCCCTACCGCGCTACCCCAAACCACCCTACCCGAAGCAAAAGCCCCAAACTCACCAATATCATTCGCATTCCTCCACTTCAACCGCACCTGCAAATCATGATTCTCAGCGACGACCCGCCTAAACTTGCCCAACACCTCCTCCGACTCCTCCCCGGTCAACTCATTAATCACCTTGGGAAACGGCCCAATCGCAAAGACGCTCTTCCACCCGGTCACCGGATTCGTCCGGACGACCGGATGCACAGCCGTCAGCTCCCTGCCCACATTCAACGGACTGCCGCGCGCCTCCGTGTAGATGCGCACCTCCTCCGGATTCCGCTCCGCGGCTTGCAGGAACCCGTCCCCGGAGAACGTCGCCGTCAGCCCCTCCAGGAACGCGCGGTACTTGGGCGAGAGCCGGTCGTAGATCTCGTAGCCGGAGGCCCAGAGGGTGTCGCCGCCGGTGCGGGGCAGCTGCGTCAGCCGCAGGGAGGTGTAGTCGGCCGGGGCGGCTTCGAACTGGATGTCCGAGTGCCACTGGGCGGAGTCGTATTTGCGGCGGTTGAGCGCGTGGCTGGGGCCGAAGAGCTTCTTGCGCGCCAGCGAGCTGATCGTGCTGATCTCGGCGTCGCCCACGCCGAACTCGTTCGTGTTGTTGAGCACCGGGTGGATGTGCAGGGTCGAGGTGGCGGGTTTGCCGCTTAGTTCGCCGAGGCGCTGGACCAGCTGTTTTTGGAGGGCGTCGGTGAGGTTATCCTGCGCCCGGAAGAAGACGACGCCGCGTTGGGAGACTGGGCTTGTTAGTGGGGGTTCTTTTGGGAGTAGTAAGGTGTTGCGGGAGGGATGGGGAGTTAGGGTTGTTGTGGGCTGCGCTACGTACTGGTGATGGCCAGGTCGCGGACCAATTCGTCCGCGTTTGGGGCATTCAGCAGGTCGTCGACGATGTTGACGGTCGGATACTCGCGTCCGATCACGGGAGTGGTTTCCTCATACTCGTACTTGTCCAAGGCGCCGCTGACCTTGAGGGGCTTGGGGTATTGTCTTTCCGCGTCGGGGTGCGGGTGGATGGGAATAGGCGTTTCGTTGATTCCGGGAGCCATGGTGAAGGTCCGAGCAAGGGATTGGTACGATTGATTTTGATCTGGTAGATGATGGAGGGGTGGTGACAACCGTCTTTTCCGTCTATTTGAATCACTACAAAGCCATGTCTTGCCGGGCGAGTCAGTCAACACATCCCACCTTATCCCGGACGTATCACGCAATCCGCGATGCATGTTATGCAACCACCAACCAACAATGCATCGGCATTCCGGCAATTGATGTACCCCGCATGTCGCCTTATGGCGCAATATGCCATCTTATCAAGTTGCATTCCGCAGGTCTCTTGTCCTATCGGACATGTTTTCTCTTTATGGATTGCCGAGTCCCGTCACTCGGTTCTTGGTTATCTGCCGGAGGGTGGCCGAGGGGGTACTGGGGGGTTTCCACGTCATGCTAGACAGACAATGGCCCGGTGAAACCGGGCTGGCTAGTACCTAAGACAATTCTGCATCCAATGGCGCCGTATCTATCGAATTAGACATCAATTGTCGAGACAATGGCCGACAAAACTCCCACAATAGACACGACACATACACACATCGACTTCTGCAGAGTTGGGTTCTGAAGCTGGTCGCAAATCGTACTCAGTCCGTGGGACCACCTCCTGATAAACACGGAGAGTAATTACGAGGCTTGCAGTCTCGCAGCCAGTAGTAGGCAGCATCGGACTGAACCCCATCCCAACTTCATTTCGTTGAAGCCATCCCTCGCAATATGTACGAAACCGGGTAGCTTGCTGCAGCCCAAGTAGCACAACCTCTAGCTCCAGCATGCATCCTCTCGGGGCGTATTTGACTTTCTGCATGCAGGACATGGATCAACAAGATGATGACTGATACTCGACTGCGGGGTGTGGTTTAGGCGAGCCAACGCCACGGAACGCATATAGGGTTGGAGGGACGAAGGCGGAAATCTTTGCCGAAGAATAGGGATAGTAGTGATGGTGTCTGTTTTAGTTGTCCGCAGGATGGCGCAAAGTGAAGTCGAAGACTGTTCACTGACCGGTTTACCTTGGATCTACTCTCCCAGAGCGATACCGATTCTCTTCCAGGATCCGTACTTCCTTAGGGCTGGTTGTACGCGGGAATCTTGTCTGCGACTGGGCTTCCGGAAACCACATTGATTCACAGACTTTGAAAGATGCGATGAAAGTACGAACTGGTCAATAGAGGACACTACGCAAGAAGAGCTAGGACACTGATCGACTGTGGGGAGGCTGAGGAGATGCTGCCGGTCGCATATAGACGACCCTGTTCAGCTGTCTGTTCCCGACAGAGACCCCCGGAAGTAGGGCCGACCACTGCCAGTCGGGTGTCCTATGGCGACGTACTCCGTTAGACCAAGTGTACATAAACCCAGAGAAGATCTTTTACACCAGCTGTAGACTATGTGAAGATTGATTTACGAATACCTCGACTGGCCCCAGGATGCGAGACTACATGTATAAGACACTGAGTGAGGCGATTATCGCACAGGTGATACTGAGGGCAGACGGCAAACAGTGGACGATGAAAGACGTGCTGCTTGTCGGACATTGGTCACAGAGGGTCAACAAGCCCTGTCCAGACTTGATCAGACCCATCATATACAGTGACGATCTTGGCCTACGCATCATGAACCGTGCTACCATATAGTACGAGCATGTGTAATCGGAATAAGAGTCTTCTGGACAGCACATAGAGTCCATCCGGGTAGACAATCGCTTGGACGAAGAAGGTCACCGCGATATGCTCCGCCTTCCTGCAAGAAACAATACTCGACACTATAGAGAGTGAAGTTCGTCCAATTCTAGATGAAGATCTCCTCGCTCGTCCGAGAGACGGTAACAGCCGACATGAACCACGAGTTGGTGACCGCTGCCTACAACGCCCAAACTACTGAGTCGCAGCCGTGCTCCTCCATGAAAACCAGTAGTCGCACAGAAAATCAAAAGGTATCAATTCTCCCCCATCTCCATCTCCAAGAAATATGCACTTCAAGAACAGTCGCTCAAAAACTCCCCAGCACAGATGCACGTAGTGTCCCCATCACAAGCACGAACCCCGCTGATCCCACCGATCACCCATCGCTCGTGTCTCCGAAAATCTAGGCGAAGGAAGGGAAGCACTCCTGGAGGGTCTTGTTGTGCTTGTTCTGAGCGTGCTCGGTGAGGGCGGGGGCCTTGGCCGTCTTGAGGAAGGTCGATCGGCAGATCTGGCAGATGATGTCTTTGGCGGCTTCGTTCTAGGGCAGCGTGAGTAAGTGGTCGCCCTTTTTTGCTCCTCTTGCGCTTCCTCTTGCTCTTCACCTCCCCACCAGACACGACACCAAAAGAGCAGAAGAAATACGTACGGCCTTCAACTGCGACTTGCCACCCTTGCCAGCGTCCTTGGCGTTGCGCTCGCGCTTCATCTGGGCTTTGGCTCCCTGGAGAATGAGTCGTAAGTATTTGAGAATCAGCCGACACTGCAGTCACAGTGTCTATTTGCATGTGTTGTCCGCTCGACTTGAGCAAGGTTCTCCAGCCACGTTTCCCTAAATGCGACCGAGAACCCGACTCAAGTCGTCGCATCGCATCTTGCAGAAAGAAAAGTCAGTTAGTCGCTTACGTTTCCCATGGTGATGGTTGTGGTGCTTTTGGCAACGGTGTGAAGAAAGGTGGAGGGTGAAGATATTAGGCGTTGTTGTGTGAGTAAGAATGCGTGAGATGCGGGGGAAATTTTTCTGAAAGGAGGCGAAGCGGGGAGGGGGAGTTTTTTTTCTCGCGCTTATCGTCTGCCGTCGGACATTTTGGTCTTGCTGGTTTGGGCTTAGTGTGGAAGAGAACGCTAGACTTGATGAGGATGGATCCTGGCCTGAGGCAGGAATAATGGTTCTAGAACCCGGTCGGGATAAGCCGAGGTTGTGGATTTGGGTTATCACGGGCGATTCCATGGGTGGGAGCATACCATGCGATCTAAACTATCGATTTCGATGGTTATGAGCAGGATGGAATTGTGTAGAGTATATTGTTTCTTAATCAGTGAAGCTGTCTTCTTTTACCTGCTATATACATCAGATGTTACTCGGGTGTAATGGGGCTGCCCGGTTTCTGCTTTTGTCATCTGTTGCGTACCGACTTATAAGCGGGGTATACAACATGCCAGCTCCACCCATAGTAAGTTACAGTCAGCCTACTTGCACTGTGGTCCCGAATATCAATCCTGTGTCAACTGTCAAGTGCCATGCACAAGCTCTTAGCCATATGACAGGTCACTATGAAGATGCAATAAAGACGATCACACTTGGCCCTGCATATCATTGCATGTGAGACGGCAGCCCCCTGCTACGTACATTTCCCCTCAGTTCTTTCCTTTATACTCGACTGTAGAAAAACAGTTGAGCTCACTTCATTTCTGCGATCGACTTCAACCGTTGAAGTCTGATGGGTTCGATGATTATCTGCCAGGCAACCAGAACGGCTACATCGGCTTGACCACCGACGTAGCCCTGGAAACCAGTAGATGCACCATAGACTTTTGCTGGCCGATCACGATGCCCATCATCTGACATATAACCGATCTTCAGGAGAGAGACAAACTCAATTCTCGCAAGGATTAACATAAGAACTTGTCATTCCTCGAGACCATCAACCTCAACCCAAGCCCCAAACACTCACCAACCATCTTCCAATCTCGATTCCTCCGCCACAGAAATCTGCGAACCCTCAGAAATGCATCTCACAACTTTCCTCCCCGTCCTCCTCCTCTCCTTCTCGGCGACCACTCTGGCCCAAAAATGCAACCCCAACCACAACCTCAAATGCTGCAAGGTCCGAAACTCGCTGGCCGACGGTGCGGTCACCGACGTGACGGATGGAGCGGGTGTGGCGCTCGACCCGGAGTTGCTAGGGACTGTGGGCGCTGAATGTACGCTCTCCCCTTTGCAAAACAATTCTCCACAGCATGAACCTAACAAACAAGCAGGTGACGCGATTTCAACAGCGACAGACTGTGATGTTGCGCGGGGGTATGCACTGGCGTGTTGTGCGGGGAACTCGGTATGTTCTTTCTCTTCTGTATCCCTCATAGTTAGGCTTATGCCTGCTGCGCGATTTGAACTGGATTTCCTTTCCGATTTCGGCCAGATTGGTGTTTTTGCACTTCGATGGGGCTAACGCACGTATAAATACTCACCAGGGAGACGACGCGGCTGCGTACTGTCAGAAGCCGATTCCGGGGCAGACTACTGGCAAGGCAGTGGATGAGGTTTCGGACAAGGCCTCAGACGCGGCAGGGGAGAAGGGGGTAGAAGAGAACAAGCGCTGAGTCAATGGACTTGAGAAAGTCGAACATGTTGTAAGGGGGAGGAGTGCAAGCATGTTGCGCTTTTTGAAGGGTCGGTCTTGATGCAGATCGACAATGATCGCTATCTTGCTAAGGTCAAATTCTCGGAGAATATCTCCCTTGGAGGAATGGACTAGACCATTTATAGTCCATTACAACCTCTTGTCTTGACTGAAGACTGAAATACCTATTATCAAGCCTACTGCAGCGCTCAAATTGACCCGAGAGGAGTGGAACTAACGGAGCTTTCAGGACCTGCTAGTCATCACTTTACCCATTTCCTTATCCTGTCGAGTCACTGACCTGTCACCGCAGTAGCCCAGATTGCAGTGGGACCTTGCTCGCATGATTTTGGGGGCTGTAAGGGCCAATACAAACGTTCTGAGTCTCACGCTCTCAGCCAGTCCCTTGTACAGAAAGAAACGGCATATCCATCTCTCATCTCTCCACTGAAGCATAGATAGACGCCAGTCGGCTGTTGAAGACTGCACTTCTCAAACCCTCAGACGCGAAACCAACCCGCGCAATCCAGCATTAACCCCCAACCTCCCCTCCAGCCCGCCCAACACCTCCAGTATCCCCTCAAGAATCTCCTCCAACACCCTAGCCGTACCCTCCAGCGTTCCAGCACCTTTCAAAAGCTCAACCACCCTCCCCTTCACCTCACCCGAGACCCCTCCCCCCTCCCCTCTGCCCCCAGCCTCACCAAAAAGCAACCCATAAACCTCCTCGCCAACCTCACCCCCCTGGACCCTCAACAACCAAACCAGCGGAAACGAGAACTTCCCCTCATCCAAATCCTCACACCAACCTTTAGCCACCGAATACTACAGCACCACAATCAGCAATCACACCCCAGCCCAATAGACCCCTCATCTCTCACACCAAAGAAGAACCCAGACCCGACAAGAAAAGAAAGAACTCACCTCCCCCGTCAAATTCAACAAATCATCCCTAACCTGATAATACCTCCCTAGCAAGGTACCCAACCCCACCACCGTGACCTCCTCATCCACTTCCCGACCTGCCCCTAGCACCATCCACCGCACCACCAACCGAAACAAACTCCCCGTCTTGAGATCCACCATGCCCACATACTCCTCCACCGTGGGACATTCCCTCACACACGTCCAGTGGAGATCGAGCGCCTGCCCTTTTCCGAGGTGCTGCATCTCCTCGAGGAAGATGTCCAGGGCTTCGGCTCCGAGATGCTTCTGGATGGACGCGGTGAGGGTCATTAGGGTGTAAGTGGCTGCGTTGACGGTCGGTCCGGTTCCGAACTTGGTGTGCGCGGAGGGATGGCCCCGGCGGAGGGGGGAGGAGTCTTCTATATCGTCTAATCTGGTTTCCTTAGCGTTATTTGGGTAATGGGGATGAAGGGGGGAATGGGAGGGGGGGTACATGAGGATCGTGGTGAAGAGGGTGGCGGTTATCTCGCGCAGGGGTGCGGAGTATTCGTCGCGGAGGGGGAACCATACGGTAAGACTGTCGATGAAGCTGGCGAGGGTGTTCTTGCCGGGGATGGATTGCGTGTATTCTATTGGTGCTGTGCAGAGCTGGTGGGGTTCGGTTTAGTGAGGGGGGACTTGGGAGGTGGGTTTGGGGAGGAAGACCTTTTCTGCGGTTGCGGTTGCGGTTGCGGGGTTGAATGGGGCGCGGAGGGTTTGTCTCAGGGGTTTGCTGATAATGGGGGTTCCCTCATCGTGTGGTTCTAAGGGCTGTGGTTCCATGGTGTGGGTTAGTCGGATGGGTTGATGCGATGCTTGGGTGAGTTGATCAGAGGTTGACGTTTAAGTATACTATAACTTAGCCGCCGCTAGTGCTGTAAGCTACGCACCCCACTCTGCAGTCAGCCCTTTGGAGTAATGTTCAACCTTCTGCATATACATATACATTCTCTATTGATCTTCAAAATTATCTGCAGGCCAGCCTGAGGCACTCGCATGCGGGTACTTGCAGCCCAACTCCCCACCACCACTACCTCCCAACAACCCAGACCTAAGCCAGATCAATCTGCAGACCCAACGTCGCATTCAACACCGAGTTTCCATAAAAGAACTCCGTGCTATTCCAGCGTTAGCAACAGCCCCGTCACCCAATCACCACATACTCCCCGAGAAAGGGAAGAAACTCACCCGGCATTGCCAACATTCACATAAGTCTCCTCCGTGAACCGACCCAAGTTGACCATCGCCATCAGCCACTCGCGCAGATCGCCCTCGAACGCCCCCTCGAACTGGGTATCCGGGAGCAGCGAGCTGACGGTAATGCCGGAGTCGTCGTTCACGCCCTCGTACAGCTTCCAGGAGGTGCCGAACAGATCGTCGATGGTGGCGACGGCACCGTCGGTCCAGCCGATGGGGAGCTGGCCGCCCTCGTACTGCAGCCAGAGCATCAGCTCGTGCGACGAGGAGGAGGTCGAGTCGCCTTTGACGTCGTTGGTCATGAAGTCGAAGCAGGTGTTTCCTTTTCTCGTTAGCTCTGGCTCTGGAGTAGGGTTGAGCGAAATGGAGGGATTGGGCGCATACCCTTGAAGGCAGTGGTGTTGGTCCTGGTCCAGGTGTAGTCGGCCGGAATGGAGGAGATGGCCGAGATCTTGGTCTCGAGGTCCGCGGTGAGGCCGACGAAGGAGTAGCCCTTGGGCACGTTGTTGCTGCACCCGGCTTGTTAGTCGATGTGTTTGTGGAATTGATGGTGACAAGGGAACATACGTCGCCTCCACATATTCGATGTCCGTCACACTGCTCCAGACAACCTCCTTGGTGCCGTTCGCGGAGGTCGTCTGCGAGTCGTAGCCCGTGCACTGGGTGCCGACCGTCTCGGCGGCGTTGTAGAGCATGTTGTACACGATCCAGGGGGTGTCCTGCAGGATGATGTAGTCGTAGTCGCCGCAGAGGGTGGTGGCCGACTGCGCAGCAGCGCGGCGGGAGACGGCGGGCAGCGCCAGCGCTGACGAGAGGAAGAGGGGGGCGAGGGTGGCGGAGAGATGCATTTTAACGAGTGTGTAAATAAAAGAGTGAAACGATTGTAGGAAGAAGAAGAATGCAAACAATGGGGAGAATAAGTTGAAATGGAAGGCAATGGCTGTTCTTAAGGATTAAGCTTAAATTAATGGTGTTCGGACGGGAGGACAACAAGCTGAAACGGGAGTGGGGAGAGGCAGATGAAGGGATCATATGGAACCACTCTGAGACAGCGAGCGGATGGCATTGAGAGGTGGGTATTCGATGGGTGTTCTGATTTGCAGGCCACTTCAATCCAGCCGTGTAAGATGCCTAGCACACGTAGTTTCCTTGAAAACATTGTTTAGGTTAGTCTGCTTGATGTAGAGAGCAGATATATCAGTGTACAAGCAGCGCTTAGCTCCAGGTAAATAGATCATCCCACATATAAATGATGCTCTATCTATGTCCAAGATGGCTCGATGCCATTCTCCACAGTCATCCTTGCTATCCGGTGGTAGATTCCATCATTCAGATCAGAATTTGTAGGGGGTCCAGTGCAGTGGGCCGATCGCGCTGCCTCTTGGCAGGGACAGCCCTAGGTTCTCAACTCCTTTCCCATTTCGGAGATCTGATAAAGGATCTTCGAGTACATCTCCTATTCCCAGACATTATATACTCGTTTGAATGCTTTGCTTCGGTGTCTGACATATTTTAACACTACCATGGAGCAGCAGAATGCCTCAGGTGGCAATACCTTGGGCGCTTGCTTGTTCGATACCGCATTTTCTAAAATGAGGGAAGTCTAAATTGAACTAGTTATAGAAGCAGCTACCTATATAGTCTAGATTATCCATTGTTCTGCGCACCCCAGGCAGCATCTTCTACAGTATTAGGGAGGCATATAGAAAGCACCTCGCCACCAATTGACATCTCAAAACAAAAAGTCTATCTACCACCTTGAACCAATAATCAACCTTTCATATTACTCAAAAAGGAACAGAGCATCGCATCAATAGCTTTTACACCCATACCCAACCCTCAATCCACCCCACCACCGCTTGCACAAAGCCCGCACAAACCATGCACGGATGACTAATGGCTCACGTGATCCCCCCCACCCAAACCCATCAAACCCACAACCAACCACTGCACCTGCAACCCCTCCCCCATCAACCATCCCGCCCCATCCCATCACAAAATGCCCCGCGTCCCCACCACCAAAGAAGTCCTCCCCGGAGCCAACGTGAACATAGTCCTGAAAGCCGACCAACCCACCGGCCGCACCGTCTCAGGGACCATCGCCGACGTGCTGACGCGGGGCAACCACCCGCGGGGCATCAAGGTGCGGCTCACGGACGGGCGGGTGGGGAGGGTGCAGTCCATGAGCACGAGCACGGGGGGGCAGTCTTCAGACCCTGCTGCTGCAGCTGAATTCCCCCGGGGAAGAGCTCCCCGGGACAGGCGGGGGGAGGCGGCCGAGCCGCCGCAGAATATCGGGCTGGATGCGTTTATCACCCAGCCGTCGCGGCAGAAGCGACGGGGTGGGAGGGGGGAGGTTGCTGGTGGAGGGGGGCTGGATGGGGGTGCGGCGGCGGTTGCGGCGGCAGCAACGACGGTGACTTGTCCGGTTTGTGGGGTTTTTGAAGGGGATGAGGCGGCTGTTGCGTATCATGTTGCTTCGCATTTTGATTGAGGGAGTTGTGGTGGCGCTGGATGGGACTGGGACTGGGGTAGGAGTGGTGGGTAGTGGAATTGATCGGATTGAGCGGGCAGTTTTGTGACTTTACTGTGCGGGAGGTGTATGGATGCGCTCTGTTGTCGCGGGTTAGTGTGTTCTGGCTTCGCTGAAGTTATTCGGGTGTTGTACAGCAGGCGGGATGCGATTAGCTGACTGTGGTCTAGACGGCCTCTACGACATGGCTAGCGAAGACTTACAGGCAGGAGAAAGAGTATGATGAACATGGAATTTCCACCCCAGAGCTATGGGATGAGTGCTCGAGATGGTCTATCAAGCAATGATGCAATCGACAAAGGCGGGAAAGTCGAGCTGAGGGCTGCCTCACTCTATTCAACCAACTCTAGAATGTACATTCTAGGGACAGATCTCAAAATCCGTTCAGACATACACCCACAACCCTGAACATCATGGATAGGCAGCAAGTATACTTATTGCGAAGTATCCACAGAACAAGGCCCAAAATCGATAGCGCAAAAATCAGACACCCCAAGTCCAGTGCAGTAGTCAAGTTCTACGCGGAGAATCCAACTAAATCATTCTAGCGATATTAAACCCATTGGGTAGACGCTAATCGCTCATCGAACTGTCTTACCCATAGAATCACCAGGATGGATCTCACCCAGCACAACCAGGCAGCCAGGGTAAGGATGAAGGTACAGGTAATCCCCCATGTGGCAGTTGCTCATCCGTGGCACTGCAGCCGCGGGCGTCGCGTGGCGGCGGCTTTGCCCCCACTGCTGCTACACCAATACGAGGGTGAGGGCGCCGGGCTAGTCCGCGAGCGTCAGCTCCACCTCAGCCTCAGCCTCAGCCCTCACTTCTCAGTCCTGTCCTCAGCCCAATGCTGCTCAGCCTCCACTTTTCTTTCCTCTGTGTCTGGTAAGTTCTAGGTTGGTCCTCGGAAGAGATCGGTCATCTTGGCTATCAAACTACCCAGAATCCAACACTAATTCAGATATGGATTCCGCTAGCAGCCTCATTTCGATCCAGCTTTAGCAAATCACTACGTCACTCGAGCGCACCTCTCCACTGTCATAGCAGCATATACTATAACCTATATACAAGAGTACTATACACTCTCGATCTGCAAGAACTCTACCTATACATTCATCGCCTATTACCCAGCAGTAACATCCACCCAGTGTCTAATGTACTATCGACCATGTTCTCACCTCATAACTATCCTAAACAACAGCACCATACCCTGCAGTAGTATCCCTAGTAAGATCTATAAACTAGAATAGTACAGTACATACATGTACCTGCACACAAAGGCCCAGACTCCATCCCTACCCAACCATCCACCAGCCCAATCACCCTCCCCCTCCTCCTTTGTCCCCCCCCTCGAAAACATGAAACAGCCCCATCCAGCCCTCCCGTATCCGGAACCCAATCCACCACCCCGGCCACCACCACCACCACCACCGAAAATCCAACCCAGCCCACGAGCACGAGCCTCATACAGTAACACAACCCAACATCCCAAAACCCCAAACCCCAAACCACCTAGAACCAAGTAATCGCTACACAACAACCCAGCCAGACCACCCCACACCCATCCAATCAAAGAAAAGTAAGTCCCGAACACGAGCCTCCCGCCAGATACAGACGAGGCGAGATCGACAACCCACCTACCTTACCTTGCCTTAACTTATACTATAATCCAGGACCGTAAAGAATAGTAGTATCCACTAACGTTAGCGCAAAGCTAGAGCCCTCCAGGCATCGAACCAAACCAAACCAAACAATCCCATTCTTCTTGCATCACCCGCCTAGACGAGACTATCGCTAACTCAGGTATAGCGTTGTGCTCACTGTCTCTCATTCAAGATGGCCGGGGTAGTCCATCCATCCGTGCACCAACACTTGAATTGAGAGAATCTCAACTCAGCCGCAAAAGCAACCACCCAAAACAGGGCTCAAGGGTCAAGGGCCGGGGGGTGGGTTGTCGAGCTAACCAGATTTTCCGCTAGCTACAAGTAAGTAGGCACTAGGATATGTGGATGGGTGGATGGTGATGGTGCAGTGGAGATAGGACAGGACGAACGATCGGATCTTCCTGGGAGGTACGGAGTGGAGTGGACTGCGGGGCTGGACACTAACTTACTACGAGGTCAAAGGATGGGACTATTGCTGCCGAAAAAGCAATTATGTGGCGACATGTCCACACCACCAATAACATGCGGGATTGGAAATCAGGATTGAGGGATTAGGAGTCAAGTATCAGGATCTGAGTTTCTGGGCGGGCGAGATGGCATCATTGTTTTGTAGTATTGTAGGTTACACTATCAAGATCATATAAAAACTAACCCGACTAGTGAAAACAGATCCACACCAAGCATGCTTTCCCCAAATCCTATACACCAAGCTAACACTCCGTCCTCGCCACCAGCCCCTCCGTCCCCGTCACCCGATCCCGATACATCCCCTCCGCCCACCCCAAGAACCGCTCCACATCGCTCACGTTCGACACCAGCCCGAACGACACCCGCACCGCCCCGCCTGACGGCAGCCCCAGCAGCTGGATATACTCCTCCACCGTCAGCGTGTCCCTGAACCGTCTCCGCAGGCTGCGGAGCAAGGACTTCGTGATCCCAAAGGCGTGCTCCGCCGCGCCGGGATTACAGAAACACCCCGTGCGCAGCGAGATGCCCGCCGCGGCGGACTCCGTCGCGACGATGCGCTCGTCAACGATCTTTCCGGTTCGATCCAGGAAATTGAAGGCGATCGTGCCGCCGCGGTCGCCGCCGGGATCGACGCCGGGGCTGTTCGGGTCAGGCGCGGGCCCGTAGATCTTCACCATCGGCGAGCCGTCGCTGTGTCGCAGCGCCTGCAGCCCCGCCAGACAGTACCCCGTCAGGCAGCGGACCCGGGTGCGGATGTTCTCCATGCCCAAAGATTCGATCCACTTCAGCCCGACCGAGATCTCGGGGATCGCCAGGAAGTTCACCGTGCCGTCCTCGAACGCCCCCTCCGTCGTGGTCAGGCTGTGCCAGTGCACGCCAGTGAGCACGGCTTGCACGGTCCCCCCGGCAAACCACGGCCGGGAGAGGCGGGCGAGGGCGTCCTTGCGGGCGACTAGGCATCCCAGACCTGTCGGGAAGCCAAAGACCTTGTACCAGCTCATCAGAATGAAGTCCGGTTGCGGGTTGGCCGGGGAAAGGTCTAGTCGGTTGGTGGGAAGGTACGCTGCTGCATCGAGCAGAACATCATAGCCGGCGTGCTGGGCCGTCGTGATCCACTCGAGTGGGTGGCGGACGCCGCTAAAGTTGCTCTGAGCCGGATAGGCGAAAAGACCTTTGCGTTTCTTCGGACGAGCCTTCGCATCTGAAGATCGACGAGTCCAGGGCCATGTGGTTGGTGTGAGTGCAGAGGCTAGGGCATCAGGATCGACGCGCAGCGACGGGGTCTGGAGCGGGAGGTAGACCGTGCGCGCGTGTCGGCGACGGGCGTACTCTCGGATGCCATTCACCGAGTTGTGGTTGTCAGCGGTGAGGAGGAAAGTCGAGTTGCGGCCGAAAGGGTAGGACTCCCCGATAAGTCGGGCGGCCCCGGTGGCGTTTGCTGTAATGATCACGGTGTAGGTATCTGGGGACGCGTTCAGGAAGCGCAGCACATCGGCGCGGGCTTGTTCCACGAGCTTAGTTGAAGCTTCGCTGGTCGGGTTGGCGGAGTGCGGGTTGCTGAACAGGTCCACGCTGAGTCGTGCCTGATGTGCTTGGTACTGCGCTTTGGCAGCTAGTCCGGCCCCAGTATAGTCCAGGTAGACATGGTTGTTCTCGTCGAGGTAGCTGTACTCGGTTGCACGCAGCCGGTCGAATGAAGCAGTCGTCTCGTATTCAGGAAAAGTCTCCAGAATATTCCGGCTGGTGCTGACAGCAACCTCGGGCTCAAGCTCGCTGGTTGGAAGACTGGAAGTAGACGAAGGAGGGGTAGGAGGCAGACGGGAAGGGGCTTTGAGGGTATATCCTAGTGAAGGGGGGATGGCCAGCTTCAGGTCAGCCGGGGGGAGCATCTGCGGGACGAATGACTGCATGTTGGGAAGCAAGTATGTAACGAATCAATAATCAGGTGTGTAGAGAATATGGTTGGACCTGAGGCAGACAACCAGCGAGGGGTCGCCTTTATAGCTTCGCAAGGGGACCCCTATGCTGTGAGATTGAGTTCCTCAGCCGGGCACACAAAGCCATTCTTCGATCGAGACCATCAGCCTCCCGCCGTCAATCTGGCCCGAGGAAATCCCATGATACTGTCAGGCGAACCCTCCGAGCCAGCCGGGTGCGGTTCCCCCTGCGCCAGAGAATCCTGCGCCTCGGCGTCTCTCCCCCCCACGACCCCCGACTCGTGTTTGCTGACCGCCGTCATTCGCAGACGGCGCAACCCGCCATGGATCAGGGGTGGTGGGAAGGGAGTATCCTAGCTGGATAGTGGATATCCTCATGCAGGTCCAGCTCTGTTGCGTGCTGATAACGGCAGTGCAGTCACCGTGGCCGGCGTTCGTTGTGATGCTTATGCGAGCTGGATGCGGTTGGCACGACGAGAACCCTGTTGCGGGGTGATAAGATGTGAGCAGGTCGCATTGTACCGCCAAGCAGCCAAGCGACATTGGGGCCCAACGAGACCAAAATTCGGTCCTGTGAGGGCAGTGTTCGTGTTCTGGAGATAGTAGGTAAGCTTAGCATTCCCGACAGAAAAATGAGGAGAGCTGACTGTCGATCTAGACATAATAGCCTTGTTCGCAGGACGGACACGACAAGACAATAGCCGGAATAAGCGACACTCGCTCGAGCCAGCGATTTAGCCATTGCGCTTCAATTGGCCGGCGTATAGCAGCCAGACTATTGCTCCTAGTGCGATTAATGCGCTGAATAGCCTATGAGATGGCCTAGGGCGACTCGCCACTAGCACATCTCGCAGACCCTGGTACGAACATGTGTTCCTGGTCGGGAAAGAAAGCATAGAGGTCATCTGCTGGTCGATGGATTGGGCGAATGCCAGCTTCCCAGCTGCCCCTCAGGTTCACTTTGCTGACATACCTGGTGGCGTCGCAGGACTGGGCTGGCTGCTCTAGCGGAGGAATTGGAATGATATCACAGTGACAAACGTGCTGATTCCGACGCCGTTCCCATCGTTGATGTCGAAGACAGTCAAGCGGCATAAGGCGGAGATAAACAAGTATCGTTGGTAAGGATCAGGGATGAAGCAAAGGAAGAGGAAGCCTTCCTCGGTCGACCGCCAGCCAATCCGGAGATGTTTTCACCGCCCGCTCGGACCATTTGTTCTTTTCCTTCTCTCCTTCTTTCCTTCTTCCCCTCCCCCAAACTCAATCATCAATGCTTTGATCTACAACTGATCTACAACTCACAATCCATTTGTTACATTATGTGGGGAAATCTCCCAGCGCTGCTCTATCTTCAATTCAACCATTACAAACCCATCTACTCCCCTGAGGCATGAATCCCCCCCAGTATGACGGACATACCCAACGACCAACCGCAGCCCGACAGACCGAGTATTTGGAATTGCCCATGCATCGCATCACAGCCCACCGAATCACGGCGGCTAATTCTCCTTCCTGCGTGCATGGCATCTGATTGAAGGATTCCAGTTGCGCCCACCGATGTATCCGCGTCCTGACTGCACTGGCCATCACTCGAACCGTCGACTGGAGTTCAGGCTCGACAGTCAGAGTTTACTAAGGGTGCCTACGGAGGTGTCCACTAATTAAGGCTGCATTGGCCGCCGGGCACTCCGCAGATCCACGGCTCAGGGTCACTGCTGCTCCACCAACACGCAGTGGTATAGTCCTCGCTAATCGCATTGGCCTTCTTAATCGAAGATATTCGACTCGTGAAGTACTATAGATGGGATCCGGCACCGGTATCACCCGGGTCACACAGCGGCATGGTCTGCGTCACCCCAGCGTCGCACGGCCGCGCAGGGTGACTCGTGTATGTGAGACCTGCGTGAGCCTTGGAATCCGGACGGTCGGTGAGGGTGAGTCGCGTCGACGGCATTTGCTGCGACCATCTGATCTGGATTTGGGGGGTGTTGCGAGTGCGAGTACCGAGCGGGGTATGCGTGGGTTATACGCAGGGGGGTGGTGGATATCATGCACTGTCGCTCTCTAGCGTCCATTGTATAGTCCTCCGTTCAACGCCCCGAAATGTGACAGGAATGCGGTTCTCGTCCAATCACCCCTTCAAAGCTAGTGACCAGATCCCATGACCGGATATTTCCGCAACCCAATCTCGCATCCTCAATCGTGGAATCTCCCGCACAGTATCATTCGATTGCCAGTGGCAATAGCTATCACATCGATCGTTATCGGGCAAACAGTACTCTACACACTTTCCACTATCCATCTCCCTTCTACGCAGCTCGCATACTATCTTTTGATTGCCAGCAGGAATAGTTATCACATCGGTTGAGCTATCGCATATCCACCAACTCTACACACTTTCCACTATCCATCTCCCCTCTGCGCAGCTCGCAAACCACCCTACTAAGCGTTGATGCTAATCTCATACGGCGCAACAGTAAACCACGCATCCGACCCCGTCATCGGCTCCGTCCCCGCCCCAAGCGTCTGGAGGTACAGACTCGACGAGACGCCCTCGTTGTCGATCAGATAGTTGAAAAAGTCCATGATATCGCCGGAGTAGTCCTGGACATTCTCACGGGCCACGAAGCTGAAGACGGTCCAGTCATTGGGGCCCTTGTACAGATCCCACACGCGGCCGCCGATGGTCGGGCTGGCGATCGGACCGTCCGCGTTGCCGATCGGCTCGATGCCGCCGTACACGCCCAGCCAGACCATGACCTCGTACTCGTGGGTGGCGGTCGTGGAGGCGGTGGTGGAGAAGAAGGCGTCGTAGGAGACGTCGGCTTTGAGGTCGGTGCCGGTGTAGCTGTTGACTGGTTAGTGGGGGGTGCCTGTCGCTTGCAGCATGCTGCAAAGACTTACCTCCACGACCACGTAGTGGGGATGCTGGTGATGGAGCTGAGTTGCTTCGCGCCGACGTTCAGCACCGCGTTGGGGTAGCTCTTGACGTAGTCGGCGCCGCCGGCCCAGGTCCACGAGGTCTGCCACGAGATGGAGTTGCCGCTCACGTAGTCGAGGTAGGTGCACTCCGAGCCGGAGGTGGCGTAGTCCTCGCCCCAGAGGTTGTTGTAGAGGATGAAGTCGTCGGTGGTGATGATGTTGTTCTTGGTGCAGATGCTCTCGATCGCGTCGCGGGCGGTGCGATGCGCGGCAAGCGCGGGCGCAGCGAGGAGGGCAACAGCGTACGGTCTCATGACGATAGCACGACGGAGTTGAATTTTGTCCGATTGACTGACCTTGAGAAGAGCGAAGATGATCGCGATTAAATCCTCGGTCGCAAATTCAGGGGGTTCCGCCCCCACGGGTTAGCGTGATAGCGTCTCTGCTTCCATGGCAGTGTTGATCCTCTGATTGCCTGTTCCTGACTCCATGTTGGTGGCTGAGCCGGAATTAGATCGGTGTTGCTTGAAGCTTGGGGTCCACCTCGGGGCGATGCCAAGTTCGATTGGCAGATCGATATCCGCACTATCAGGCTGTCTGCCTTGCTTGAGGATTCACACATCGCTTCATGGTCACATGATCCCCGGTAGTTGACGGGAAGGACACTCCGATAGACATTCACGTGACCTTGAATCGCTAATACCGGTTCTTCTCAACTTCACCGTCCTCCTCATCTTAAACTAATTCCGTGGAAGTATTTTCAAATCAGGTCAATCTCACTTTAACACAGAGACACACCACCAGAAAGAATTAATCTCGGGGTTAGCCGTGAAAAGCAGCCACCCATATACGCCTCTGGGATATTCCTATGTATCCCCGCAAGCTGAGCGGTGTAGCCAAGGTGATTGACGGTACCGTACTAGTATAGAATCACAGGCATTCATCGACGCACCCTAGGATCATTCCGCGATAGCAGAGCCAGAGACAGAAGAATTCCTTGCTGCTGAAAGGTTGTTGTGCGTTCACTCAACCTTCGAAGGCAGCATCCAAAGCATTTTGGCCCACACGTTTCCTCAAAAGAATAATCCTTAGACCGTGTTCTTGGGCGGGGAGCAACACGGCCACGTGATACTCGAAGACAATATCTAGATTGTATTATTGTGCTGTTCTAATATAAGATATAAACCTCTGGTGAGATGAGACACCACATGACATACGTAAGTGATATGTCGGTTGGCTCAGGCTCGATCTATGATCAGTTGCATGTTTTGCCAGTAGTTGAATTCCTTTACCATCAGAAGCCTTATAATCTTCTTTGTTCAAATTATGACTACTTTGTCGTACAAGCAGCTTCGCGGTCAATCGTCACCTCAAGGCGTTGTATCTAGTTATCACTATCCCATTGGGCTTGTAGGTAGTCATTGGAAGAAATTTAGGTAGCACAGAATGAGAGCTCCAGCAGCAGATGCACTATCGCGCGTTTTCTCTTCTCTCTAGTATATACAAACTAACGGAGGAGACTCCTACTAGGTCTATTCAATCCCGGAATGCAAATCCGTTTGGACTTAGCCAGGCGATGAAGTGAGCGGCCCCATTCTCCTCTGTCAATCGGCATTCGGTTTCTTATGTTGTACAGCCCTTGCCCATCGGGTGCCCTCATGCATTCACATTTGCCTCGTTGGCCGCGCGTCGGGAGTGCGGAGTGGTTTCCAATCAAAAATGCCTCGATCAAGCTATCGAGCGGTAGTACGTCTTCCCCAGTAGGGTTGTTCAGACTTTATAGCGTGCTATTGTCATCTCGCACAGTCGCCTAGCGCTGCTATATCGTAGTCCATATACCTGGAATCATGAAAGCTTTATTCTCTCAGTGGTCTTGACAGTTGTCTAAACAATTACCTGTACTCATCACTTCATAAATCGAATGAACTTGGTCTCTGTAACAATCTTTACTTGAGAAAGAGGTCTAGCTTCTCAATCTGATGAGTGTAATGTTGCTGCCCTACTAGACACATTGATATCTGCCCATACTTACTTTGATAGGTGAAGTGGCTATTACGGTGGCCTTACTGGGTTGCTGCCGATTACTGTATGTTGAGTTAACTACCGTAGTTAGCGCAAATGACGTCAGCGGGCCGTCCCCGCACCGCATGTCACCACCAACCTACCGCAGCAACTTGAGCTTCACACTTGAGCTTCACATCTACCCAAATCAGCACACAATGGCCTCCGAATCTGCCGCCACACCTCCCTCCTCCGAGCAGGTACATCAGCCTGGCACCGCCGACGGCTGGCACGGCATCATCCCCAGCAATGCCTTCCCCGCCGAGCCCCACCGCTACCACCTGTACATCGGGCTGTTCTGCCCGTTCGCGCACCGCGTCAACTTCGTCCGCCACCTGAAGGGCCTCACCAACATCATCCGCACCAGCGTGGTCAAGCCATACCCCAAGGGCGACTCGAAAGGCTGGCCCGGGTGGAAGTTCCCGGCCAGCGACACCGAGTACCCCGGCGCGACGGTGGACCACCTCTTCGGGGAGGACTACCTGCACAAGGTGTACTTCCGGGCGGATCCGGAGTACAAGGGACGGTACTCGGTGCCGTTGCTGTGGGACACGAAGAGCAACACGGCCGTTGCTAACGTATGTCCCTGTGGTCGTCGGATTTGGCCCCTCCTCAACCGCTCACAGACAGCAACAGGAAAGCATCGACATCCTGCGCTGGCTGCCCCGCGCCTTCGACGCGCACATCCCGCCCGCCCTCGCCGCGATCGACCTGTACCCGTCCCACCTGCGCGCCAAGATTGACGCCATCAGCCCCTGGCTCCAGGCCGACCTCAACACCGGCGTGTACAAGGCCGGCTTCGCCGAGACGCAGGAGGTCTACAACGAGAAGGTGATCCCGGTGTTCGGGGCGCTCAACAAGCTCGAGCGCCTCGTCGCCGCCCACGGCGGGCCGTTCGTGCTGGGCAGGGAAATGACGGAGCTGGACGTGCTGCTGTACGCGACGCTGATCCGCTTCGACACGGTGTACGTGCAGCACTTCAAGTGCAATCTCGGGACGATTCGGCACGACTACCCCGTGTTGCATAACTGGCTGAAGGGCATGTACTGGGATGTGCCGGCGGCGCGCGCGAGTACGGACTTCCGGCATATCAAGGAGAATGTAAGTTGTGTTTCCCGGGGGGGTTGGGCAGAGCTGATGGAGGCAGTATACCAAGAGTCACGAGATGATCAATCCGAGGGCGATCACGCCGGTCGGGCCGTATCCGGATGTTGAGGAGGGGGTGGAGCGGGATTGGGGGGTGTTGAGGGTGGGAGGGGTGAAGCACCCGAAGGTTTTGGAGTATGAGGCTGGGATTCCGGATGTAGCTGTTTAGGACTGGGTTGTCAGGATGTCTAGGATATCCCTGAAAGTGGTCAGTCGCAAGACCCGATGGTGAAATGTAGAGCATTCATTAGCAGTAGCCTGTCAAGAGAGAAGCAACACCCAGCCAGAGCTTCCTGAACCTCGGTGCAGGTGAAAACGGCGATCGCTTCCTACATACTCTTTTCCAGGATGCTCACCATAATTTGAGCAAAGACTGCAACTCACTACTAGGATCTTATCTCGAAGAATTAGAAGGGTGACGATCATTAATGTGCCTCGGCCAACGCGAAGCAACCAGCGTCGCAGCTGAAGTATATTTCGGGCACCAGGAACCCGCCGGGACGATCGGCTCGAGATCGCCAGGAACCTACCACAGTTCCCATTTTTGGAGGCTCCGCATGCATCGCGTTCTGAATGAACATCAGAGTGAAATGTGTCTTCAGTGTCTCGCTAACCTGCATAAGATGTCACAGGATAGTCCGGAGGCACCCCGCCGTTTCACCCTACCCCACACCGTTCCATCTATTTCCGACCACGGAGTCCTGCAGGAGTTCATGCAGACAAGAGTTACTGATCACTGACCACTGACCACTGACCACCTGTTCGCCCGCTTTCCATAGGCCTAGAACCATATCCATACTCGAAATCGTAAACAAACAGGCACTTACCACCATAAACCACTCTTCCCCAACCAAACCACCCCAAAAACAAGTCCCCGAGGACAAAACACGAGCACAAGTACAAACCCTCCGGCCCAAAATTCAGTCCCCGCTGGATCTCTCCCGACGCGATCCAACCCAACGCGACCCAAAAATCGAGCCACCTCAACCTCCGACAATAGAACCTGCAAGTTGAGATTCAGATACGAAACCCAATTCTCAGGAAAGCCCCTACCCCTATCTCCCACCACGCACCCACCACCCAGTGCAGTACTGTGCAGCACAGAAAAGAAGCAAGATATAAACCCCGTCTCCTCCCCCTATAGCCCAAAATCCATCAACAACATCGCAGGCTCGGTTTTCTTCTTCAGTCCACTCCATTCCATTCCCTCCGCACAACCATCCAACCATCCATCCAACCATCCAATCTCTAACAAGACCAGCTAAGATAATCCCTAATCCTAATCGTGCGCCCCCCTCCCCTTCACACAGCCAAACCAACCCCCACCCCCACCCCCACCCCAACATCCGACATTCTAAAAGCAACAGCAACAGCAAGAACAGAAAATGCAGTTCACCATCCTCACCACCCTCACCACCCTCTTCCTGGCCGCCTTCGCCGCCGCCAACCCGGAGGCGAACCCCGAGCCGTTCAACATCGGCTTCGGCGTCGATGCCGCTGCCAACGCGGCCGCCGAGGTTGCCGCGCAGGCCGGGGCGGGGCTGGGCGCGGGAGTGCATATCTAAGCCCCCCACCAGCTTGCGGAGATCAAGAGGCTGGTAAGTGGTTCAGATCTTTTGGCGCTCTGTTATTGGTGCGCTAACCTATCTTTCTCTTGAGTAGTTGAAAGGCGGATTCATTGTTGGTGAATTTTGCAGTGCGGTGGTTGGTATGGATGGGTTATTTAAGTTCGGAATCATCTTCGGTTGGTTGGTTGGTTGGTCGGATGGCTGTCAGACATAGGGAGAGAGACTGGGTCTCGAGCAGTTCTTGTCTTTAGTTTCGCTAATGGAAGTTGAGGTTATGATATTGTGTTTCCCGTTGTGGGTCATTGCGAGGTGCAAGGATCATACGGTGGCACCTGGTAGCTGTGGAGTCAAAGTGCAGTAGTGATTACCTGGTACTAATCTCTTGAGATATGGGTAACATGATTACCATGAGGTGTGCATGTGGATCGGTAAAGCAAGGCTTGCCTGTTTGGTTGATATCATCCTGCTCTACTACTACCATATCGGTGTTTAATCAGTCATCAGTCCCCGATATCCCAATCAACGATTCTGTCAAACGAGTACTTGATCCTTGCTAGCCAGTCCCCTCTGGATTGAAGCTACCTACTTTTTGTCGCATAGACCAAGTACTCACTGCCGACAATTCGTGGGAAGTGATCGTAGTCCCATCCAGATTTCTCTAGGCTCGACCCCAAGACCCGCAAGTCACTGAAGTGGTGCGCTGTAATAACTTTATCCCAAGAGAGATGATTATATCGACAAGGACAGACATAGGCATATCTGATTTAGACAAGCACCATTTTCGTCATAGGCGAGTCCGACCGGACCAAAGATAAATGCGGCACAGTTGGCATGCCTCGTTGGTGGAGGCGCTAAACGTCACGGCTGGGGTACGACGGTACCCTCGTCACCATGTGACGGCGCTTGCATCGTGGCTGGCTTGCACCTCATCAAGAGATCGTGGCCTGTCGTTTCTGGTCAAGGCTGACGAGGCGCACACTGTGCGGAGGGTCATTACAGACAAGAGACCCCCTCATTCTCGCCGTCGCCATGCTGCTCTCTTCGTTCCCAAGATACCCCACTGTCCACCTACCGATCCTTCAAGCTCTTACGTCTAGAAATGGCGAACATGACAGATCGCGGGCAGCAGAAACATCATTTTATTCCCCGGTTTATCCTGCGACAGTTCGCCCCGAGGGAGCAGCCACCAGCCGGCCCGGCCGCATCCCCCAGCGCAGCCTCGCGCTGTCGCGACTTTCTCGTGAACAAAGTCGACCTGCAGATTCCAGCGCTCACCCAGCGTCCGGTGTCGACGGAGTTCGCCCTTGTGGACATGTACCGCGACCCGGGGTTCGACGAGAACCCGAACCACCTGGAAGAGAAGCTCTCGAGGGTCGAGGGTCGCGCGAGCGAGATCATCGACAAAGCGCGTCGGACCTTCGCCGCCCGGGGCTCGATTCTCACGCTGCAACGGATCGAAGTCGACACCCTGCGCAAGTTTCTCTTCCTCATGAAGTATCGGAACACGGGGATGTTCGACCGGTACAACCACGACGATGCCCGCAGCTACCAGGCCGACGACCGCGCGCGTATGTTGCGGTACATGCAGACCAAAGGATTCACGGCGCCGCGTGACGTGTGGTTCGACAACCTGCGGCAGATCCTGGACCTGGAGCTGGATGACCCGAGGAGAAGCTGGCGCGAGACGCTGCGCCGCCGGATCTACCCGGACGACGCGGCCATGTTCGAGCATCATCTCCTGCACAGCTTCATGGCGTTCGGGGAGCCGGACGACCCCCCGGAGGAGTTTCTGCTGACCGAGAACGCGTTTGGGATCTTCGAGGGGCCGTGCTCGACGACCGTGGACCCGCAGAGCGGGCTTCGGGAGGTGAGTGTGTACACCGAGTTCCACACTTTCGCACCGCTCGCGCCTCGACTCGCGATCATCCTGCGGAGCCACCTGCTGCCGTTCCCGGGCGATCAGGGGCTCGCGCAATCCCTACGCGCCAGCCTGGTAGAAGCACAGCGCGCGGCCCACCACCAGCCGGACGAGCATCGAGCGATATCTGGCAGATGAGGACCCTCGCTTGAAACAAGTGCTGGACGTGCCGGGCGACCGACGGCGCGCATACCTCGGCGCACTGCAGAAAGTCCTCACCGATCTGGGCGGCTCGGCCCGGTGTCGCATCCACCCGTTCGACCTCGCGGCGGCGCGAGTCCGGGTCCATATGGCCATGAATGTGGGGTTGCTGGTTGGGGTCCAACTGCTGGAGAGCCTGCCGCCGCGATGCCTGCCGCCCGTGTATCGTCGGCTCAGACCAGGTAAGTCAGTCGTAGTCTAGTCGAGCGATCACAGAGCCCGTGGATGCTGACGCGGTCGCGTAGACGCCACCCTGGAGACGTTCTGGTACGACCTAGATCAGGCCAGACGACTCATGGTGCTGAGAACAAAGATTGATCGGGCGATCTCGACCTCCAAGCTCACAGAGGGGGCCAAGGCCCTGGTCCGGGGCCGAAGAGATGTGTTCTTCGGGAGCTTCCCCCCTGGAAGACAGTGGCTGCTGTGGAAGATCGCGCGGAACATGAGCCGGTGTGACGTGGGCGATACTCTGGATTATATCCCAATCCTGGACCTGAATGGCCCTGAAGATACGTTATGGAGCACGCCGTTCTGATTGTCAGGTTGGGAGCCGTCAGAGTTCGCGGCGTATGGATCTCAGGGTGATCGAGGCGTATCTCGCCCTTTTCTTTTCGTTTCTGAAGGGGAAGGGAGAGCAGGCTCTGGAACAAGCTACTCATCACTCACATGTTGGAACGAGTTGAGGACTGCGAATTTATTGCCATGACAAAACATAACTGGTCTCGAAATGTAGGTAGTCTTTTTCGTGTTCGGTAGTGCCGGGTTCGAGGTGAGTCGCCGGACCCCAGCCTGGTTACCTGGTATCAATTTGATTTCAATATGTGATCCATCCAAGTCTTCCTTTCATTACAGAAGTGAATATGGTCAAGAGGTCTAATATTAATGCAGTAATCGACCAGGGGGGGACCCCATCTAAAGTAAGCTGTCAGAGACTCCTTGAGTCGAATATATTCTTTACAAACAACGTCAGTCGAGATTTCGACCATGGAAGATCTTGTACCTCTCTATGGGATATCCCCGAGCCTTAAGCAGAGAGGGGTGTAACAAAGTTTGAAGCTTATTAGAAAGCCTTGCTCTTGTCCTCTAAACTCCCGGAGTTTTTGATTGTAGAATGAAAGCAGGGATTTGAGTTTTAACAACCACTCTACTCATTCGTGGGGTGGAGGCGACCAACCAACCCGTGGGTACCGAGAGCATTTATGCTTTTCAGATGCAAGGATGACTCAGCCAGGCGCGACATAAGTTAGTTAACTAGTTGACTTTGCATCCATGACATGGACCCCGTCGGAGCTGCATCTCTCGCTGCGTCTCCCAACAAACAACCACATAGCACCCATCTAGCAGGACAATGCCGTAGCATTGATTGAGTAAGAAGAATAACACCCAAGCAAAGAAGCTCAAGCGTAACGTAACATCATCAATTTGCCCATAATCCACTCCCATGCCACCAGGACACAAAGGAAACATGCATATCGATCCACAACACACACATCTATATATACACCGAATAGAAAGGACAACGAGAGAATAGAAAGGTAGAGGAGCTCAAACCCAAACCCAACCCCCCCCCAGCCACTGAATCTTCCAGCCGAGCCACAACACCCTCCACCACCAGCACATGATGCCCGATGCACGATGCACCCCCTCAACCACCAGCACACACACAACCCCGACCAAGCCATCCAAACCACCCAAACCCCCCAACTAAACCAACTCCAACAACGCCGGCACCACCGAGTTCATATACGTATCATACACCATGTACGAGCTCGTATTGCCCAAGAAGATCTGCTCGGAGATGTTGCCCACCTGCGTCAGCAGCGTCGGCAAATGCACGGTGTCGGGGACCCCGTAGACCATGGACGCCAGCTTGGTGTGGCTGTTACTGGAGGCGTTGAGCTTGGTGAAGGTGCCGGCGGAGATGGCGTCCTGGAAGGAGGAGTAGGGCGACTCGAAGACGACGGTGCTGTCCGCTAGGTCGAGGTAGGCGTTGTCTGGGGGGGTGCCGGGGTTGGTGACCACCTTTTGTATCGGTTAGTACTGTGCTGGATGAGGGGGACCGGGACCGGGAGGTTAGGTGAAGGGTAAGGGGTAGGGGCATACGTAGTTCTCCGGCCCAAGCCCGTCTTTACTCTTGATGAGATTCGACAAGGTCGTGTAGTAGCTGACCAGGTCGGCGCTGTAGGCGTTGGGCGCCTCGTCCAGGAAGATCCCGTGCACCGCGAACGAGCTGTTGCCCGACGCGCTGGGCCAGTTCGCGTACGTGTTGATGTCCTTCTCCACGTCGGCGATCGCCCGCGTGCCCTTTTGGGTCGGGACGTAGCCGATCGCCAGCACGTTGGAGTTGGCGGTTAGGCTCGGGACGGCGGTGAGGAAGGCTGCGTCGGGGAGGGCGCTGGTGCCCGGGCCGCTGCTGGGGTTGATGATCACGGTGAAGTGCACGTCCGGGAAGGATGCCACTCTTTGTTGAATCAGTTCTGGGTCTTGGGGGGTGGGTGATGTAGGTGACATACAAGTCCAACAAGGGAGTCCATTTGCCCGGGTCCGGGTACACGTAGAACGGAATGATCACTTGCGCTTTCAGGCTGCTGATCGCTGCCGCCGCGGACGAGGCCGCCGCTGCTGCCGAGGATGCGACGACGGGGGCGGACGGGATCACGGATTGGATCGCGGTGGTCGTGGTCGCGGTCGCGGTCGCGGGCGCCACCACAGTCGCTGCAGCTGTCTCGCTGTCGTGCGGCCGGGTCTGCCAGATCGGGGGCCCGACGCTGTAGCCCTGGTGGTGGTGGTGCTGGCGTCGGTGCAGGTGGTCGTGCTGATGGTGGCCCGCGGTGGCCGGCGCGGGGAGCAGGGCGATGCAGCTCAGCATCACCCCGAGGGCACGAGAGGGAGTGGTCCAGACCATAGTGCAGGAAGTAAAGAGAAAAAGAACGACTTGAGGTTAAAGAAGTTGAAACTGAAGGTAAAAGGTAAAGACGCTTGCCAGAAGCTCTTGAAGTCCCGCTGGGTTCCGGGCTTCTGGCCCTGAGGGACAGACCATCGAGTCTTTATACTCAGCTCTCGTCCCCGCCAGGGTGAGGATTGCGTGTGTGCCTGGCCCAATGCCGAAGCCAGTCATCAAGTCAATGGAGTCGCTTTTCAAGGTCAGAGGAGTAGGCGCTGGGATTGGGGATCGGACATTTAATGTGAAACAACAGGCGAGGATCCGATTAGCGGGCAAACGGGCAGATCCTGGCCCGAGTGGAGATTGCAGGGGGACTGTCATTCCACCGCCAGCCCTCATTGGATCTCGCTTGGAAATTACTATGTACTTCTAGTCGATGTGCCTGGCACTGAGGGCTAGAAAACTTTTCCGACTTCGTTCTTTCTTTCTTCCTTTCTTCCTTTGACGGTACCCATCACAATTGCGGTCGAGGTTTCTTTGATGAGGGTTTGCCCCTGCAGATGCGATGGGGTGGCCGTCTCACTGCTTTCTTTGTGTGTTCCCGCACCCTGTACTGTACATTACAGCGTACACTACGGAGTACGGAGTGCATACTACCGGGTCAACATGTCTTCGCTGACCCCGCGGCCCATCAGACCAATGCGCGCAATGCAGCAATGCAGGCTAGGTAAGATCACGACTCGTGTAGGCGCCCTTAACTACCTACCTAGTACTCAGTCTACAGCCATCGACAAGGACCGACCTACTTTCTGTCCCCCACCGCGCACTGGGCCAGCCCCCGTCCAATTTCCCCTCGCCCATGACCTCGAATTGCCAACCCGGCCAATCCCTTGGTCCGCACGGACAGGCGTCTGTTGGACCCGCCCCATCGGTGGCGTTTATCTAATCCGATCACGGCCGCCCATCTCATTTCATCTCCTCTCATTTCATCTGTGCTGGGTTGAGCTGTTCGAGGTTCTCGATGACGGGCACAAACCACCGGGACAGACAAAGAATGTTTTGGGGGATGGATGGCTTTGCTGGTCGCGATGGGCGAAAGTCCGACCGTAGAATGGGTCGGGGGGGTGTGTTGTTTTTTGGTCACATTTTGAACTGCTTTGTACCGTGACCGGTCAATATACTTCGCTGCTGGACCTAGTGACAATCGGATGGTTTGAACGAGAATCATGGCTCGCATTCGAGATGTCATGGTCCAGGGAAGATGGCCTTGAGGATAGTTAAGGCCGAGTGGGAATCCTTGGGGTCGGAATTAAGCCCGCCGGCTCGAACCGTGGCTCGGAGGCCCGGTAGTTGTCACCTCGGGGGGTGGTACTTGTACCTCGCGGTGACCGAGTAATACCTCGCCAGGGAGGTGATCAAAAGGGGTCATTACGGAGTTCTTTGTGTGTACAACCACTGAGATGTATCACCGAAATGAAGGTGATACTCCTGGCACTGTCACGGTAGACACGGTTGGACCACAAAGACTTGCCTTCAAGATTGCGATCGCTGGAGGGTGCTGTGGGTGGGAACTATGATTGGGCGCTGTTTCCTGGGATAGGGCCGGACGTAGGGCTCCTCGGACGACGGAGCATACTCTGTGTCTGCTCCGATGCCCGTACCTGAGCACAAAGCAGATTGCATTGGATCTGTCAATGTAGGGTGTCCTTGCATGCTCAAACAACAAACAAATCCTCGACCCGGGCTGTAGCGGTGAACTGACGAGGGGCGACTCCTGCCAGCTGGGGTTGGCTGACACCTGCTGATGAGTCGATTCAAGTTTGCGCGATCAAGATTAGTCAAGACCGGTCATCACGAGGCGGCGCCAATGTCAGGGGAAGAAGGAAGACGAGCGCGGCGGGAGTCGAACCTGCATCCACAAACGGGCTCGTATCCTGACTTCGGCAGCTGCTTAGCAATTGCGCGCGACCCGTGCATACTGCCAGCATTGACTCGGATTGAGTGAATTTGCGACTCAGTGCTTGTCTTGTCTCTTCCCAGCGGCGTTAGAAACTGGACACCAGTGCTTAAAGGTGGCACAGCAGCCGATTAGGTTGATAGAGTTATCTCTAACCCAACGTGGCCATTGGTCGCGTCAGTCCTGTCCTCCTGCCTTATCGCCCCCAACTGCGGGAGCCTCAGGTCGCTAGGCGAAGTCCGCCGTCAAGCAGGGACAGTCTTATTGATACCAAGGCAGCTATCGCAGCATCGATGGCGAATTCCCGCCCGAACTTGTAAGCTGACTATAATGTCTTGTGCTCTATTGTCCTGCAGGATCGCTGATAGAGTACTTATCTCCGTCGGTTACACCGAGTCCACCGAGTCCGCCGGGTCCAGCCTGGATTTCAACGTGTCTGACCGGCGGAGTTGGTATGTCACCATGAACTCCGCAAAGCGATGGCTAAAATTGTCTTGATTGTTGAGGGGTGAGAAGAGGATACTCCCCGAGAGCAGTCACCAGCCTCCACCGTTCCAAGATAAGGTGATCAGCGATTACTCGAGTCGGTCGGCGTTGGATGGCCACCCAAGCACGGATCTCCCATCAACCTCATTCCGCTGCAGTGCAACCCTGGGGTTAATTAGTGCATCACATGTCTTACCTCCAGGTTGGAGCAAACGCTTTCTGGCCGTGGGTGAAGTGCCAAGATGCCGGCTAGAACTCTTAGTCGGATTCTCGAAAATGACTGGCAGCCGGGAGACTAGTTGATCTAGCCCGGAGCAACGTGCCAAGGGTCTCCCAGCCCCAGCAGGCTGACACCTGGGGCAAACTCAGGCGAGTGCAGTGTTATCGCAGTGACCGTCCAAAACATGACTGCTGCTGTCGTTGCCCGCATGGTGAGCTATATGGCCATCGTTTCTACGGAGTATCGGAGGAGACCTGAGCTTGTCAGACACCCTTCCACACCTGTTGATCACGCTACATGACTCGGGGGAACGTCGGGGATGGCGAAGTCGGGTGGACATTGATTTCACAGAGAGTCATGGCGGCTCCAGCAGCGAAGGCAGCACAGTCGGGTGAAGGATCTTCCTGCTCCGGGGATGTGGGCAGAGCAGAGGAGTTGAGGCTATCCTCGGCGAATCCGCGTGTGTGGCTGGGATTGCCTTCCACACAGTCAGGTGATTGGCAAGCCGGCTGCCCTCCCGATCCACTTTTCCTCCCCTTGGCCGCACCAAAAACCTTCCACGAACCGTGCCGGAAGGATCAGAAAAAAAAAACCTTGATATCTGCTGATGGCTGATGCAACCTTCTTCTTTGATATGATATTGCTTGATATTGTTGATAGATAGCAGTCTTGCTTTATCTCCCGTTTTTTCCCATATGTCTTCTAGAATACATCATCTGTCTCACTGAACTTTATTGCCACCTGTTCGGAGGCTGTCCGGTGAGGATGAAAATAGCATAGCATCGACCCATGAGCCAGACTTCACGTCGATCCGGGAGAATCAGGCTAGATTCGGTGCGCGTGTGCCTTCTTTTCCCTTGAGGTCTAGCGTAGCACCACCGGCCACACCCATAGGCTAAACAGAAGAACTGTGACTAAGAAGAACCGGCGAGGCAAATAGGGTTGCAACCTTAGGAATCCACCCCAGCAGAGCTTATCACCGCACGACTCTCCTTTGGGCAATCTCCGCCACTGCACCACTGGGTAACTCAGGGCTGCAGCCAGTCTGCGTGGCGGGAAACCCTCTTATCACACACTGCACCTCCCCATCGGTCCACTGCTCTGGTTTCGCTGTTATCGTCTCACCCACCCAAAGTGAATTAAAGCTAGCCAAAAGCCCCACTGCCATACACCACGAACCCCACTTGAATTTTCCCTCCCCTCCTCTTGGCTTGGCTGCCCTCATTCACTCCCTCCCGCTGGGAATAAAATCCTGTCCACGCCGTGACGTTTCCTCCTTCTCTCTCCTCCTCCCTCTTCCTCCCCTCCCAAATTTTTGGGCCTGGGGGGACTGCTACCTTTGTCTTTCCCAGTATCTTATCACCAAACCTCAATCATGGCCCAGGTCGGCACGAGAATCGTCTCCGCCCTCGAGCTGGACTCCAGCCGGGATTCGCGGTGGTCCAATGAAGGTTGGATTTCTTTACTTGCCCGCGCACGCGACGCCTGTTGTTGACTTGGCCTTCCTGCAGATCTGCTACCCACTCCCCCGGAGCAGTGCAGTAAGTTGTTCTCGGTGTGTTGACATCGGTGAGAGCCCGGGCTAATCTGCACCCTAGCCTGGCGTTGGTGGAACTATGTCTCCTTCTACTGGTCCATTTCGTTCACCAACTGGACTCTGGGATCGGTAAGCGCGTTCGCCTCAGCCCTGAGTGAGCACCATCACGGAACCCCCCTCTGACCGCAGCAGAGTATGATTGGAATTGGCCTTAACTGGTGGCAATCCATCATCGTGATCTTCGTCTCCCAGATGATCTCCTCGATCGCGATGGCCTTCAACTCGCGCGCGGCCAGCGTGTACCACATCGGCTTCCCGTGCGTGGGACGCAGTGTCTTCGGCATGTGGGGCAGTTTCTACTTCGTCGGGGCGCGGGCGGTGCTGGCGATTGTCTGGTACTCCGTGCAGTGTGCGTATATCACTCACTACTCGAACCGCTACTTGAACCCTCTCTGACGCGCAGCAGTGTACTACGGCGCCGAGTACATGTTCAACATCCTCCGGGCGATCTTCGGCCACCACTTCACCGACATCCCGAACCACCTGCCGGCGAGCGCCCACATCACCACGCAGCAGATGCTGGCGCTGTTCCTGTGCTGGATGGTGCACCTCCCGTTCTGCCACTTCCGGCCGTACCAGCTGCGCGGGTTCTTCATTTTCAAGACCTTCATCTCGCTGCCGGCGATGTTCGGCCTGTTCATCTTCGCCATGGTGAACACCGGCGGGAAGATCGGGTCGGTGTACACGCAGGACAGCAAGTCGACGACGGCGATGGCCTGGTTGATCATCTCGGGGATCAACAGTGGCCTGGGGTGAGTGCCTCCAATAAAAAAGCTGGGGGGTGAGGTGAGGCTAACCAGAGGCAAAGTAACACCGCCACGCTGATCACCAACCAGCCGGACTACTGCCGGTGGGCGAAGACGAAGAACGCCCCGCTGTGGACGCAGCTGATCTCCAACCCGATCGCGACGACCCTCTCCGCGAGCCTGGGGATTCTGGCTACCTCCGCCATCAACAACAAATACGGCACCTCCATCTGGTAAGTGCCCCATCCACCGCGGCGCTGCGTCCAGCATCCCCCCTAACGACGACAGGAACCAATGGGACCTGATGGAATTCATCCTGGACCGCTACTGGTCGGGCACGACGCGGTTCGCCGTGTTCCTGGCCGCCTTCGCCTGGCTGGTGCAGATCCTGGGCACCAACGTCGCGGCCAACATGATCTCGTTCGGCGCGGACTCGTCCATGCTGTTCCCGCGCTTCATCAACATGCGCCGCGGCCAGTACATCGTGCACACGCTGGCCTGGGCGGTGTGTCCGTGGGAGATCCTGGCGTCGGCGACCAAGTTCGAGACCTTTCTGTCCGGGTACGCCCTGTTCATGGGGAGTGTGGTCGCCATTATGGTTTGTGAATGTACGTTGCCCCTCGCCCCTTTTCCCTTGTCTTGCCCGTTGCCCTTTCCCCATGCCCCACTATCCCCCATTCTCACCTCTCCCCATACCCTAACCTCCCCCGGCAACCAAGCTAATCCCAATATCCGGCTGCAGATTTCTGCTTCACCAAAGGCAACATCTTCATCCCCGCCCTGTACGACGGCACCCCGCTCAACAAGAGCTACTACTACCTGAAGGGGTGGAACGTGCAGGCCGTGCTCGCCTACATCATCGGCATCGCCTTCCCGTTCCCGGGCTTCGTCGGCTCGCTGGGCGCCTCCGTGTCGACGACCGCCACGCGCATGGGCGACCTCGGCTGGATTTTGTCGTTTGTGACCGCCTTCGTCTGCTATTTTGGGATTTGCTGGGTGTGGCCCACCGAGAACCAGAAGCGCATCCGCGCGGAGAAGCTGGGGTGGGAGGCCGCGGTCGATGACGAGGAGGGCGAGGTGTACCTCAATGCGCGGGATGTGGGCGGCGTGACCACGGAGGAGGTGGTGGTCGGGGGGAAGGATCGTGAGGTCGAGAAGCGCGGGTTGTGATATTCCTTCGCTTCGCTTTTGGGGTTGGTTTGGTTTTGGGGGTGGGGGGATACTTGGGGATGGGGGAGGAGAATGGGGGTCGGGCTATTGGACCTGCACCTGCACCTGGACTTGGACTTTGACTTTAACTGGGGGAAGTACATACCGTACATACTGCATTGCGTTGCATACTTACATATCTTCACTCTTGTATAGATGGGGGTGAATAATGATTGACGGTCTTTTGACTTGTGGCTTCTGACTTCTACTTCTTACGAGGGGTAGTTCTTTGGGTGGTTGTATGTTCAACTTCGTTGTTCTTCTCAAAGCAGCGCTAATCCGGGTATACAGCCCCAACACTAACAGTAACTCCAAATCATATGCACTCGCTCTCTATCCCAAGTCCTCCCGCTGGTCGTATCCAATCCCTCCTCTATCCCAAACCCTCCCGCTAGTCATCCAACCTCCCCCCCACCCACCTCAATCACACTCCTCCCCAACCTCGGTCCCCACCTCAGTCCCCACCTCCGTCTCCACCTCCTCCGAATCAAATCCCAACATACTACTCCCCATCAACAACGAAACATCCTCGCACAGCTCCCCATAGGTAGGATCCGTCCTCGCCAACTCGCGACACCGCCTCTGCAACGCCTCATCGACGACATGCACCCTCCCGACAAGCAACAGCTTCATAATGCCGAACCGGCGATACAAAAACGCGCCCTCGAGATGGGTCATCTCCGCCGAGGGCCGATGGCCGTACTTGCGGGTGGCCCGGAAATCCACCCGGGCCGCGGGGGGCGCGTCGAGCATCGCGCGCACGACCTCGACGTACCCCTTCTCGATCGCCAGGGCCAGCGCATCCCGGTTGAAATTGTCGGCGAGATTCAGCGCGCAGCCGGCGTCGATCAGCGCCAGCGCCGTCGCCTCGTTGCCGTCGCGCAGCGCCAGGTGCAGCGGCGACTGGCCGTGGTCGTTGACCGCGTCGATGGCCACCCCCTCCGTCTCGTGGAGCAGGATGTTCACGATGGCCTTGTCGCCCGTCTGCGCCGCGACGTGGAGCACCGTCGTCCCTGCGGCGCCCCGTAGGCGGCCGAGCGCGCTGGCGCTGCCGTTTGCCAGCGCGTATTTGAGGTACTCCGCCGCTTTGCGCGAGTGGCACAGGTTCGTGAAGGCGTCCATGCATGTGATTTGTGCCCCGGCGTCCAGGAGGGTCTCGATGAACGTCTCGGTCTCCGTGCCCGGCCCCACGAATGGGCCGGCGAGCGCGCCCCCCGCGCCGTCTTCGTCGGGGAGGTTCGGGTCCGCTTCGTCTTCAAGCAGGAGTCGCACGACCCCCAGCTGGCCCGTGGCGACCGCCCAGCGGAGCGGGCGGATGCCGTACGCGTTCAGGCAGTTGCGGTCCGCCCCCATCAGGAGGTATGCCCGGACGTCGTCGACGCGACCGTGCTGTGTGGCCAGCTCCATCGGGCCGGGGTAGTATCCTGTTCCCGGGAGCCATTCGACGGTCCGTCGGCCTTCGGCGTCGGACAGGCCCAGCCGGATCTCCGTTTGCCAGGCGCTGTCCGGGATGGAGGTCGTGTCCTGGCGGAGTTGGAGCTCGTGGGTCAATTGGCGGTACAGGGTTTTGCAGGTTTGGGTCAGGCGGGAGAGGACGTTTGTGTCGAGGTATTTGGCGACGTTGAGGACGCGGCCGAGGGGCAGGGGCGGGATCGGGTCGTGCGCGGCGTCGATGTCGGTGTCGGTTTCGGTGTCGGTCTCGGTTTCGGTGGCGAGGGTTGTGCGGGCGCGACGCGCGGCGGTGGCTTGGGTGCTGGCGAGGCGGCGTTCGAGGACCTCGTAGGTCGCGTTGGTCACGGCTTGGGTTTGGGAGAGGAGGGCTTGTTGCAGGGGCGTGTAGAAGGGGGTTGCGTTCTCGTTCTCGTTCTCGGGGAAAGGAGTTTGGGGTGGTTGCGAGGTCGGTTCGCGCTTCACTTTCACTTGAGCCTTGGGCTGGGAGTCGGCGTAGGCGTGTGCTGGTTTGCGCATCTGGCTTCTATCACGGAGGATGCGGTTCGGTTGTTCCTCTTTTTTTATCCTGGTCGAGTCCTGCTGCGGAACGGAGGTCTGTTTGCGGGTGTCTCGGTCCGCCCACTCCACCCGGGCCCATTTACCCCCCTTCCCCTTCTGAGAGTCTCCGTTGGGTTTAGCCTGCGTCTGCGGCGGGTGAACAGCTTGCTTCGTATAACTTCTGGTCCTGCGAGGCGACGTGGAGGCCAAGATCCGCGCACGTTTGATCGGCGAGCGGAGATCGATCGTCTCGGGCAGATCGACGGGCTTGCGCTTCCGGAGGTTCTTGGGGCTTGGCCTCTGTCCGTGCTCTCTCGAAGCGGGTTTGGGTGAAGATAGATCGACAATCTCGGGAGCGACTCGGGCTTTGCGTTTCTTGGGGCTCAGTTTCTTGAGCGAGCCGAGGTCGATGCTCTCGGCGGGCTCTGAGGCTTTGCGTTTTGGGGCCTTTGGGGGTGGTGGGTTGGCGATTGTGGGTTGGGTCTTGGGGTGGGCGAGGGTCGTCGGTGATGTGAATTTGCATGTTGGTGTAGGCTCTGGGGCGGGTTGCGGTGCTGGCACTGGGACTGGGCGGTTTCTGCGCTTCTTTGCCAGCATGCTTACTCGCTCGGTGGTTTCTTCGGTGTCGGTCGGAGGTTGTGTCTCTTGCTTGATGGTTTGGGGAGGATTGGTGGGGAGTTTCGTCTCATGTTGTGTGGTGGCCTCCGTCTCCTTCTTGATGTACTTCGATTGATCTGTCTGCTGATTTGTCTGCTGGTTTGCGTGTTGTTGAGTTTCATCATCGATCGCGTGGTCCTCGCGCTGTCTACTGACCACGCTCACTTCATCCGTAGTCTCTTTCTTTGCATCATTTGTAGGCTGTGTAACCTGTGTAGAGAATTGTAGACCTTCGTTCTCATCTGCGGGTTCTGTCTCGTCTTGTGCTGCGCGGACGCTCACTCCCCCTGTGACGTTGGCATTATTCAAAGACTGCATCACCTGCTCCGAAGTTTGTGAATGTTGGTTCTCGCTGGCGGAGTCGGCCTCAAGCATCTGAGCGGACATCCCCACAGGCATATGATTCTCATCGTTCATCGGTGTATGGAACTCATCCTCATTCGTAACCTGCATCTCTTCCTCGGCAGAGTGCTGGTTCTCTGTGTTCTGGGGCGACTGTGTCTGCTTCTGCAGTGCCGCGCGCCTCACTTTCGCCCGCATCCTCGCGGCGCGTTTCTGTTTCGATGGACGGGCCATTTCTTCTCTCTAGTGACCAAGAAAGAATTCGATTTGGGAGTGTGATGGGTCGGTGTAGCGTGTAGAAACGCTTGGTTTCTGGGTTGTGATGAACGTTGATTATATCCACCGAGTCGGATCTCGGGGATCTAGTGTAGAGTGAAGATTCAGCGACGCGTACGTCTGGGTAAACAGGCGAGTGGGAAAAGATGAGACGAGAGGAGATGAGAGGTACAGATTTTGATGTTTATTGTTTGAATCTAGAACGATAACGTGTTGATGATGAAGGAATACTGGTCTGCAGTGTGTGTGTGTGTCGAGTGCAGGAGAGAGATAGGTTGTCGATGATGTGGGTAGAGGTTACGTTGATGATGTGGAGTAAAGATTATGTTGTGAATCTTGTTGCGATAGCGATGTCAAATGTTGTAGAAAAGTACTCGATGTTTCACTCCGTTCCACTCTGTTTCGAGGGTTGTGTAGTGCTGTGTGATGCTATTTTGGGTTCTTTGTGCGAACAACGAGCCTTGTTTTGATAATGTGGGTGGAGGTAACAAAGGATGGTGGATTGTCAAGTGGGTGGGATCTTTGTTCTTAAGCATGAGACAAAGGGGGTGTTTCTCGGGAGGGAAGGTGTGCTGGGACAAAGAATTAAGGTGGTGGTGTGGGAAAGAAGAAGTTATGGAAGAGAAGATCTACTGAGCTTGGTTCCTGGGTTGGTTCCTGGGTTGGTTCCTGGGTTGGTGATGTGGGAAGTTATGAGGGGTGTAGGCCTCTCCCAGAAGAGGTGAAGAGGTGGGTGAGTGAATGGCTTCTGGGGTGGGTGAAGTAAACAGGTGGCTGAGGGGCTCAACATCAATTTTACAAAATTATCTGTTTTGTTTCTGCTCGCAGGTTTTAACCATCACAAGGTTAGAATATTTTCGATAGCAATGTCCAGGGGGGGCCGTTACTCTGGTTAGCTGATTGACCAACGTACTGAATAAGCGTATAGTCACGCTGTGATTCAGCAGGCAGACTTTGGGATGGGAATGACCTTCTCTTCGAAGGCAATGTATTCAGCAAATGCAACTAAATCACAAGTAACGCAATATTGCAAGACAACCCCAATCCAAGCGCACCATAATCTCAACCATCCCAATATGTACCAGACTGGAGATCTTCAGATCCTCGAGTGCCGCGAACAGACCTTACCAAGGAACCTCGCAGGCTTTCCTATCATTCCCAGTCGAACCCGAAGGAGCACAAACAGGCCACCCGCGGAAGGGATCATCGATGTCTGAGACCGAACGACTCTGCCCACCCTCGGAAGCGCGACGACGCACGACGAAGGAATCGGGATGCCAAGAAAGAGCATCTTCGCTATCTAAATCGCGGCCAGAACCCAAACCACAAGAATCAGCCTCATAGCCAGCAGTTGGCCCCTCGAAATACTTCACCATGGCCACCGCAAACTCGGGATGGTCTGCAAGAAACGAGTCAAAGATGTCGGCCGCCCGCACGACGTCCAAGTTGCGGACGGTGAAACGGGCGAGATTCCGACAGGCTGAATGGCTCGCGCCTAGCTCCGCAACGGCCATAGCACAGATTTTCACAAAAACCGAGACCTTGGAGGGTCGGGGATAGTTCTCGAAAAAATCTTCAGTGACCGCGCTGAGATAGTCCTGAGCCAAGGCGACGAGCTCGGAGATTTCGTACTTGTCTGCAAAGGCGATCATATCGATATGTAAGGTCGCATAATCGATTACAGAAAGGATTTCGCCCACGCCAACGTTGAGCTTGGTATTATCGTACTGCGCGGTGTAGTAGCCGGTGTAGGCCCATTCAACAAAACGAGCAAGGATGGCCAGTCTGTTGTCGCGGATCGTGGACAGGTGGAACTTTGGGGCTTTGGCAGCAAGAAGGTCGGTGTGGATGCAGATGGGGACGTCCGGTTCGACGCTGAGGTTGACCATCTTGCTTGCGAAGAATCTGCAGGCCATATATTAGCTTGACAGGACATGCATTACTTGGGTGAGTAAGACGTACGGAAGTCCGGAGGCCACTGGAGGAATACTGGAGGGCTTCACAGCCTCCTCCTTCGGCAACATGCCGATGATCTTCCTCGCCATGCGAGGTTGCTTTCGTTCGTTCTCTTTCTGATGAATACTTCAGGTTCTATCTGTTCTGGAGACCTCTGAGTGTTAAGAGGAAGTGGTTGGCAAGCTGAAGTGACGAGAGCTGGAAGGCCTTGAAATGTTAAAGAGTGGGGAGTTCTCCAATGTAGGGGATGGGTGGAAGAGAGAGAGTAAGAGAGAGAAGAGGAAGCTTGGGGAGAGTGAGGATGCTGGCTTGCGATAGCAGTGTAACATAGTGAATCAGTGAATCAGTGAATCAGTGAATACAATACGCTGCTGCAACTCAAAAAGCCTTGGGCGAGAAGTACGAGGGGGAGATAGTAGTGAATGATCCAACAGAAACTATCTCACTATCTAGAATTCACTAGCGGAGCGTGTTACTCTTCAAAAGTGGTGTAAGGCATACATCATCATTTCCCATCCGTCTGACGTTTTTTCTTTTTTCTTTTCAAGCAGTCCCAGTCCCCTCCAAACTTCTGTGAATACAGGCAACCTCAGCAGCCAGCCGTGCTTGACCAGTTGGGCATCATTTATCACAACTGAATTCATTAAAATAATCAGTGCTGCGTGACTGACAGTCTGACTCTACTCGTGTCTCGCACCTTCCCTCCCCATCTCTTTCTCTCTCATCAACCCCACGTTGAGCGTGAAGCAGAATGCCCCGGTCATCCATCCTCAATCTCCCTCCCGAGATCCTGAGCCAGATCCTCGGCCTTATTCTGGGCCGGATTTCTTTCGAACGGCGACTCGGCATCCTGCGTTCAGGTACCGGCATCATTGCCCTTCTCCTCACCTGTCAGCAATTTTACCGCCTCACAGTTCCCCTGCTGTATCACGAACTGGAGTTTTGCTACCCGTCTGGAAGAAGAACGAACTGCCTCTACCGCTCCTTGCAATCCGACCCGAGCCTACTCTTGCCCGTCCGATCTCTTGTCCTGGTCCTACAACGCGATCGGACCAAGACCTGCATTTCACTCGAGGACTATGCGGCTGCAGCCAATGTGTTAAGCCTCTTTTGCGGCGCCAAGGTCTACACGCTGAGGATCCAGGGAGAGGTGGTTTGGTCGCCCGAGGACCAGGAACGCCTCCAATCACAACTCGAGCCTGGACAGTCTATCGGAAACGGCCAATGGGAGCTCCTACAGCATGCTCTCCGGCACCTTCCAGCATTACGGAGGGTGGAGCTGATGGGCGTTATCAATGAACCTCGTGACGGCTTCGGGGGCCGGTTTGAATGTCAGCTGCAGGGCTATGCGGAGCTGCGTGCGTTGCCCGGCACAGACCCGACAACCCCGTCGGCGATCAGAAGAGAGGCCCACGAGGGTTGCGCTGCTTTACAGGTCCGTCTCTCTCCTTCCATTGGTCCCGATATCATTCTTTTCCTTTTCGCTCCCCCTTTCCTCCTGTCTTTCCTGGTTCGTTCACATCGCTAGAGGCCGTCTCCCCAAAATACCTCTGATCTCGAAGGCCAAAGACCACGCAGGCTAACCGCTACCCCTTATCGGCAATAGGATGATGCGGCTTACGGCTTGGTTGAGTTCAGCCTGGCCTTCGACGAGCTCCTCAAGAACGGAATCCCGCACACACCCGCCACCGTCAAAGTCTTCTATCCCTGGCTGCAGGCCCACCCCCACACTCTCCGCCGCATGGTCTTCGGTGCAATCCCGTTCTACGCCCTGGGCCTGGAGTTCCGGGCCTCCACTTTCCCCAACTTGCACACGGTCGTCTGCTTGCCCTTCCACGTCATGTCTGAGACGCATCCCCGCGTTTACTGGCGTCCTGCCGCAGCGATTGATCAGCTCTTAAGCCCGACAGTGCGGACGTTTGTCTGGGACCTGATCAGCTACGGAGATTTCTGGGGGCCAGGCTTGTTGGGGTTCGACGAGCCACAGGCGCGCTGGCTGCTGGCGTTTGCCGAGGGCGCCTTGGCGGGCAAAGGCCAGGCGCTGCGGACGATTCGGATCGAGTTCGTGCCGTATATCGATTGGCTAGGCTATGTAGACCCGGACGATTATCCATGGGATCGCATGGAGCAATTAAAGCAAAAGATGCGCGTGCTAGGGATTGCGTTGGAGTACAACACTCCGACTCTCACGCGTGAAGAATATTCACGGTCTTGTAAGGAAGTTCGGCAGTTGGTCGAAAGTGGCCAGCTGCCTCCAATGGTGGATAGGGTGTGAGGGCGTGAATCGGCAGACGGGGAATGCTGTATTTACACAATCCTACAAGTATGATGCGATCACAGGTCTCGACATAGACACCACCCTACAGTAGGCCAAGATGAGCACAATGCAGTTGGTTTCAGCTCCATCTCGAGCACAGAGGCACCCTTTAGTATGCAGGCCACGCAGTATAAGCGCACGGAAGATAGGTGTATATCAGTGCTAGGAGTCCTAGCTACCGACGAGTATCGGCTCTGATGCAGGTGAGTCCATTACTGACCTCGTCTTGGGGTACACTTACCTTAGTTTCCCCATCCCCGTTTTGTCGCCAGCGTGGCAGCGCGTACATTCCGATGACTAACACCATTTAACTTACCCACTGCATGCACAGATAATACAATCTGACCAGTGAGAACAAGCTTAGTTCCGCGAAATGGTGGAGCATGGCCGAGAGGCTGCTTCCCCGTCACAGTCCATCAGGTCCCGGCTTTTCCATTTCTAGACCCCCCACTCCTCTAACCAATTCCCACCATACCATCCGGTCTATCTCGAATCACCAGCAGAACATCTAAATTAGATAAAACCTGTGGCAAGTTTCACAGAGGTACGCTGATGAGCTGCCATTGTCGAAGCTACAGTTCTCCTCGCAAGGAATTCTTAGGGTCTACATGATTCCCTGACCAGCCATCAGCCGATCGAAGACTGTCCATGCGACGGGGACTCAAATAAACGGCATGACTGTCGACAGCTTGCCGGGGAAGCACCTCCGCAATCTTCTCCTCGGGGGGTCCAAAGGCCACCGGCGAGTCGTATCATATCATGACTGAACATGCCCTGGAGAAAAGCCTGCTGGATACCACGGAGCGAGACCCACCGTGCGCTGATTGTTAGGTAAGCTCGTCAGTTTTGATGTCGGGTCCTGCAGTCCTGCAGCTCAGCTGTGGACTTTGGTTGGACCTTTGGGCAAAAGGCGACAAGTTCGCTGGCCGGTCTTGTTGTGCGCAAGCACTGAACATCGTCCAGTATATAGAATTCAGGCGTTGCACCCGGCAGACCCAACGGAACTGATGAACCTCGACAACGGACTCTGGAAGGGTTGAGCTCGCCGCCATACCCTGCATCTACTCGATTTCTGTCCCGTGAGGTTTGAGGGCAGCCCAGAAGATGATGTGCAAAGCGGATGCACCCTCGAGTTCCATTCATATGGCTGGTTTGCGTCGGGCCTCATCTCCCCGTGATACCTCTGGCCCTAGCAACAGCAGCAGCCCCCGTAACAACGGAAGCCATTCCAAAGCTCATCCTCGGCAGACCGATGCTCGACACCGCTGCATCAAGCTCAGCCCACGCACACTGGCTGCAGCGTACATCATGTGAGAAACCCCCCTCCCCCCCTCGGGTTAACCGTTCCTGGAAGCGAACGCTAACCAAACCCCCTAAACCAGGATCTGGATGCTCAACTTCGTGCTATCGTTCGCCAGCGGGATCATCCAAACCCTCACGCCATACGTGACCAGCTCCTTCGCGGCGCATTCCGTGACAGCGACCACGACCATCCTCTCCAGCCTGCTGGGCGGGTTGATGAAGCTGCCCTACGCCAAATTGCTCGAACTCTGGGGGCGGCCGCCCGCCTTCGCGCTCAGCGTCCTGTGCACCACGGTAGGGATGGTCCTGATGGCGGCGTGCACCACAGTCGAGATGTACAGCGCCGCCCAGATCTTCTTCACGGTGGGCTCCAGCGGCATCACCTTCAGCGTGACCATCTTCATCGCCGACACCGCGCCGTTGGCGAGTCGCGCGTGGTGGATCGCCTTCGCCTCCTCCCCGAACATCCTCACCGTCTGGGCGTACGGGCCGGCCGCGCAGGCGGTGCTCGACACCGTTGGGTGGCGGTGGGGGCTGGGGGTCTTCGCCATTGTGGTCCCGGTCGTCGCAGGCCCCTTCGCATGGCTGCTCTTCCACAGTGACGCTCAGCAGGAGGATCGAGGGGCGACGACGCCGGTCCCGCGTTCCAATCGCCAGCGGCTGGCCCACTACATCCGGGAGGTCGATCTGGTGGGGCTGCTGCTGCTCTGCACGGGGCTGGCCCTGCTGCTGCTGGGGATGAGTCTGGCCGCCGACCAGCCGGGGCAGTGGCGCGCGCCGCTGGTCGTCTGCTTCCTGGTGGTCGGGGGCCTGCTCGTTGTGGCCTTTGGCGTCTACGAGCGGCACTGGGCCGCCGTCGGCGTCATCCCGTGGCGGCTCCTCGGCCACCGCAACATCGTCGTCACCTACGCCGCCGTGCTCGCCATGTTCACCGCCTCGTACGTGTGGGAGAGCTACTTCTACTCGATGCTGGTGGTGGTGTGGGACCTGAGCGTGCTGGCCGCGACGTACGTCACCAACGTCTGGGCCGTCAGCGCCTCGCTGTGGGCGCTGCTGGTCGGCCTGCTCCTCCGCCGGTACGGCCGCGTCCGCCCGCAGGCCATCTACTTCGGCGCCCCCGTCATCGTGCTGGGCGTCGGGCTGATGATCCGCTTCCGCCGCGCCAGCGCGAGCATCGGGTACGTGGTCCTGTGTCAGATCCTGGTCTCCCTCGGTTTCGGCACCATGGCCCTTCTGTTCCCGGTCGTGCTGATGGCGACCGTCGCCTCCTCCTCGTCCTCGTCACCACATCTCCCCGCCGTTCTCGCCGTGGAGAACATGGTATCCGACCTAGGTAGGGCTATCGGCTCGACCATCGGCTCGGCCATGTGGCAGGCGATCTTCCCCGGTATGCTGCGCCGGGATCTGCCCGCAAACGAGGCACAGATCCCCCTCGTCGACGAGATTTACGAGGATCTGAACGTGCAGACGGCGTACCCCGTCGGCAGTGCCGTGCGCGACGCCATCAACGCCGCGTACAGCAAGACGTACAAGCTCATGTTGATCGTGGCGGTCTGTCTCTCCGCCCTGGTCTGGGCGTTCGCGTGGGCGTGGAAGGAGGTCACTTTGGAAGACGCAGATATGTGCCGTGCACAGGCCAGCCCGCAGCTCGACGGTGAGGAAGAGGTGAAGTCGCCAGCTCTGTGAGGGTTGTGCGTAGATGAGACAAGGGCCATCGGTTTTGGGATCATGGTATCGGGGATGTGAGAAACAAACCGGCTGCCCAAGGGTGTTGGTGGGAATGAGTTGGTTCGAGCTTCAGGGAAGTGAAAACTCAAGGAGAATACGGGTATAAACTGCAATCGAGTGTAAGGGCTGGAGCCCCGCAATTTCTCTCTAGGAAAAACAGACAGCTATTGTTCTGGTGCATCGTAGTGTTCATCCCTTAGAATGAGACGAAGATTACTTACCGAAGAGCCCCACAGCCCACTTTGCATTTTCTGAGCAAGGATGCCAATAGCAATAGAGTATCAAATTGGAACCTGACATTGTTCATACTAGCCAACAAACAGCCCCAAAGTGCATGTCAGGAGCTGAAAACATATTCTTGGTATTTACCAACATTACTGTATATCTATACAGGCAATACATCTGCACAATTATAATCTAGATTTTACATGATCTTCGAAGAAAAATAACTCATATTCAACAAAGATTAGCAAAATCCCCCCAACGGGCGCGATGCTATATTATATTATTCAGCTATTTGGTGAAACAGATGTCCAAGTTGACAAAGATTATAAAAAGTATAGTAGAGGTTTTAAAATGCTTTGAAGTAGTGTACCGATTCAATCCAGTTTAGATAGAATGGATTGTTTTTTATAAATATTTTAAGAACAAAAGTGATAATACTAAAACATGGAAAAGTATTGAGACTATAGCAAAAACTGTATAGTTTCTGATTGGAATTGAATTTATTTTCTAGATATTGAATATAGAAGCTTTGCTACCGCGATATACAAAAACCTCTGGGAAGCTATGGGACCAGAAATATTAAGCAGATCTAGCAACTAGCGGCGAGATATGATTTTAAACATGTTTCTTAGAAGCCGTAGAATGGCGTCATTCTTTTATACAATAACTTCTAGTTCTCTTTCCTATATGTAAGCAAGTATCGGAAGAAGGAGGAGAAGAAGAAGAAGAAGAAGAAGAAGAAGAAATATTGTAATTATGTAGAATAGCGATATTGATTCCTTGTTCTAATTTGTCTTAGTGTGTAAGTTGAGTAGTGAACATTAGGCCGCACCAGCTGATCTTTAAATTTAGTTAATGAATTAACTCTTTAGCTCACCGTTAGTTTTCTATATACCGATTTTATCATATCTAGCAATTCTGTATAGATGTTTGTCATTTAATATATAAACTGCTTGAAGATGAACTCACGCATGAGCTTTTGGCTATAGTAGCAAGTTGTTTGTTATTCCATTATAGATACCAAGAGGCAGTATCTTGCAAAGGTGGGCTAAAGTGGATCTGCTGTGTGACAAGGGGCTAGAGGGACTTTTGGAGCCATGAGACATTAGGTAGATGTTGAGAAGGGCTTTTTGGGCCGCGGCAAAAATCAAGCAGGCCTAATATCGTCCCTCTTCACACTTGACCTTCGTCTAACCTATGCGTACGGCCCTCTCTGTTAATGGTGCAGAATAAACCAAGGTCTTACATTTGCTCTGTAAATGAAACTTTTATATTTTAACCTTTACCTATTGCTTCCCCGTCCTCTGATCGTCAAAAGCCTTTGCCGAGTTGTCCATAAGCCTTGACAGTGAACAGCGGGAGTATGTCGACCAAACGTACCTTCATCACCAACGCCTATGTGGCCGTTACGACGCTTCTCATTGTCCTGTGTGCGGGCTTTGTGGCTCTCCGATGCTGGATGGGTTGCCAAGTACACAAGAAACGGCTCATTGCAGACTGTATGGTTCTTCCAATAACCAAGAAAAGACCGCGCAGCACTCTGAAAGAGTCCAAAGGATATTTGAAAGTTGCACTCAATCTCCTCTGCCCGCTTACATATCTCCCCTTCCCCGGATTGACATTCGCGACGATCGCCTTCTCTATAAACAATATTATTATTCAGCGTGAGTTCTGGGGCTTATTTTCACACAGAGCAACAAGCGATCAGGACTGACGGATACTACCTCCCCTCGAGAGGAGGATAATCACGGGGATTATGCCAGGATTTATATACCCAGCCAACTGTCTCAACTGGCTCAAATGCATGGCCGTGGTCATCACAGTGCTCATCGCCTTTAAGCTCTGGACGACTAAGGTGCCGATTCTCTTGATGTATATGGAGCTCGTCGGTATCCAGAAATAGCTGCGCTGGACCTGCTACGCCTGTATGGCCATGGTGAGACTCGTGTATATGTGCGTCATGGCGCCCAAGTTCATGCGCTGCAACCCCGACACCGCCGAAGCGACGCTGATGAATCTGGCCGTGTGTAAAACGGGCACCACGCTGGCGGGCATGCTCTTCAGGCTCATTACACTGGCACATGCTCATCTTCTGCTCGCCTATTCCCGTCAACTAGAACCTGCATCTGCCCCCCGAGCAAGAAGCTGACGGTCGGACCAGTGCTCTGGGGTTGGAGCTTTCCTCTACAGCCGAGACAAAAAAAAAAGGCAAAAGCAATCAACTTACAGAAAAGGGCGTAAGATATATGACTATACAATCTCTGTTGGGCAGGAGTATGATCGCTACCATCATAGCACTGCACTTCGAATAGCAGGCCTATGCGGTGTCGAATACAATGGCGATTATGCTTTGCGCGTAAGTCCAAAATATCTTCTACGTTGATTTTTCCCTTCTCCGCCGATCCTTTTATTCTCCTTCCCTGTCCTAATCACTAAGATTCTTGTATGAAGGGTGATCAAAGGAACAACCGCCATCATGATCCAATAAAGCAGTTTTGGGGCACAATAGTGGTCATCTCCTTGTCCACATTAGGCCCAACCCGGAGCACCAACGCCGAGTATACATCCCCGGCGCACAATCATGTCTCTTCTTCCTCCTCGTCGCCGCATGCATTGCAAGAAGATGGGTGGCTCTGAGGTGAATGTGGCACCCTCACGGCCGGGGGACAGTTCCCCGTGAGATCTTGAAGGAATCTACTTTATTTGCAGAAATTCAAAACACAATTTGCCATGTGTATTCTCGTCAAGACGCAAGCTGGAAAGCTGTTTCCATATATAAGGGCCGGAGTAGTGAAGTAGTGTGATGAACGAATAGTTCTCGCGAGGCCTAAGGTGCCAATATGTTGCCTTAAGGTATTGTTGCTGATCGAACAAATTTGCGAGGCAGCCACTGCCTTTATCGGTGGCCGCGGTCCCTCGATGAATGTTATGAATCGCGGGACATATGCCTCAGGCAGAAACACTTCTTAGATCTTCCTTCGCGGATAACTGCGAAGGTTGGAAGGGCTGGTCGGCCGTTTGCAGCCTGGGAGTGGGTGGCTGCCGTCCAATAGCTATTATGCAACTTAGGCATCAGACCGGATATCCAGAGCATACACTGATAGACAGCAGCAATATGTTCATCTGCAGTATCTCATTCCCAGTGCCGCGATAGAACGGGCTAGAGAATGTCTTGGGCACAGAGATCAATATCAGGCTCTGAAACCGCGACCTTTTGACATGCATTTAGCCTAAAAGGGTATGCAAGTTGTCACGGTGAACAATATCCAGCCAGAAGATGAACCCTGGTTTGTCATCCATGGCGCTCCAAATTTTGAGAATCAGCTGGAAGATATGGCCTATTTTGGGTACCGGCAATATCTCAGAATAGAGCGACATTTTGGCGCGAATGAATTGTCGCGCCTGAGCAATCTCGATAGCCGACTTGGTATCACTCGTCGAAAATGCTCTAAATTGATTGGTATCCATCAAGGTCTCTTCTGCGTTGCTAGATGATTCAAACCGAAGTTCACCCGATACGGCGACAAACACGAATGGATGCAGACAACGCGCGCCAGACTCGACGGGTATTGTACTAATCTTGTCGAGAATATCAAGTGCGAGGTTGGCGAGCCAAGCATTCTGTTCTTGCCTGGTAGGCCGCGAAGTTGGGGGCCCCACCGAAAGAAAATTCGCTTTATCCCATGGTGTGTAGCGCTCCACGAGTAGATCTGGGAATACGCGATAGAGTTGCAACAGTCCTGTGTAACGGTACGCTTCATCCGTTTTCTGCAAGTCCATCGGATTCGTATTTGATTCTCTGGTGACAGAGACAATTGCCTGACCGGGCGTGTAATTCAGAAGTTGTCTTTCAATACATCTGGCTTGTTTCAGGCAGGCTCGGAAGCCGTCTATCTCTGCATCCTCTAGGAAACCATTGATCGAATATTGCCTCCTCCATTGTTCGTAAATCACATACCCCACCTCTGTGACAAGCTGAGCAGTCTCGGACGAGATACCGAGCCACGGGTGAGATGGCTCCGTAATATCTTGATAAGAAGAGTCAAGTCCAACTTGTGGCGCGGGGGGAACAGGTCTTCCTCGCATGAATGCGAGAAGCATGTCGGAATAGATCATAGCACTCTGAAAGAATCCGAAGGATGTTTCAATGTTGTGCTCACGCAAGTCGATATTGAACACGATAGATTTAATACGATCGAAGATGTCGAGGCCGAGGTTCTGTGGATGTAGCCATGAATATGTGTGAGCAATGAGCCATGCAGATATGAGTCGATCGTCCTGGGCTAAACTTTGATTGGAGCAGTCTTTAAGACAAGCCCATGCCTTCCTATGTTCCAGAGAAGCAATTGCCTTCATTCGAGGGAGCGACTTGGACAAACAAGCAGCACTCATACTTTGAATGACATGCTGTAGAGGCGCTGAATGCTGCCAAAGGGAATCAATCATGGTCCGCATAGGATTGATGACGTTGTCCCAGACGCAGAATAGTGGAATCACGACCTTGAAAAAATGGGAGCATAGCTCTGTTTCCTCGTGCGATAGGTGACGAAGAGCAGGCCTGGGCACACTAACAGCCTTTACAGGCCTCTGACCCTGGTAGTCGTCGACTGGGGTCATGATAGGACTGCTCCTAGGAACGAGATTGATCTGTGAGGCACTCTGCGTGAATTCTGAGGTTGTGAGATGGGTAAATTGGTCATCGGTTAATTGAGAGCAGCCCACTGTGCCAGTCAGCAAAGGGAAAGGCGCCGAGGTTGCCGAAAGGTCGATTTCGCCGTTGAGCAAAGAAGAGTCCACCCATAGGCCTTCATTACCAAGGTCTTCATCTCTCAGATTCTCCAGCCCTGAGAATATGTTGTCTTCGACATTGGGATTTTCAAAGAGCCTGAAGGGTTTCCCGCCGGCACCTTTTTTTGCTATGGACTGTTGATGTCTTGGTCGTGCCTTACTCTGGCCGACCATGCCTAGAGTAAACTGGTTTTTTGCGGGCCATTTGATGCTTTGAGTGTAACCGGTGCAAATGACTCCGCGTTCTTGACATCTCTTGCAAGAAGGTTTGGATTCATCGCATTTCAACTAAGCCGAAGCATCGTAAGCTACAACTTGGGCCATATGATACTTTGCTCTCGATTCCCATGCAGACTCACATGTTTTGATTTGCAGGTGGAACAGCCTCCACGGGACTTTGAATGATAATTTCTTGTAGACATGGCTGGATGTGTTGCTGTTGAAGATGAGATGACGAGAGCCTCGGGCGTACACGAAGACGCATAGGAAACTTATCTTCCAAGTCAGCAATTGACATCTGGCGAATCACCTGCTGTAGCCTTATCGGGCCCCACACGTGAATGAAGCCTTGGAATGCGGGGTAAATCCATGGGTACATTTCCTCCCCACGGAAATCATTCTACTTGGGAAAGTTCATTGTCGACCTCTCATGGACTTGAAATCTACACCACACACGTCTTGCCCGTGGCCTCTGTTCATCATTTCTCATTAACATGCCTCACCGAATATTCTACTGTCAAAAACGGAAGGAAGGCTAACATCTGTGCTGCACTACTCCAGGCTTCCCGAGCGACCTAAGTTCAATCGTTGCTTCCACGCTCTTACAACCTAGACGCTACCAGCAGCATGGTTCAATAGGAGATGACTTGCTCTACATTTTGAGCACGACTTTGCTACATGAATTCGTAATGTTGCGTGTGAGAAGGCGTATTTTTGCTCTTTACCCCAAGGGAGGGGCTTATCATCTGATAAGCTAAAGGCGGCCTCAGCTCTGAAAGCAAATATCACGACTGGCATTGCGAAGGATCCTAGGCAACCCCCAATTGACATTTCCAGCTCGTGGTTCCGTGCGGAGATCACGTCTCATCCAAATCACTTAGAAAGGCTACGAGTCGGTGGGGGCTGTAATCGCTGTGGGTGGCGATAAGATGCCTGTCCGGGTGACTGGGGTCCGATCTGATAACCGTTTACGTAATGAATTGCCAAACCCCCAGATAGGAAAGTCTATACGTTTACCTACCTACCTAGTAGTAGTACGTAAGGTCACACCTCCACAGAAGGAAAATGGAGCCATAGCGATGTGAAGTCATTAGTGGCATATTGATATGCCTATTGAGGAAGTATAGTACGAGGAATACTGGTCGAAGGTGGCGCAAGGAACAAGACCATGGAAGCTAAAGGCCCAAGAGGTGGTGATTGCATCATCCATTTATGCGATTCCATATAGCTGGCGAGCTAGCAAGCAATGCTTGTGACATTTGATCCAGTTGCAAGCAGTCAACGCCCAGACAAATACAACCTGAAGTTATTCCGCAGTGCCCTTACAATCATGAGCCGCAGTCAATTCCCGCATCCAAACGGGATGCCAACCTTTTGGACGGACGGAGACGGGGACATCGACAATATCAGATCCACGGATCACCTTCCATCTGAAAGTGCGATTGTGATTATTGGAGGTGGCTACAGTGCTGCGTCTCTTGTAACGCATATCTTGGACTCATATCCAAAGCATCCCTCAGTCGTAGTGATCGAGGCCCGTCAGCTTTGTTCGGGGGCCACCGGACGAAATGGTAATCAAGAAGCAAGTCCAAATTCTTCACCGAGCCATCAGAAAATGAGAAGAGGATCTCTGATTCCCATGAATTTACCTAGGAGGCCATCTGAAGCCTGATTTGTACGCCAGCCCTTCTCGCATTGGTGAAGAATTTGGTCCAGCAGCTGCAGAGGAGCTTGTGGAATTCGAAGCGGCCAATGTCCGTGCCGTGAAGAATTTTGTCGAGAAGGAGAAAATCCAGTGCGAGATGGTGCTTACGCGTGCGACTGATGTTGTGTTTACCGAGAAGCAAGTTGAAGCCGCCACTAGAGAAATTCAAAGTCTGCGAGATGCTGGCATAAGAGCATTGGATGATGTCTGGTATACGAGTGGTACTGAAGCTGCGATGGTATGTTCATTTTTCTGCACTCGTCGTACCGTATGCCTGCTAGTACAGGTCCTCACCTCTCTTGACGTCCAGGTTTCAGGTGTGAAGGATGCGAAAGGTTGCTTCACTTACACCGCAGGTCATATATGGCCATACAAACTGGTCCGTCACATGTTCCATCGCGCACTCGAGCGAGGTGTGAACATACAGACGAATACTCGAGTCGAGCACTTGTCTACTGCGGCTGATTCGGATGGTTGGTGGAAGATATCCACAGACCGTGGAATCATCAAAGCCAAGAAGATTGTTCTCGCGACCAACGCCTACACGCAGGCCTTACTCCCTGAATACAAGGATCGCATCATTCCGTACCGAGCAGTCAGCTGCCACATAACGACGCCTAAGCCTGCACCCTTGCTAACCAACACCTATTCGCTCAGGTTCAGCGACTGGGACTTTGACTACCTCATCCCGCGTAAAGACGGCTCTATCATCGTTGGAGGGGCTCGGTCGGCCTACTTCGCAGACAAGAACCAGTGGTACGGAAATGTCGACGATAGTACCCTTATAACTGGTGTAAGGAAGTATTTCGATGGATATATGCAGCGTCATTTCCGAGGCTGGGAACAGAGTGGCGCTTCAGTCCAAGAGATCTGGACAGGCAGTAAGTTTCATCTGCAGATCACGACACGAGCAAGGTACTAAGACGTCTAGTAATGGGCTATTCGTGCGATAAGGTGCCTCGCTTGGGGCCAATCCCCGGAAAAGAAGGGTTGTTTGTAATGGGAGGCTGGACGGGTCATGGCATGCCTCAAATATTTCTCGCAGCCAAAGCTATGGCTGACATGGTGGTTGGTGGTGTCTCGTATCAGGATACGGGGCTACCTCTAATCTTCGAAGAAACAGAGAGCCGGCTAAAGAATGGCTCAAACAAGGTCTTAGATAGCTGGCGTGCTTCCACGGGTCGGTCTCATCTCTAAGACCTCTTTCTCATCTTGGGTGTCAAAGTTTTGTTCGTTTGCTACATTTTTTTCTAATCAAGCAATCACCGCACATATAGCAGTCCTTTGTTAAAACAGAAAGAAGAGTCTGCGAATGAAACCCTGCTGGTTATAATGGTCCTACGATGTAATAGAGATTGTGATCAGGAACATTAGACAGGTCGAAATGACTTTATTTGCTGGTTAACATTCGCGGTGTTCTGGACGTTGCAAAAAGAACTTAAGCACAGAACACGTTTTGCTTGAGGTGGCAATGGGAGTAAACAGGCTTAGAGTGACGCAAGTCAAGATGGCTCTTGAGGCTTACTATGATAATTGTACTCAATATAAATGGTTGTTGTAGGAATCAAGATCAGATGTATCATGCGTAAACATGAGAACGAACACTGTTAAATAACAAAGTAAAGGATGAATAAAGCTCATGTAGCTCAAAGCACAGCTGGCCCTAATTTTACCTAGATTCAAAGACTTGCCTTGGCCGTAGTTTGAGGAGCGTTCTGTGCAAGCTGTTTGAACCTCTCCAAAATATGCTTTGTGTTCATCTGGTGAAGGAATCGGGCCTCATTGATCAAGAAGCACCGAGGGAACCAGGTTGGGGCTTCTCTCCCCATAATCAGCTCCACGAGGGCTTTGCCAGACAACCAGGCTTTGTCCATTCCATAGCCATTGTACGCTCCGCAGATCCACTCTCCGGTTCCTTTGCGTGCTGTCAAACATTCCGGCAATAATCCCACTAGTGGAAGGCAATCGGAAGTATGACCTTGGATTCCTGTCCAGATCTCTTTTAATTCAGGTTGTGAGACCGCTGGTTGTTCGAAATAAGTTGGTAAAAAGCTCTGAAGATATTGGCGAGCATCAGAGGATATTTTGGAATCATCGGCAGTCAAGACGTCTAGAATATTTGCTGTTTCAGTGCCCACCCAAATATGGCCCGTGCGAGCGTGCTGTTGTAAATACATGAGGCCACTTCTGTAGAGATTTGAGGTCGCATCAAGTGAAGTCTGCTCTATCGAGCTCCAGGAGAAGCGGTCTCCCTTGTTCTCGAAACGGGCTCCCATACTTTGCACGGACATTGTGCCTCGGAATGGATAAACATGTCCTCTCAATGCTGGAAGCAGATGAGCAGCAAATGCATTGGTACAATGAACAACATGGCGGGCCCTGATGCGCCCGCGTGGTGTAGACACAATGTAAGGGTAGGCTTTTGATATCTCACTCGAGTGTTCGGCCGGTTCTTCGTGATCGATTGCAATAACCGGTGTGTTGGCTTCAAGGGACAGTCGGTCGGCATGGGCTTCCAACAGCCGTTGAAAGATTCCGGTAAACAAGCGATAAGGTGAAAGAGCAGCAGCTTCGTGGTCAAATCCTCCAATAGCGCCTTTCACATTATGTTTCTTGAAGATCTATGAGTGCCATAACCAAAAGGATCTATTTTGCCGGTTCAACTCACCTTTAGCAAATCATAGCCACTCACAACGCGATGGTATGTCTTTTGGCTAGGGAACGCTTCGCAAAAAGCATCAAGAGAAGTCTCGGCCTTCTGCCATGATTCTCTGTCTGTGACGGCCATTATCTTGCGCACATCTCGCATCTCACTCTCCGTTTTCAGTTGAGGGTCGGCATCGCGAACCAATTCACGGAGTTGCTGAGCGTTCATCAAGCTGAATTGAGTCATCTGTATCGCGTTCTCTTTGCCATGTCGCTCAACCATCTCTGTGAATGTTCGCCCGACAGGTGATACGAGCTGGCCACCGTTGCGCCCAGTGGCGCCGCTGACAAAGGTTCTGGCCTCTAACACAGTGACATGAGCTTGACGATCCATGTCAAGGATACCCTGAGTCACACTGCAACCTGTGATACCAGAACCGATCACGACGTAATCAGTGACCTGCGGAAGAGTCGATGACTGGATTTTGGCAATTGTAGGATGCGGAGGCAGCTGCCATGCTGATACTGTTGGATCGGCACTAGGAAGTTTGGGATCGCGAGTTACAGCTTCGTGAATCGCATCAACCACTTCCCGAGAGATACCTAGCTCCGTCAGATTCACATCTTAGCTGTCTTTCGTTATCATTAATGTCCTGTTTCATGTTCACACACCTTCGACCAGGGCCATCTTTCACGTGTAAGTCGGAGTTTTTGTTTTTTTGGCACTCTAGTCTTGTATTAAGAAACACTACGGAATCTTCAGATTGTAAAGTTGGAAGGATCCTATCGAGAGTTTTAAAAGTGAACTCAACAAAGCCTGGAGTTTGCTAGAAAGGCCGTCGGCACTCCATTGCCAGCATACTACAGCCGTAGCCGGAGTTTCGCTCCCCGGTATCCACTCTGCTATATCCGGAAATGCTATACGGGTAGAGATAATCCTTTTGGAGCACTTTCATCGCAATTGGAAACACCAACAAGAGGCGATAAGCGCGCATGCTTTCCGAATAGACTTTCTCGTTCAGGAGATGTAGCAAAATGCTGTTCACAACACAATATCGCTTGGATTTGACTAGCCATCACTGATAAGCTATCAGGAAAGTAGTCGGTATTACGTCGAAAAGATATCGTCGGTCTCGAAGGCCCGTGGTAGTGCAATAAATAAGGTGGGGTTTATCGTTGCGATATCGCAATGCTGTATGGTATCATCAGAAATATTTGACCTACTTTCACATCTTTATCGTGAAAAGCACTAAACATGTTAAGCAGTAGTTATGGAGTTCTGATAGCGCTGCTAATGGGCGTGTCAGGGTGACCAGAGAATAGAAATGCACGGTTGTTCGATGAGAGGTTCGGGGTTTGAATTTAGGGGCACCGACTTGCTCGCGTTCACAGCAGCCACGCGATCAGATGCATGTCAACATTTCATTGAGAGGCCACGGGAATTAGAAAACTGTAACACTAATGCTTGACGAAACATGAGGGATTGATCATCGTCCCTTTCCCCAATATCGAAGAAGACTCGGAGAATTAGGAGGGTGTGTGGATGTCCATCCCTCTTCACGCAAAATTCATTCAACACCAATTACTTTCCGACCTTCCGTCTCCATAGATTGTGCAACTAAGGCAATTGGTTTTTTTCAAACCTCATTCATCTCCGAACTAGCTGATATGATAATATCGATGTTCCAGTCAATTATACGGCCGGACAAAGGTTGGTAAAAACCGATTTCAGCTGGGAATAGGCCTCCAGTGCCGCTGGGCCGAGTTCTCTGCCAATTCCGCTCTGCTTGACTCCTCCAAAAGGCACTCGGTAATCACTTCCTTGGTTACAATTGATCCACACCATGCCAGATCTCAGCTCGCGGGTCATGCGATGGGCTCGGGCAATATCTCTCGTGCAGACAGCAGCCGCGAGCCCGAATTTGGTTTCGTTAGCAAGAGCGATGACTTCATCTTCCGTGCGGAACTTCATCACTACTCCAAGTGGTCCGAAGATCTCCTCTTTATACACCGTCATGTTTGAATGAACATTAGCCACAATGGTAGGGGCAACATAAAAACCTTTGCCATTCGGGCGGTCGGTAGCAGTCGAGCCGCCAGTCAAGATCACGGCACCCTCATCCTTGGCTGACTTGGCAAAGGACAGGATCTTCTCGCTTTGCTCCTTTGAGACTTGAGGTCCATGGTATGTGGTGACCTCAAATGGATCGCCAACAATGCTGATCTTGGCCGTGAAGTCGACAAATCGCCGACAGAATGTATCGTAAATGTCTTCATGCACGAAGATCCGAGACGTTGAAGTGCAAATTTGGCCCATGTTTCCCATGACACCATAGTGCGCGCATTGAATGGCGTTGTCGAGGTACGCATCGTCAAAAACAATCAGAGGACTCTTCCCGCCAGTCTCCAACGTTATGTTTGTCAGATTCTCGCTGGCCATTTTCATGATCTCCTTGCCCGTTTCGGTGCTACCTGTAAAAGCGACCTTGTCCACCTCGGGGTGGCGGACCAGAGCTGAGCCAGCTTCTTTTCCGTAGCCGTTCAGGATGTTGACAACACCTGGTGGGAATCCAGCCTCAACTATCAAGTTCGCAAGATACAATATAGATAGTGGCGTTTGTTCCGCTGCTTTTATGACAACGGTGTTGCCGCAAGCTAAGGCCGGGCCTAGTTTCCAGCTTGCCATGCCGAGCGGATAGTTCCATCTAATTGAACAAATTTCTGGTAAGCTGATAAACACTTTTTTCTTCGGATAACCACAGCCGGATAGGCAGCCTGCTCACCGCAGAAAAGCGAGAGATGTTTGATGACATACGGGATGATTTGAGCACAGACTCCAATGGGCTCCCGAATGGTTTGCGCGGCAGTTGAATGAGAGGTTTCAATCGTCTGACCATATTGCTTGTCTGCCCAGCCCGCATAGTAGCGAAATACATTGAAGACTTCTGCGATGTCACCGAGCGCGTTTTTGTAGGGTTTCCCGTTGTCCATTGTTTCAATTGTCGCCAATGTCTTCTGCTCGCGCTCAACCAAATCCGCCAATCGCGAGAGTAGTTTACCGCGAGAGGTCCCGTCTAAGCCGTGCCAAGCATCATTTCCAAGCGCAGCTCGTGCGGCTCCCACAGCTTTGTTCACATCGCTGGCAGTGGCAGCATATACAGAGGCAATTTCAAGTTCGGTTCTAACATGATTTGTTAACCCAAATTCGCATAGTCGGCTTCGCAGAAAAGCATACGCTGGATTGATCGATTTTATCATTTGACTGTTTGAGGAACAAACCCAATTGTTATTGATGAAAAGACCAACAGGCTGGATGTACGTCACGCCATTTGGCGCTGTGATGGATTCGGCAAGGTCAGACATATTGAAGCGCAAGAATGGTTTCACGGAATGTGGCGTTTCTGAAGTCAGACAATCTCGGCGTTGTTAAATTATACGCTTGGGTGTTCGCCAAGTCCCAGGGCTTCCAATTCATTTCGAGACAATCAACGGGGAAATTGACATCGTATAGAGTTACCGAATCTAGCCAAGGGCCCACTCCCATTGAAATCCAACTTTACGAGCAGGAATTAACCAATTCTAGGCTATCCGGAATGATCGTAAACACTCACTCTTTACGGCTACTGGGTAGTGATCTCTTCTATTGCCACCGACCACAACTTGGGGCGTCCCGTACTTGCATTCCGCAACACATATTTTCAGGACAGTTGCCCACCAATTTGTGATCTCTCTGACCACGGTGTCAAACCTATACGACAATCTTCTTCGATCGATTCGCCGCCGCAATGCCCGAGGATCAATATTCAGTGGCACAGAATCCCAAAAATACAATAGCTTTTGGTGATCGGGATGACATGTTGAATCTAAATACCAACGACGCTTCCGACCCTTCGGTGATCGGTAGCGTCGTGGATATTCCTCGCAAATTCAACCTGCTTAGCGTGTTTGCAATAGGCTATTCCATCTGCACGGCACCTAGCGCCTTGATTCTATCGCTGGGTGTGATTATCGGAAGTGGTGGACAAACGACGTTGATATGGGGCCAGGTTGCGATCTACTTAGTCTCTCTTTGCATGGCTTGTTGCCTCGCCGAGTTATCTTCAGCATACCCAAGCGCCGGAGGCCAGTATTACTGGGCTGCAGTGTTGGCTCCCAAGTCATGGAGCAAAGCAAGTGCATTTGTCATTGGCCATTTGAGTTGGGCTTCTGCCGTGTGCGCCTGTGCATCTATGCTGGTCTCGCTGGCGGAAATGGTTAGTGCTATGTATGGAATTCGACATGGCTACATTGAGTTGCCCGCCTGGGTCAATTTCGTCATTTATCAGGCTATCAACCTCATAATGTTTGTTTTCAATTGCCGGGAAGACATATTGCCGGCTCTGAGTCGATTTTGGCTGGCAGTCTCTTTGGCAGCGAGCTTCATCTGCTTCGTTTCGATGCTTGCCCGAGCACCAGTCAAACAACCTGCAACATTCATCTTCATCGACTTCACCAATCTAACTGGCTGGCCTGATAGCATATCGTTTCTTACGGGTCTTTTAGGCGTCAACTGGGGATTTTCCTGTCTTGACGCTGTGACACATATGGCCGAGGAAATCCCAAATCCGCGGGAAAACATCCCCAAAGCTTTGATTGGTACCGTCATTATCAACGCCGTGCTATCTTGGCCTATGGCAATTGCGGTGCTCTGTTGCATACAAAACATCAAGGATGTTTCTAACTCATCCATCGGTCTTTCATCTCTTTCCCTCTTTATGCAGATATTCGAAGGGCGCACTGCAGGGCCTATAATGCTTCAGTGTATGCTGTTTCTCGGAGGTTTGGGGGCTGTCTTCAGTATCCAAACCTGGCAGTCCCGGCTTGCCTGGAGTATCGCTCGCGATAACGGACTCATATTTGCACAATATACCAAGAGAATCGCACCGGCGCCATACGAGACCCCTTTCTGGTCTCATGTCTATTCGAGCATATTCGTTGCATTGCTGGGTTGTTTGTACCTGGGCTCCTCCCTAGCCTTCAACGCCTTCTCAGGATGCCTGATTCAATTGCAATATATTTGCTACTCGTTCTGCATTGTTTGCCTTCTTGCGCGAGGGCGGGATTCTATTCCACATGGACCATTTTGGCTTGGGCGTTTCGGATACGTCTGCAACATTGTTGCGGTCCTGTGGACCTTATTTGCCTTGATTTTTTATTCCTTCCCTCCCTACAAGGATGTCACCCCCAGCACGATGAACTACACATCGATAGTTTTGGTGGCATTCCTGGCTTTGGCGGTCGCTTTTTATCTTGTTTCCGGTCGGAAGAAGTTCAGACCTCCGACAGAGTCAATGGGTCGAGAACTAAATTTAGCGCCCGTCACTTAGCTTGCTTTGATGAGTCCTTCTGTACTGTACAATCAAGTCTTTTGTTCAAAATTCAATTAGAGAAATCTTTCACGTAATGTGTAGCACGCAAACCAAACAAGAGAAATGCTTGCGTCTAGAAAAAAGGTATTTCAAAGTTCGAAAAGACCACCCTCCCAGCTTTATCTTTTCCCCCCTGGGTAAGGGCATCTTTAAAAATGCATTGACGATCAATATTACCAAGGGATAGTGGCCGGTGTCACCGAAGGCAGCCCGATATGCTTGTTCAATATCTTGTAAAAGCCGTAGGAGGAGTCATCGCCAAGCAGCCGTCACCTACAAATGCAAGGTTAGATCTCCTTCGGCGGTACTACGAGATACTGGGTTGAGTCGTCGACACGAAATCTACTTGTTCGCTGCTCATACAAGACTCAGGATTTCCAGCAGATGCTCTCTATCCCAATCCGAATATTGTGTCATGTCCCAGCTGCGAGACTTGCGTCTCCACGATGGCTCGTTGAAAATTGGGACAAACTGAAAACGCATAACATTTGTCCTAGAGCCCCATTGTTTTGGTCGAAAAGCCCTTTCACTTTCACGCCTTCGTTTTCAGCGCCCAGCATGACTTCAAAAAGTCTTCAATAGATGTCTTGCGTACATCCGGGAAGAGGTTACTCAGATCGGTGCCCGGAATGTCGTATCCGTTTCCAGCCGCTGCAAGAATTGTGCCAGCAACCACAGCATAGAGCGTTTCCATATCACCACCAAGCACCTCTTGCTTTGTATTTGATGGCAAGATTGCTGGTTTGCCACCTCGAATATTGTCTATCGAGTCGAAAACGATTTCAAATTTCTGCCCTATAAAATGCGCGTCAATTATCCAGACATGAATATGAGCTGGACCATTCGCACAACTCACCAGTTGCCTTCTCAGCAATACTAACGATATCTTTAGCTTGTATCTTGTTACCGATGACAGCACTCTCCCGGGGCCATTGCTCACCCGGGAGGCGTATCAAGCGCTCGAGATATTTGGCCACATCGCTTGAGTGAGTTAGTACAAGTGTCTGTGATCCGTCATCAGGAACATGACAAATCCTGTGGTCGAGGTCAAGAAAGAGCCACAGTGGCGTTAAAGAAGTTTGAATAGGCTGGTAGGGCAGTCCAAGATAGTCGAGAAATATACCATTTCGAAGCAGCGTCCAGCTCAGATGCGGATACTTCGCTAATTCTTCCGCTGCTTCTACCTGCTGCAATTTAGGTGGGTAAACAAGGATGCTAGAAAGCGATCAGTGCATTGGAAGATATTTCCGTAACAACCGCGAGAAATGGTAAGACCTACTCGTCCGGTAGCTTGTAGTCCAAATTGAACTCACTGGGAACGAATTTAGAAACCGTTCCAGACTGGGCAGCAGCACGAATCAGGTTAAGCTGCGCTGCGGGTACCCCTTCCCAGTATAAATTCAATGCTGAGACGACTGCCTCGACTTTCTTTTGTCGGAGGACTTCGGTCAAGGCTTCAACACTGGTATAGTCTACTGCCAAGTGTTCTGGAGAATCAGGACCCTCGGCTGGTTTGGCCTGTTTATAATTAGTAGGATAATCATGTTTGATCAACACGGTGCACACTTACCCGTCTGGAGAGCACGTAGCAGACGTGCTTCTTGGACGCGACAAGTTCATTCAACAATATCTTCCCCAGGTCACCAGACCCACCGGCGAGAGCAATAACTACCATATTGCAAATTGAATTTCAAATAAACACAAGATAAGTCGCTTTTAACGAGGCGCAATGTCTGTAGACTTAGTAGGGAGCAGCGTTGCGCAAGCCAATGAGGAAAAAAAAGACGGGCTTTTATGTAATGTTTAGGGTGAGGATGAAAAAGGCCCGGGGCTCGAGTCCACGGAGCGTTTCGGGTTTGCGAGTTCCGCTTCCGTGGGAATTGAATGTTCTGGGGCCAGGCATCCCTCGGCAACCTTGTGTGGCGGCGTCCGCGCGCTCGCAACGCCCGGGTTCCGTCGCGAAGCGTACCATTTCCGATCAGGCAGTGATGTAGAAGTCGTTCTCTAAGTCCCGCGATGCCAGGCATGTTGCCCAGAAACGTATAAAAAGCAGCGTCATGATATTGTGCTTTTTCCTTGGGCTGGATATCACATCAATCAACTCTGACCCCTGACACAAGCTTACCCACTTCAAAGTCTCCTCAACAGAACACAATGAAAGTCGCAATTGTCGGAACCGGATGTGTCGCCCGTTATGTGGTTGATGCACTTCTTGCGAATTCCCACGATGTCATCACTCTTAGTCGTACTCGCAAGCAGCATTTCGAATCGCTTCCAATTGTGCAGTACGAGATAGAGTACACTGCGAAATCCATGTCAAAATTCCTTGAGGGATGCGAAGCGGTGATCTGCACCGTGAGCTTTAGTGCGCCAGACATAGTTCAGATCCACCGGGAGCTCTTGGAAGCGTGCAAAAGCATCCCTACGTGCAAGAAGCTGTTTCCATCTATCTGGATTGGCAACTTCGAGGATGTCCCAGATCAACCTTACGGAGAGGCCGAGGGCGTTCGTCAAATCGCTTCTCTCCTCAGCAGCCAGAACACGGTTGAATGGACCATCGTCAGCCTTGGCTGGCTTATCGACTACGTGCTTCCGACGGAGCAGCGATATCTTCCTGACGACCCTTTCTGGGTGCAGGATCATGAAGCGAAAACCTTCAAGCTCTACGGGAGCGGAACTCAGACTGTTAGTTGCACGCCTGCTCGGGATGCCGCCAACGCCGTTGTTCGTTTGGCAGAAACCGAAGTTCCATTGGAACGCGTCACGTATATGTCTGGTCAACAACTTACCTGGGCCGAACTCTACGAGATTATCAAGGAACGTGATCCCGGCTACACTCTGACTCACAAATCGCTTGCGGAGTGTATTCAAGATTACATCAATTCTACGGATGAAATGGCAAAATACGGGGCCGTGTTTGACATTATGGGGCATAGCGAGGCTCTGAAATTCCCACAGCCAAGGGTTGATAAGCACAGGGAGATCTATTTCACGGGACTCAAGTTTCGAACCGTCAAAGAGCTACTTGATGAAGGACTAGTGAAGAAGGGGCAGGTTGTTTGATTTGATGTGTGACCTGAAATGTAGCTCGTGCAAATTAGGCCTTTGAGAACCCCACTATGGTTCTTGAAAAATATAACCAAGAAAATCCCAACCAACACTAATCAACGCGGTGTCAAGGAGTTAGAAGTAAACACTTATACTCGTAATCGCCTTTATTTCGACCCATACACAACGAACGCAGTGACTGGAAGCGGGCCGGACAGTGGTAGCTCAACAAGATAAAAGCTATCGCGGAAAAGGTTTGCATTTATCCAGCTAGTTTGAGACAAAATTAACCACAGCCTTGCCAACGTTGTTGCCCTTGAATAATTCAATCAGACCTTGCACGCTATTGTCGATACCGTTAATGTCATACATTATCGGGGTAAGTGTGCCGGCGGCAATCCATTTAGACATTCTCTCCCGGTGTTCATGTTGATATGCGTTACCCATATTTTCATCAATGACAAGAAGCCCTCGCCAGCTGACCCTCTTCGAGATGATTTGTGGGTAGTTAACGAGGCCATATCGTTGATTATGGGGAACGCTGTATTGTGACGAGTAGCCACATTGCGCTGTTTTCCCAGCATTAACATCGATCCCGAATTTCCATAACAGAAGACTTACCAATTCTACCAAAGTCATTCATCGCTTCAATGGCTGCATCCAGTTGCTCACCCCCAACATTATCGAAGTAGACTGCCCCAAGATTAGTCTGACGTCGCTAATGCCATGCGATACTTGGGGTGTCAGGCTGGGGGGGGGGGGGGGGGGGAGGCAATGCGACAAGAGACCCGTCTCTCGACTCTGGAATTTGTTGACTTACTATCAATGCCTTCGGGTGCGACTTTTCTGAGTTGCTCCGTGATGTTGCCACGCCGGTAGTTGAAACCATCATCGAACCCAATCCTGTCCTTGAGTAGTCTCAACTTCTCGTCGCTACCAACGCTGCCAATAACTCTCATGTTTTCGATTTTCGCAATCTGGCCAACAACTTGGCCCACGGCGCCCAGAGCCGCTGAGATAAAGATCGTCTGACCTGCTTTAGGCTTGGCCACTTCGTACAGAGCCGAGTAAGCTGTCAGTCCCGGAAAGCCCATGGGACCCAAAAACAACTTGAGGTCCAGCCCCAAAGGGTTGTCCAACTTCTCGAATTCCGCGACTTCATGTGCTGCGACGACAATATATTCTTGAATTGGCGCCATGCCAATCACCACGTCTCCGCAAGCCAGGTTCTGAGTGTCAGATTTGAGAACTCTCGCTACACAGGAGTTGGAAATCACGCTCCCGGGCGCCATTGGTAGAAAGCCATCCCTAGCCGCGCCCGCAGGGACCATGCAGTGCCGCAGATAAGGGTCAAGGGAGGCATGTAAAACCTGGGCAGTGAATCCGCCTTGCGGCGGCTCCGCGTCAGGGTGAAATTCCCCAATTCGGAGATCCAAGTGCTTCCCTTTCTCGGGAAGCGCCTCCGGGGGCTCTTTGAAAATCAACGCTTTGTTCTGGATCATGGTTGAATGGAAGGCAGCTTTCTCGATAGAATGCCAACGGTGCAGTGGAGGGATTAATGGCACTCTTGCTCGCGAGGATGCGACAGGGTTATTCTTGGGTTCACAAGATGCTATGGTGTAATGTCGGCCACGAGAACGGACAGATTTGTAATGCATTTCTTCACTGTTGCTTGGAACCCGACAATCAAGAGATCGGGATTTTTGGTATCCGACAACTGCTAGAAGCCCGTCACTCAGCTTCTTGTGAGGCGGTTCGTTGACGGGCCAGTCAACCCTAGGCGTCAGCTACAGTGCCAGGTGTTCCTGGCCGCCCGGGTTCCCGAAAGTCCGAGCCGCTTTGATCCCCAATCGTAATCCGGCGCCACGCAACATTACTTTCCGAGGCTTTTGTTGGATGTACTTTGCCACGAAGAGCGAGATATGACTACTAGTGGTCTGTTGCTCGATTGTTTGAGTCCCCTAAGAATGACTGCCGAGAAACGTCTTCACACACACACTGCAGACCTCCTCGTCCCACGCCGTTTGGTCTTTGAAATCACCGTGGTGATAACTCTCCGGTCGCCCAGAGTTTCACCTCCTCCCAGCGTGATCTACACTCTCAATACTGCAGAACAAGAAGAATGGATTCCAATCAGGTCGAAATCCAGCTGCCAGGAGGGAGGATCTTGGCCAAACGATCAAATGGTCTTGTACACGTTCGTGGGCTGCGCTACGCAACGGCGAGTCGGTTTCAGCGCCCAACACTCACTGAAAATTGGCCCAGCCCATTTGACTGCACGAAGCCAGCCATCATTTGTCCTCAAAGACCATCCCGCCTGAACTTTATCACAGGGGATCTTAAATTGGACCGTCAAATGGACGAAGACTGTTTGAATCTGACAATAACTATGCCAGAGTCAGGCTTGGAGCAGTCACAGAAACTGCCCGTTCTCGTTTGGTTCCACGGCGGTGCTTATCTCTCCGGTGGCGGCGATCTTGATTGTTACTACCCGGGATCTCTGGCCTCAAAGGGCATCATTGTGGTCAATGTCACATATCGCCTTGGTATCTTTGGCTTCATGCCAGTTGATGGAATTGCGCCTTCCAATCTTGGGCTCATGGACCAGCTCGAGTCGCTTCGATGGGTCAGTCGGAACATACAACACTTCGGAGGGGATCCCAAGCAGGTAACCATCTCCGGGCAATCCGCTGGTGCACACTCAGCGTTCTTGATGACGATCGTGGATGATGCCAAAGGATTGTTTCGGCGTGTCATCCTACAGAGTCCCCCCTTCGGTGAAGTTTATGCGGACAATGGAGTCGAGCAGCTCTCTCAATACGCAAAAGCCTTGATTGGCACAGAACCACAGAGTCTCACCACGCATGATTTGTTGGAGATTGAGGTCAAGTTGATCGCCGAGGCCAACCACATGGGTCTTCCTCTTGCATACTGGCCACACTTTGGCAGATACCCTATGCCTGATCTTTCCGAGTCAGAGTCCAGAGTTTCAGATTCGGCAAAAACAGTTCCTGTTCTCTCTGGGTGGACCATGAATGAGGGTAGTGCTTTTGTGCCAGTACAGTACGAGAATTCATTATGGGCAAAGTTTCCAATCCTTGGCACGGTGATCAAATCCGTGGCGACCTGGAAATTCTCCGGGAGGCTTTTTGTCTGGCCAACACAAGAATACCATAGGAAATATTTGGCATGCGGCGGAAACTCGTCTACTTACAGCCTTGACTGGAGCCCTGCAGGTTCCACACATGGGGCTGTTCATTGCATTGATTTACCTTTTTTATTTGGATCATGGGACACCTGGAAAGCTGCACCCATGCTTCAAGGCACTGGAGCAAAAGAAGTCGTAGAACGGGTCGGTCATCAGGTTCGGGACCTCTTCGCACATTTTTGCATTGCGGATGATGTCTGCGCATTCCGATCCAAGCATTTCGATATTGATGAGGACTTTGTATTTGAATTTGCTAGTCAATAGCCTGATACCACGTTACCGGGTATGAATACGGTCAATTGAGATGCTCAATATGAAGTCGCTAGATTCGGCAAAAAGCTCTACGCTGTTTACCAGCTGTATTAGCGTTTTTCTTTTTCTTTTTTTTCTTTTTTTTTGTTAATTTCATTTTGGTTTTTTGTCTTTGATACCTCTCCAAGGCAGGCTCTCAGTCTGGTTTGAATTTTGTAGAATAAAATTTATAGTATTAGATGAACGCAAGTATCATAATAATAACTAGCTACTGAACTGTATATAACCAAGGCGGAGGTGACGCATGTAAACATTATCAAAGAAAACGTCCGAAGAGCATTTGCATACAACACCGGCTCCCAGCTCAGCAAGTCCAGGTTAGCCGTTGGCTTCGTGTTGATTGACATCGATCCTGACTTCTTGTACCATCATATCCATATCCTCACAGACCGTCTCAGTCGCTGAAAGCTCGGTGAAAATAGTTGGAAGCAGTCTAACCATCTGCTTGGCGGTAACACCGCCACTGGTTCTGTGTCCTCGCCCCTCTTGCGGCCTTTTTCAGCCTCTGCAAATCTTTGAAGATATCATAGCTATTGGCGGCTTTGTTCAGATTATTACAAACTCTGCAGGAATTTGAGGTACCACCCGCACCCTCCCCTCCAAGTACCAATCTTGTCCATTGCGGACAACGCTTGGCGGTGAGGTTGAACCGCGCCAAGAATCGATGGAAGAACTGAGGGACTCAATCTACAAAGAAGGGCTTTCCTCCAAAGCGTCGTCTGATTTCTTTCTCCGTGGTTATTCTGCGGATGGCCAAACACTGCGCAAGCTCCGAGATGTCTTTTCCCGGCCACGCTCTCGGCAACAGCCATGCATTCTCGTGATACTATATGTAAATAGCATACATGATCTACGACTCCCAATATCCCTCCACCCAACCGCGCTCAACAGCAAGAATTTGCAACGCAAGCACTTTAGAGTACTGTCGACAGTCTCTGAGGCCACCTGAAAACCTCCAGAACCCCGGAACGCCAGTTGGACGGTAAAGCTAAAAAAAGGGGATTAGTTGTGATACTTTGATGTGAATGGCGAGAGGGGCAATTTTCATACTCCAATCGACTCCTCGTCCTCGTCGGGCTCCCCCAAATCTCCGACCTTATCCCAAATCTCCCTCGGAATAATTCCTGAAAGGTGTTGATTGTGCGGCTTGAAGCCTGTGGCAAGCACTACAATGTCAGCATATATCTTGTTACCATTGTGTAGAGTGAGTCCGTCTTTGTGGAATTCCTTCACGCCTTGGTCACACCAGTGGACACCGATCCTGCCATCAACAATCATCTTGTCGGCTCCCTGGTCGATGTAGTAATGGCCCCCGATGAGGAGTTGGTGATCAATAAGCGACACATCATCTCGGCGACGTTTCAGATGCAGTCCAGCGCTTTCGAGCTTGTCCATCAGTTCCTTGTCGTTTTCAACGATGCGTTGTGTGATTTCCACGCCCCAGGCACGTGTAAGCCCGAGAGGCCAAGACATGTCGAGCTGATCTGCCTCGTCGGTTGTCATGTCCGGGGAGCAATAATCGGCGAATTGGATCCTGCCAATGGAGTCGGTTGACACGGACCAGATAGGCGTTCGCTGTATCATCGAGACAGCCTTTGCACCATGGGCCACAAAGTCTTGGGCGATATCGTGAGCACTTGTGCCACATCCAATGATAGTCACGGTCTTTTTCCTCACATCCGGAATCCGTGCCGCAGTGGTATGCTCACTCGAATGATAGGCTGATCCCATGTATGATGCGATACCTGGGATATCGGGGATGCTTGGTGTTGGTCCGAAAACTCCCGTGGCAAAAACGACATGCGGAGCTTTGAAGACGCGTTGGCTGTTGTGGGTCTCCTTGACGATGACTGACCACAGTCGAGATGTCTGATCATATTCGATGGTCTGAACGGGGACATTCACTTCGTAGTCAAGCTCCATAATTTCGGCATAGTGTTCGATCCAACCAGCGAGTCGATCCCTGCTGATGCCGTATGGCCAAGTGGTTGGAAACGGTAGAAAGGGGAAGTCGTCAGTGTGACTCGGAGTGTGAGTCTGCACGGTCTTGTATCTTGACCACCAGGCCTGACCGAGCCGTGAGCCTTTTTCCAGAATCAGTGATCGCAACCCGAGATGTTTGAGCCATGCAGCTATGGTGACACCTGATTGTCCTACATAATATTAAGTTAAGGGTCAGATCATCTTTTGGGAATAATGAGCAGTTACCTCCACCCACAACGAGAACTTGCAGGGTTTCCGGTTGATTAGAACCATTAACCGTGACGTGGTTCCGGGACTCGCCATTTACCAATCCAGATACTGGGCGGTCAATATTTTCGGCCAGATCATGGAGTATTGTAGAAACTGTCCATGCTCTCCATTCCGATGGACTGGTATTGGCGAGCCTAAGCACACCTTGACCGCTCCCAAACTTTGTCGTGAAAGTGAAGCCCGACTGCAGGTAGACGACCCCTTCGCGAGTCACCAATTTCGGTATCAGCGCTCCAGTCTTCACAATTGACAACTGCCCCAACTCAGCTGCAGAGTTCTTGAGGTATTGGTGAATCCTGGAAGTCCCCTTTTTGCAGGCGATGGTCCAGGATAAAGCAGCGCAATCACGCCAGTAACAGTCTTCAACAAACAGTTCAGACATCTTGTTCAGGTTGTCCTCCTCGATCACTTCCAGGAATTGGCCAATCCATCTCTGAACGATCTTGGAAGCGTTGACATGTTCTGGTTCAATCGCTTGGAGAGAAAAGCTTGGCAGAGCAGGGAGAGGCGGAAGGTCAGCCATTGTGTCGATCGCAGTTGTAGTTGGGTCAGGAAGAGAACACTAGACATATGTTGTTGAGGCTATACATGCTCAACAAGAGATTCTCAAGACCTTACAAGGTGGGGGTTATATCATATCCAAATTCATAAAAAGGTGGCCAAGAAAGGCACAATCAGTTAGGGTTGTAACTTGTAAGTACGGATGAGGTTTATCTCGGAAATTCGGAATCCGGTGCTCTGATTGTCGGCGCCGAGCTTCCAAGGCCAGTCCCGCTATCAGATAGCGCCCTCGGCCAGCTAGGTCTGTTCGATAAGGAGGCGGCAAGTGCAGTTGGTGAATTGAGTTCAAAGAGTCTGTAGCAACTAGCCACCGAGTCTGAGGTTTACTGGGAGACGATAAGAGATTGATGAGGGATCGTACTAGGTACATTTCATCATCACAGAGATAAATGCTGATTTGGTTGTCTAGAAACAGATTGAACTAGCTACATTACAGAAAAGCCATTATTGCATCCAGTAAGGCATCCAATCCACCGGGCGTTTGATCGGCCAATTTGAAGATCTTCAAGCTTCGCTGTGTTGCCCTCTCATCACCGAATTGTACGACCTTGCTGTCAATCCCATCATCGCTAGGTCCGTAAATTTTGACCAACCTGTTCCGAGCTTCCACGGCAGTGTCAAATCGTGGCAATGCGCCTTCACCGTCGTCGTTCCCAAAGGTGAAATTTATCAACGTCTCCGCAAGGGCTCGGGCCACAGTCCAGCATCTGGCTGGGTAGCTCTGGTTGTAATTGCCCCAGATAAATGACACGTCCAAGAGGTGATTGGCACGGCCTTTGTAGATGCCGTCCCACGGATTGCGCTCATTGAAGAAGCCCATGTACCACTTCTGTTCGTCGGAATCAAATAGCTCCGCCATACGAAAGGACGGTGCAAAGAAGGAAATGTCAGTAACAATTTGAAGGATCTTCAAGAGAGCTTCACTATCGCTCGTCTCGGGTGCTATTTCGTACTGCTCGAGGAGCTTGGCAGCGGCATGTGTCCCCAGATTCTGTTCCATGGCAGTACAAAATCTTTCTTTGATACCACTCTCGCGATCGTTCAGAGAGGCCTGGCCCATGATCGATCCCTATGGGAAAACTTTAACTTTAACTTCTCCGTGACCATGCAAGCTGAAATAGTATTGAAGAAGCATTGGCAAGGGCTCGCGTTTCGAGAATTTCACTTACGTCAAACTGGGAGTCCAGAGTAAACACTCGCTTGCACCATCTTCTCCCTGGAAGAGGCAGTTCGTCACTATTGGTCAGGTTGGCAAAGGTTGCCAGTCCTGGAACGAGAGGGCCGCCCAACGCTACCGTGAGAGACATCATTTCCGGAGCCATGTCGTTAACAAAACGCTCGGAGGGCATTGTTAAAAACGCATTGATGCGCTCAGCAGGTTCCAAGTCCTCCAAGCCAAGATGCTTCACAATGGCTTCGTACTGTTTGTCGGTGGTTTCTTGCGAGCTTGGCCTCATCATGAGGAACGTGCCACCGAGCAGCATGGCCTGGTCAAACAAGGGCTCATCAGAATGCAACAAGTAATTGATTGCAGCTAGGTAGTGAGCAGATTACACTTGTTAGTCAAATCCGACTACATGCGAGTGCTTCTAATCATCATGCTGTGTTGCGACACACTTACCTCCTCCTGCACTTTGACCAACAACAGTGATTTTGCCAGGATCGCCCCCAAATCCAAGAATGTATTTCTGAACCCACTGCAGTGCAACCCGTATGTCCTGGAGACCTCGATTTCCCGTAATTCCAGCACTCTCAAACTCTTTGGAGGTTAAGAATCCAGGTACACCAAGTCGATAACTTGTGGCCGCATGTTAGAGATTGTTCGAGTTGACAGGGAGCAACGATGGAATTAATCCGAAAAGGGATAACTCTCAGGTGGGAAACAGCTCAGTCGAACCTACTTGAAATTCACTCCAATAATGCTTTGATTCATTTCCTCGGCCAGGGAGATGACCTTAGATTGATCGTAGTGTGGATACCAGCTGGAACCGAAGGCAAATCCACCGCCATGGATGTAAACGACGACGGGCAAGTCTTTGCCTCCCTTCGCTGGTAGCGTGAGGTTCAAATTCAAACCGTCGAGATCAGAAATTGGGGGGATTTCATCCTTGGGGAGGCCCCGGTGAATAAAAGCTGCCTCCATGTCATAGGAGAACTCTGGAGAAACTACAGGGGCACTATGCCACGAGCAGAAAGTTTAGCGTCAGCACAGCCGTTCAAGTTTCTAATCAGCACACATAGTAAGAAAGGACTATGAAAAGCAAGAACGATAAACCAGTACCCGTGCATTGTGGCGTTGATCTCGCCATCTCCATTGTATTGCATCAATCGTGGTTCAGCCAGGCGATTCTCTAGAGTGGCATACTTGATGCCGAGATACTGGTAAGCGCCATTCTTCGATATTCCCCGAATAGTGCCAAGTGCAGGATGATGAAAGGGTGGAGGCGGCGGAATAGGATCTGCAAGCACTGGTCCGGTGGCCATGACTGTTGTCCCGGGTATATGGACTGTCTCGGAGAAGCAGGTAAGCTCAGATTGAGGTAGGGGTCGGTTTCAGTTAACTTATAAAGCAAACGGTGCAGAGCGATACTCATGCAAATGCTTCTGTGTCACTAGCTGTGTGCAGAGCTTATCTGCTCTATCCTTTGATAGTGGACATTTAATTGGGAATCCATGCTAGTTCAATCCGGAGTTTCGGGTTTCCGCGCTCCCAGTATTACGTAAACAAGAGTGTAAATTAACGAACACATCGGCTACTTGTTCATCTGAAATACCTGGATATAGATCAATGAGCTTGAACGCAGGCCAGCTACCAGGAGTGTTGAGTACGAACCAAGCTTAGTGGATAATTCACCCTCTGCAGGGGGCTGTCTGTTTCAAGAAGTATGAAGGTTTTCTGCGGGCAGGCAATGCCTTTTCAAACCAGCTGCGTCTACGTATGGAATCAAGAGCGACGTCAAGAAAAATGCCATATGTATAGTGTGCTTGGATTTTCTGCTAGAACTAATCAAATGTTTCTTAGGTAAGCTTATCCCCTCAGCACATTCAGTTTCTTGCAAGCAGCTGCAAACTTGGTTTCGTCCACGTCGCTTGGGTTATCCGGCAGTGCAACCGCTTTGGTGCTGTCACCAGCCTCGTGGATCAGCGCCTCGAGACCGTCGCCATCAACGTAGCACATGAATCTGATATAGGGATGCTTGAAACGAAGGCGAAAGGCTGTATCGGCATCGATAAACAGAACTTCGCCAGCATACATATCCGTAGGTGTGCTGTCATTGAGTGTAACTTCAATGGCTCCGTCGAGAAGGACAAGCACATGGTGAATCTTTGGAAATCGAAGAAACTCCGAAAAGATGGTGTGTTGGTACGTAGATGAGGTTTCAATTGTGGATATCGCGAATCGTCCCTCGGCAGCTTGCTTTGTCGTGATAAAAGGTTGTGAGGTGACACCACCCAGGACCCATTTAGGTCCGGTCTTATAGCGAAGGAAATATGGCTCCGGACCATCGGGTAAAACAGTATCCTTCTCGCTCCACTCTTTAACCTCAGCAACTGCGGGCTCTTCGACCGGATATGTATCGTAAGGCTCCTCGTAGTCTTTGGGCAAACGCCTTTCGAACTCTGCGTTCTGGTCCTGAGTATCGTACTCGGGAAACATGACACCAGTAAAAGGGTCCTGTGTGTCGCGGAAGATATCGACCCAATCGGCAGGCGATACTAGAGGGAGGGCGCGAACGAAAGGACCGAGGGGCATCGGGTTATGGATCGCTAACTGGTCTACTAGTCAACAACCGAAAGTAGGGTCGCAGTAGACTTGTTCCAAAATGGTCAATACATACAGGAGGGGCAGAGGCGAAGTCCCCGGGACTCAAGATTCGGCAGTCCTGACCACAATAGATCTTGAGGTGACCCTCAGTGATGAGGAATGCATCGTGTGTGATTTTATGGTAATGGTAGCCCTGTTCGTTGGCAGGACCATCCCAGCCAAAAACCGCCATCCCATTATTCGTTTGCTTCTGGGTTGCATACATGCGAAACGCACCCTTACTTCCGGGCATCGTGAGTATCTCGCCATTGAAGCGATGAACAATGTAAGACCCTCCATTCTCCAGGGGCTTCGTGACTCGTGGGACTGACATAATAAGGTGCCGTGCAAATGTATGAACCGGCAAAGATGGAAATGAGGACGAAGATCCGGAAGATTTGGTCGCGCTGATCATTCAAGAACCATCGTTGGGTACTTAGACGAGCGCATGGACCGGATTATATGCAATTGAGGTGGAGGCAAGCAACCCCTACAGGCGGGTTTGTATTGCGAAAGAGTCGATTCACTACAGCGGATTAGCAATACCAGGACCTACCAATCGGACCGCCGAGGTCCCGCCGGCTGGATTCCGAGGCAGAGAACATAGTCAGCATTCGGGGTGGGCGGTGGCCTGAGGTCTGTCCCGAGGCCCACTGGTCACTTGGAAACGGCATAAAGTGGCGAAAACAGGTTAAGCTGAACACATGGAGAACGATACGGTGCTATCGATCTGAACTAGGAAGCCTGCTTTGGTGTCATCCCCAACCATGATAATATTAGGCAGACACCTCTGGAATCCCGAAATTCCGGGACATTGTGATTGACGAATAATACCACTCGCAACCCCAGCTCGTCGGATAAGGATACTGATAAGCTGTGCAGTGGTGGGGTCAGCAGTGATATTTACTGCGGATAAAGTGTGGGGGTGGCAGGGTTCCCCCCCTCCCCTCCCCTTTAGCTACTTAAGGAAAGGCTCTATCGCTACCTAATCTATCAGAGGCAATCAGTGTTGATTACTAGGTACGGTACCAGCGGGACTTAGAACTTGCCACTTGGCATAGTTAGTAATGAGAATCTTATTGGTGCTGGATCAGTGTGACAGATAAGATGTATGCGCATGCCCGCAATCCTGGGGTTTCATTCCCGCTTCCTGAGCTATTACTTTTCTTCTTTATCGCCCTTCCCACCCGGCTCCAATTAATCTCGCTTCATGCAGAGTATCAGTCCTGAACTCAACGGCACCCCATAACTTTGTGTTCACTGTAAAAAGTGCACGGCATAATGACCCCCCCGGCTGCCAGTGATGGCAATGCTCGGATTATGGCTGCTGTATGTCCAGCGTGACCGTGTCCTCGCCGGCTGATAGCGCAAGTGAGCTAAATTTGATGTTTAGTGTGATTACTGCCACAATAAAAAGGTATGTCGATGAGCTCACCAAGTACGCGATCCAAGTAAGCTGAATCGAAACACTACGGTCCCAGGTCAGATGCAATCGCCAAGACCCTTGCGCGCAATGCATTGCCTCCAATAGCCGATGTCTTCGTCGTCGCCAGAGACAATACGGTCGCCGCAGCACTAGAAATCAGTAAGTGTCATCATCTCCCGTACTATCCAACGCCTCGCATCCCCTCGCCCTCGTTCCCCCTCACCGGCAAAGCTTGCCTCCCCTTTCGGAGATCATACTCATTTCGTAGAGAACAGTTGAATATAGTGCTGGATCGCGTATCGCAGCTGGAAAGGTCGCTCGAGTGGGCTCAGCCACCCCTAGCAACTCCAGATGGGTGGCAGAACTCTTGCTCGGGCGAGTCTATGCCCCGGCCAGCCACTAGTGGGACAGAACATTCAGACTCCTCGCCTGCCCACGAACAGAGTACCGATGAACCCATGACTTGCCAACTACCAACTCCGGCACGAGAGGTTTCCGGGGGTTCCACATCAGGGAGTCGACAGCTCTACCACTTGCCGGCAGAGGAAGCTGATACCAGGAGTCCCGAGGACAAGGCGGTAGCAGAGGCCGATATGCGGCGATATTTCATGCCCACATCCGATATCGGAAGCGCGTCGGACCCAGACAGACGAGCATTGCTTTCAGCCGCTCTCAAGTTGGCCAGACAGGTGCCAGTATCAGAGCCAGCGACTTTTCACAGAGGCTCTGTCTCTGAGCTTGACCAATACAACTCTGCGATGTACCCACCGGCCGACTTCCTGTCGCTTCTTTTTAATTGTGAGGACAGCCGTATGATTCAACCCATCAAACCTGTGATTGAGACTGACCTGAAGTTGTAGCCCCTCGTGGTAGCGATGCGACAACATATCACTGGGAGATGGGCACCAACTTCTCGCTTGCGAAAGTAAAAGAAATGGCGTTTGCTCTTCTGGATGGCTCGGTGCATGGAACCACCAGACTGCTGTACATGCTATCCGTCAATTGTGTCGCCTATACATTTTTGACAGCCATGGATGTCGATGAGCAAGATAATATCAATGTGGAGCTAAATATGGCGGCACAAGCAAAGTATTTGAGGAATATTGAGTGTGCACTACAACATGTAGACACACAGCCTCGCCGAGATCCACTCCTCTTTCAAGCCCTCTTGAGCGCTGTAAGTTTCCATTCATTCGCCCCTTTTCTCGTTGTAGTATTACTATGGTATCTAACCACGACATGCTTAACACTAGGCCATGGTAATGCAAGACGCGGGATATATGCGTCGCTGCTGGCGACTGAACTGGGCAGCCTGTGGTGTAGGCGCTCTCCTCGACGAGGATTGGTTTAGGCAGTCTACACTACCCGCTGAGGAGCTTGTGCAAATTCGCATTGCGTTAATGAAGTGCTACATACATGACAGAGCGCTATCTACTGATTTCAGTCAGCCATCCAGCTTGATGGATCTTCCTATCAGTACCGATCTGTTGGACCAGGAGAAACCATGCGATGCCATGTTACTGACCATGGTTGATATTGCGAAAGTCACCGACGCTCTATTCCGCGAGGCCCGCGCATATAGTGCGGCCGGTGAAAGACAGATCAACAAAACCATGGTTCAAGAGCAAGTCAAAGTCCTGCAGGGGATAATGGCAAGATCAGATGAGGTATGATCCTACACTATTCGTATTGTAATCCCGACACATAATGGTTCTTGGAAAGGAACGGAAAGGAATGATATTGGCTTGTATGCAATGTGCTCATCTTTCAACAGTTTAGAAATCGGCCTCCGGCTTCAACCGATCCATATCTCATCTCAGAGTGGGCTGCTATTGACTTTATCTACTTCTCAATGATGGCGAGTCTTGTACGGTTGAGTGCAGGCGATGCACGCTCAACAGATCAGGAGGGTCTTCACCATGCCCGTAACGCCCTGTCATCCTTGCTACAATTACTCAAATGCGCCACAGTTTCGTCTTCATACAGAATGAAGGCTCTGGCTTCTGTCTGCTGGTAAGTGATTGTCCTACTAACTCGAAATCTGTGGGCTTTTGGTCTTGCTCACCACGCTGACATCGAGGAGGGTCGTGCCACTCTTTACGCTCCGCCCTGTTTTCTTTCTCTTCCGAAGTATGGTCATTTTCTCGGATGCCCTGGATCTGAAACTGATGCAAGATGTGTCGGAGAAGCTGGGTTTACTCGCTCCCTCGCGTCATTGTCTTGCAGCACTTCATCAACTATGTAAATCTTTGGTCGACATGTATGCCGGATTTGCGGAGAGGGCGATTTATCAGCGGCATCGGCAAATTCCTACGAACAGGCCACTAGTAGGTCAACCACCAGCAGCTTTGCCTATAGCAGCTTTTCAACAAGCTCCTTCCCAGATGCAGCTCAATAGTTCTGGCCACACAGAGAATGTGTTCTTGGGAAGGCTGCTGGATGGTTCTTCGCAAGACTTTGGATCGGACCTTTTAGACTTATTTGACTGGCCTGGCATGGAGATGATAGATTTTTGATATTTCTGGGCGGAAATCATCGCAGAAAGAAAGAATTGGCAAGTATATATTCTGTATCTGACCACTTGTGTAAAGACAATTCAGAGGCTGGAACATCAGATCCTCATCTCAAATCCTTTTGATCATAATCTCGGCATCTGGATCAGGCATCACCTATTGAACAAGACTGTTAAATCATCGGGCTAGTCCACGCACTAAGAACAAGATCGAATGAAAAGATGATACTTACGCTGATCTCATATTCCCTGTTGGCTGGCCGCTTTGCACCATCGGGCAACCTGATGTGATAGTTGAGCAAGAACTCGGATAAAATTAGTTTTATCACAATGCCGCTCAAGAATCTTCCGGGGCAGGCATGTCGGCCGATACCAAAGGCAAGGTCTTTGGTTCCAACACTGACAAACATATGCTTGTTCTCCTCCCCGTCCATCTCACGCAATCGGTAGAAGCGAAGCCCATCAAACTGGTTAGCATTTTCATAGTTGTCATCATCTGCGTGGATTGCACACGTCGCCGTCTCCAGCTTCGTACCTTTAGGGAGGAAGGTACCGTCAGGAAGTGTTATGTCGGCGGTGGCAGCGCGCTGAAATGTTGCTAGATTTAGTGCATTTTAGCAGGGGTTGGTGGATAAAATGGGGGAGATGATGGAAGACCAACTTAAATCGGGCGAAGAGAGTCGTTGTGACTCCTTCATAAAGCTATCCATCTTCCTCAGCTGCTGTATAGACTCCTTATCGAACATGGGGCCGGATGTACTCCCCTTGACGGCGATGATCTCGTCGCGGAGAATTTGAACCATTTCTGGCTGAGCAGCTAGATCATACAAGCACTGCATAGTTGAGGCAAAAGTAGTCACTGAGCCAACGGCCGTGAGTGTCATTTGATGCGTCAACTGGGTGTCCAAGTCATCAATCAACGCAGCGTTCTTGCCCGATGTCAAGTGATCCAGCATGGTTGCAGGATCTTCAAGGGGCAAACCAGTAGCCTTCTTCTCGTTGATGGATTTCTTAATGATGTTGCGTGCTCGCCCCCACTGATCTTTGATCGCGGCTCGGTACGGGTTACATCTGTGTACTATCCATCGCAGATATGGAGGGTATGACTTGAGTAGCTGTATCGATTCCTCCACGGCCATGATGTAACCAGTCGCGAGGTCCAGCCATTCTTCATTATCTGAGGCGGCACGGCTGTGGAATGCGCGGGATGTGGTCTTCGTAACTAGTCGCAGCATAGGTTCAGAAAATTTGATCGGGGACCATTCTATTCACGTCGCGTCAGCATCCAAAAACTGATGGGGGTTTTTTTTATGAGATACACACCTTTGGTTGAGCCGATCAGAGGAACAAGGTTGGCCTTGACTATCTCGTGTAAGGCAGGCACGTACTGGGCTAAGGTTGTCCCAGGGTTAGCACTCTGATTTTCTTGCGGCCATCGGCATGATGAGTCGCTTACGCAAACTTGGTGTCAGTCCTGAGCGGATCGCCTGAATGAAGTACTCCGGGGGGCCACCGAATAATGTGTAATCAACAAGCATGTCCTGGAATTTGATAAGCGTTGGCGATCGAGAATCCATCGAGCAGATTAAGCCTTACATTGTCGATCGACACCTTGAAACTTAGGTCCGGGTGACTCTTCATCTCATTAATTAGCTCATGAGGAATCACCGCCTTCACACCTATAAATCAGAACAGACAGTTAGAAACAGAGCCGAGCGACTTGGAATTCGAAGCTTTTAACATAGGAGTTCAAGTGGTCGGACCATCATTCGTATCAATACCAAATACTTTGCCGGAAAACTAAACATGGTCAGTCTTCAGAATCGTCAATATATCCGAGGAACAACGGGATACATACCTGTTTATACCCTTTCCACACTATTTGTCTCGGGCGACGTCCGTACTCGGCGATTCGCTTTTTCTTGGAGCGAATTTCGTCGGATAGCACGATTGGTATGTCCAGCTTTGACTTCATTCCATTCAACCTGGCACCCATCCACAAAAATACGACAAGCATAATCACGGTTGTTACACCGCGTCCGGGGGAGTTGATCAAGTTGGCTCCCCCATCCATGTCCAGGGAGATACCCGGAGCCGTGGCATTCGTAGCCATGTTGAATTGTGTGACAGCTAGGAACGGATTGGAGTGAGGTCAAGAAAGAACATATGTTCGTGCGAATCGGACAGAACAAACAGACATTGAAGAAGCGGCTTTTCCATGGCGGGGGCATCAGTCGCAGCGATTATATGACTTCCAGTCTATACAGCGAAGAGTCAGGCACAAGTTTGAGATCGTTTCCGAAGAGGTACGGAGTTACTACGAAGTTCACAAACCGGGTTTCCGGAAAGCCGACGACACCAACCCCGCGGATGTTCTCCGAAGCAAGCCCTTTCCCTTTCTCCTCTGATTCCCTTTCAATTGCCAGAAATCCACTGCGATACTAGTTTACTGGAGGGCTATATGATTCCGTCCGGGGGAACGCAGCACAAAATGGTATACGTCTTGACATTGATATCCAATGACACTATGTGTGATTTTATGGAGGACTGCCTGTTTCGGAGATCCAGCTATAATTTCGGTGATCGGACCCTATACGCACTATTTGAAAAGCAATAATCTGTGAATATCAAGACGGTGTAATGCAGGACTTTGTTTGGGGGGGGGGGGGGGCTCATTAACAGCATCATGGATCCGGGATTTGGAGACATTTATTCCCGGTGCTATTCGGGCTCCATGTTTCCACCTTGGTCTATAAGGTACTAGAATCTTTCCCAACCAATTCACGTGAGTAAAAACTTCACCATCGTCCGATACTCATCCTGAATTATGGACAATCAGACTTAATCGAGCTATTGCCCTTAAGCCTACGCTCCCAATTGTTTAATGCTTGAAATTCATCGCAGTAACATACTCATCAAGCCAACATACCCAACCCACTCCTCAGAATGATTTAGGACAACTAATTAGCGGGTGGAATCTTATCACGTAGCAAGCCTTTACTAGGTGGCAACTTGCCTGAAACTCATTCCGGTTGGCTTGCTTTCGCCGAAAGATAATCGGCCACAGGCGTATCTTCTTTTTTCGGAAACCTAAAGATACGGCACTTGATGGAACGGTGGGAGTGAATAAGTATCCACGTTATATATGTGTCTTCCATCTCGACAGATTTTGCTTTTTACAAGTAACCTGTGCCAGACAACAGCAGTGATATTCCAACTTTTTCCGTCTCTATCTTTACTCACATCCTCTAAACACACTCATCATGTCCTCATCCACTGCGGAGGCGTTGACTCGCCACGACTCGACTAAGAAAACGGGGTTCAATGACACTTTCATTTCCACCGAATCGACAACCCCGATCGAAAACAGTACCAATGTCTTGAAAAAACGGTTTACCTACCAAACGCTGATATTCATGTTCATTTCCTTAAGTGCAGGGGTAAGAAATGCAACATATCTTTTGAACAAGCTCCGCTCCATCCACTCTATTAGCAATATGTACCAATGTGCAAGAAACTTCGCCACCTGCTGACACATGAGTACAATCTGAAAGTGGGAGTCGGTAATCATGTCTCTTTACCAAGTCCTCATCGGCGGCGGACCTGCTGTTCTCGTCTGGGGATACATCCTCGCTGCTATTGGTGCTATCTGTGTGTCCTTTGCTTTCGCCGAATACGCCAGGTATGCCTCAGAACCGACGCAAATGTTTCGTGATTAGAAAAGTGGTTGCTAACCTTTGCATAGCATCTGGCCCTCTCCTGCTGGCCAGGCCCACTGGAGCGTAGTAAGCTTGAGCACACAGTCGGTTGAGGCTACACATACTAATCAAGTCAAAGGCTCTAACTCCTCCCAGATTCAAAAAGATGGTTGTAAGTTGTGCAAGAATATCTGCAGAGAGTCTCGGAAGGTTGACTGTATTATATAGGGGTTCCAGACGGCTTGGATACTTTTGTGGATGAATATTTTGGGTAACATCGCAGCTATCTACTCTATGACCATGTGTATTCAGTCACTTATCTACATTGGAAATTATGACTATGCGCTCCCGAGGTGGCACGCATATCTTGTGAGTTCCCCTCAAGACTCATCTATCAATAGATTCTGTCTAATCTCACAGTAGATATTCATATTAGTTGCCGTGGCTTCGTGGGTTGTCAACTGCTTCTTCCCCGATTTACTCCACCAGATCACCATCGTGGGCAAGTCAAAATGAGACACGGCCCGGAATCCAGATACTGACTCTTCAGGCAGGACTTGTGTTCCACATTCTTGGGTTTTTCGTTATTATCATAACACTACTAGTGACCACCAAGAACAAGAATTCGGCCAGAATGGTCTTTCTAACCATTGAGGATCACACGGGCTACAACAATAACTTTGCAGCTTTCTGTGTTGGTATGCTGCCGGCAGCGTTTGGGTTTCTTTCACTTGATGTCACCGTCCGCTTTTCGGAGGAAGTACCAGACCCAGAAGTCAATGTTCCCAAGTCGATATTTTGGGGGATTTTGGCAACCACTGCCATCGGCCTGCCATTCGTTTTGGCTATAGCCTTCTGCATGGGTGACCCCAATGAGCTCCTCATGTCTCCCATCGTGAATCTTAATCCGTTAGCATTGGTAAGCGCATCGAGCTCTTTGCCATTCGAATCTCACCAAATGTCGATGATAGATTACGCTGAATTCTACCGGATCAAACGCTGCAGCCATGTGTTTAAGCGCCACCCTCATTATTGTCGCTTTCACCGCTGCTATAGACGGAACTGCTGCCGTCGTCCGCATTATCATGGCTCTTGGTCGGGACGATGCCATCCCCTATGGTAGTCAATTCGCCAAGCTACACCCCAAATATAACAGCCCTTTCAACGCCTGTCACTTGGCTCTGTTCCTCCAGGTATTCATTGCTGTGCTCTATGTAGGCAATTCTACAGCCTACTATGGAGTTGCAAGTGGCGTTGTTGCAATGCAAGTGCTCAGTTATATCCTTCCCATCTTCTTAAACTTGCTATATGGAAAAAAGCTTGGTATCGTTTACGGCCCGTGGAGCATGGGAAACTCCCGCTACTTGGTCAACACTTTGGCCGTTCTAATTTATGTCTTCCTATTTGTCATCATGCAGCTTCCCACGACCTTGCCGGTGTCAGCAACGAACATGTAAGAATGTGGCACAACTATCATAGATCCAAGCTGACATAATTAGGAACTATGCCTGCCTTCTTCTTGGGGGATCCACATTGTTGACTACCCTACTTTATTCATGTTGGGGAAGAAAAAAGTACTTTGGTCCTAGGGCTATCATTGAAGCGTCGACTTGGGAGTAGAGTTGGATTCCTGGCCACGATGTTTGCACGAAGATTTACATAGCACGTGTTAAATGTGCTGTTAGCTCGGGCTTGCTGTTCAGGCAGGGCGTGCCCTGTACAAGCTTATCACTTAGTATGGTTCCACTGGGGTTCCCAAATCTCGATGTTACCAGCATCCAAAATACCACTAGCTCTCATCTACCAAAATCGGAATATCCGGGACTATTCATTGACATTACGCAATGCTTGCTATGCTTGGCAAGATGCGCGATCAACGTCACTTATCTTAAATCCTTTAGGGAGCTACGACGAAATATGCAAGAGTACAAGAGAAAGCTCAGGTCCAGGAGGGAGCATTGTTGTAGCGCCTTGGGAGCAAATTAGGTGAGGGTCATTTGTTCTACGTTTTCGTTCGGTTTTTGCCTGCCGCTCAGAGTGTGTTTGCTCGACACAAGCCCACAGCTGGGAGAATGGGAATCGCTCTGTTGCATATCCTTCGCCGTTGCGCCCGTCCAGCCACTAATAATCCAACAAGTGATTCGGATCAAGCGAGAGGCGGAGGGAATGCAGCTGTGTCAGGAATTCTACTACGCGACTGCGAAACCCATCTGGCCGGAATGGCAGCGGGGGCGCACATTCTTGATCTTATCGCCAACTTCATTATCGGATTGTAGGTCAGCTGTCACACGCAATGTACCATGGCTTATACCCTGGAATAAATACAACCCGCCCACGTCATCAATCCAAATTTTTTGAGGTATCCTTTCGAGCTGCCTTGCTCATTATGTCAGAAGCCGAAACCAAGACCCGCAATTATCGAAGTTCCACAGCCATTAACAACCCCTCCGAGGCATCTGAGAGGGAGCAGATGGAAGAGCAAATTGTAAGCATCATAATGAAGGGATCAAGGGTTGAATGATATTGTATTGTATACCTAGCAAGCGGTATCTATTTCCATTGTTACGACTACCTCACTTCCGCCGAATCACTCCATCAGTGAGATTGAGAATATGACCCTTGATAGAGATATGTTGAATATTGTGCTGAAGATGAGGGCTTTGAAATATGTCATTACTGAATCTTGTCGCTATATGACACGATTTGTCGTTGGGTGTACAGGTGTAACTCCTCGAGTCCCAGGCGACTCGAAGACCCTATTTGGAGCCCAACAAAACGAGGACAGATAAGGCACCTGCCGGCACAATTGGTTCCGGCTCTGATTGATAAACGGACTCTCGGGTTCCGGAGGGTTGAGGTTTCCGAAAGGAAATGCCGCACGCTCGCGGATCCAGTATCTGCGTCACTACGAACGCTTCAGCCGGGTTTTCGAGTCGTCATGCCCGATACCTTTTATGCCAACCCTCTGGCCTTTGTTTCTCAATCTTCTGGCAGGCTGTTATTACATCATTGCAAAAACCATGGACGCTCCGATACGACCCATGCCTCAATCTCTAGCGCACAAGACGGCAATCATCTCCGGCTCATCTGCTGGAATTGGTGCCGCAATTGCGATTGAATTATCTGCCCGTGGAGCAAACATCGTCTTGAATTATCCATTCCCATCTTTAGAGGAAGAATGCCAGGCAGTCGGCCAGCAGTTGCAGACAAAATGGATCGCAGTCTGCGCGGACCTCTCCACCGTCGATGGACCCTCCCAACTCGTCGCTGCGGCGGTAAAAGAATTCGGCACAATCAACATTCTCGTCAACAACGCAGGACGTGTTCCCGGCGGTGCTACCTGGGAGGCCACCTCTGAGCAATGGGACGACACTTTCAACTTGAACGCTCGCGGAATGTTTCTGTTGACAAAAGCCGTTCTTCCCCACCTGCCGTCCTATAAGCCCTCCTCACCACCTCTCATGTCTGGTGTCGCAGAGGTCTCACGGATCATATGCATTGGTTCCGGGACCAGTCGGTTGCCCCAGCCTGATGCTATTATATATTCGGCAACCAAGGGTGCTATTGATACGATGGTCAAAGTATGGGCTAAGGAGCTCCCCCCTGTGTATGGCTGCACAGTAAACGGCGTGGCCCCGGGTCCAGTAGACACGACAACATTTCGGGTCGGCTGTGGAGATCAATTTCAGGAGATCCTCGATACATTTGCCAAAGATACCCCAGTTGAGGGAGGGCTCGCGGATGTTGGTGATATTGCTTGGACTGTCGCATTCCTGGCGGACAGAAGATCCAAGTGGATCAATGGAGAATACATCATGGTCAATGGCGGGTTGTGTATGGTATGAGGGATCATGCCGCATAGAAGGAGCCAGCGCTTGATACATCCTAGATGTGACTTGAACAGCTGGTTCTATTGAACCAGCTGTATTTTGATCAAGGGATTGATGTCTGTCATTCGTTTTACTAGCCCACCTTTTATGCAAAGCTCGCTCCCATTCAAGAAACCCAAGACAACATCAATAGCTCCGACCAGCATCTGGTATAGAAACTTAGGCAACTTGCAAAACGTGAAGGTCTTTCGGTCCCGAGAAACAACCGGCAATTTGATCCAAAACAGTTTACTGATCCTGAACCTTCTCATCAGCAGGCCGACGGACGGTCCATTTTAAATAAATCCGAGTATATCATCCATCAATACACTGCTAAAGCGTGCTACTGAGCTCTGCTCTGCTTTATTATCAAGCCTATAAACGAATATACTGATTTCCAATCTAATTACAAAGTGAGACTTGTTTTAACAAGTTTCAACATCCAATATGTATGCTGCAAAAGGCTTTCTATAGAAATGTTTGTTATAACTCTGATACCTTGGCCGAACTTCTATTCTCTATCTTTATTCCTCATTGTCTGATAAATTGTAACAAAAAGGTACCCTCCAGCACCTCCGGCCTGCAGAACCACATGCTGGGCATCCTGCTGTGCACCTGGTTGATTCCCAGCGTGGCGGCCGACGTGCACGCCGTCTGGTACGAGAAGTGGGCGATCTTCGAGGCGCGCGAGCGCAACGGTGTGTATGACTACAAGGCGCTGCTGGGAGCGCTGGTCCTGGTCGAGATCCCCTGGTTCCTGGGCCTGTTCACCCTCATCTTCCTCATGACCCTCTGGACCTTCGGCTTCGCCAGCACCGCCAGCATCGCCGGCGTTGTGTACGGCATGTACCTGCTGTTCGCGCTCTTCGGCCTCGGCGTCATCTACCTCATGGCGGCCTTGTTCCCCGACGCCACGATGGCCGGCTATGCCATGTCGCTCTTCCGGGTGACGGTCCTCATGTTCTCCGGCGCTGCGAGCCCCCACGGCGCCCTCAACGACTTCTACCGCCCCTGGCTCTGGTGGGCCGACCCGCTCACCTACTTCTTCGAGGCCACCGTCTCCACGGTCGTCCACGACGTGCAGGTGCAGTGCACGTCGACCGAGTTGGCTGTCTTCGACGTCCCCAACGGCACCTGCCGCGAGTATCTGGGGCCCTACCTCGACAACAACCCGGGCTACCTGCTCAATCCCTCGGCCGTCCAGGCGTGCGCGGTCTGTCCGTACTCGGTGGGGGACGAGTACGCCCGCTCGCTGCACTTTTATTTTGGGGCCCGTGGCCGCGACGCGGGCGTGTTCCTCGCGTTCTGCGTGACGAACTTCGTGCTATTGTTTGCGGTGACTTGGTTGACGCGCGTGCAGATGCGGAAGTGGCGGAGGTGAAGACGCGGTGGGATGGAGCGGGGGGATATAGAGCTAGAGAGGAGAGTAATTATAGATAAAACAAGAGAAAGAAGCTTCACGTGAGAAGAGAGAAGGCCTAGATCCTATGATGATAGTGATCGTAGCGAAAAGGTGGTTACTTGAATCAGGTTACCATTCGAAGGCGATCTAATGAACCTCAGGGGTGAGCGATACAGAACAACTTAAGTTCTGGGTGGTTGGCGAGTGGAGGAAGCAGCCTGGTAAGCCGCCTTGAATCACGTGGCCGGCTTGCTCTTACTAGGAATGCCGTCTATGTAAAAGCTGCCGCCCGCCCCTCCCTCGGGCGCGCAGCTCAGTTGATTGACATTTCTGTAAAGCGATCTGAAGTCTAAGGGGTGGACAATATGAAACGGTTTCTTGAATTCTTGATGGTTGTGGGTTGTTGAACTGAGTCTTGAAGGTGGGCAACTCGTTTGGTGAATCGCCTCGGATCACGTGGGCTGGATTCCTCAGGGACGCCGACAGTTTCTATATCATCCAGCTTGCCATCTATTTTGTTCTAGATCTACAGTGTGTGAGAAATGGGTAAAAAAGAGAATGAAGAAAACCCCTTGGAAAAAAAGAAAAAGAAGAAAAGAGAACAACCGAAAAGGCCATAATACCAACCATGCCGTCGTGCTGCAATTCCTCCCACTTGCTTGCTTCGCGAGGTCGGGAGGGAAGGGGTATAGATCAGACATTACAAGCAGCGGGTCTATAGAACAAGATGGAAAAAATCGTACATCGAGATAGGGAAACCGCCTCCTATGATGAACAGCCTCATCAACTCTGATCTTCACTTTAGACACCTGCGTAAGGCTGTTCTCTGTCCGGAACCATGTCGACGATCTGTCATTGGCGCGAGAGAATCAGTACCAGTGGCAAGTATGCATTGCATGCACTGGGATCCGTGACGAATGAACTTACCGCCCGGTAGAAAATAAAAGTCATTTCTGATTGTTGGGGCGTGGGCCCTGCTCGGGAGGGACTGGATCGGTAAAGGATGGGATCGAAGGGGTTGAAGAATGGCAGTATGGTTTGCCCGTGGGTGGATCGGCGGGACGAGCCGAGATTGTAGAAACTAGTGGTACGGGACGTGTGGGACGGATGAGGTAGGATCGAGTCTCCTATCACTCCGCCGACCGGTCAGGATCATGAATCGATAGTCAGGGAGTGCTTATGTTCCGTCTGTGCTGCATACCTTGGGTGTTGTTCCACCATCGGCGGATGCTAGCGTTATGTTTGATCATGAACCATAGACCGGGGACACAGGCAACTAGCAGAGCTACCAGGGCGATGATGGTCTCTGCTGACAGGCCCATTTGGAAAGAAGACAAGACCTGGCAGGATTGAGGAATGATTCTGGATCCGGTAGTCCTCTGATTTGAAGTCAAAACTGCCGTGGAAATGAGGAATGAGATGAGCGGTTATATACTCCTGGCCCAAGTACGGGTGAAAGAAGACGCCGTATGCTATGATCACTGCTGCGGGTAACAAGGATGTCAAGTTGAATGCGAGTGAGAGAGCGAGAAATAAGGACGCGAAGCGTGACCTAGCAAAGACAACAACGTGCAGACGAAAACGATTCAGGGATGCATCGGCGACAGCCCTTGGGTCTTGCCCAATTGAACATGTTGGATGACGCCACAGGTAACATCATGGATCAGTCCTAACAACTACCGTGGACCTATATAGGTACGTGCTTAAAATTGTGGCTGTGCCATCGAATTCATGCAGGACTGTGCAACTCCGGCCTACCATTATGCCAGATGCAATTCAGCCACATATTTCGGACCCACATCTCTTCAGGGGTGTGGGCGTTCTTGAGTAATCCAGCCCATGTAATCCGAGGCGATTCACCAAGCGAATTGAACCCAGATAATTCAACCATCAGTAACCACCGGAGAACCAAGAAATGAGGTCTCTGCAAGAACACGAAAGGCGACATCAGGACCTGGGTCAATAGTCGAAGCGAAAAGCACAGAGTCTACTAAGGTGGTAAGAGATCATTAACCGGTTTAACAGCACGATAGTCTATCGTAAACGAGTTCAGCAGGTGACCGCACGACATGTTTCCTCCGTGGACGGAATCCAGACCACGGGTACTATTTCCCACTACATCACGAGATATTATCGCTAACAGACTGCAGCTGCGAAGTCCAGTTATTCCGCAGAGCTCTAGCTAGGCTATGTGTATACCTTCATGAAATCGTCGTCAGTCGCACGGATTCGATGCAATTGCGACGGCTGAGAAGAATGCAATCAGTGTTCGAGATCATACGAAGGACTATGAGCCCTTCTGCAGATTCATGCGGGATTCCCGGTTATCATGGGGTGAAAGCAGTCTTCCTTTCTCCGATGATAGTACTTGCGCCTTCTATACTAGCATTGTGCATGCCATCGTATTGCTAAAATTCAACTACGAACGACACACGGAGCGCATCGTCTATCCCGCGCCAATCGCAGGCTCGCATATCCTTTATGCAACTTCCAAAAACAATTTTTAGAGTCTCTTCTTTCTGTGGGCACATCATAATCTCTCGGATGCCACTTTGCAGGATCCTCATCATGCGGACAGCTCAATGCATAGCGGCGGGGAATGGCTGCATTGATGCAGCAGAGGCATCATCTTACAACCAGGGACATGTCGAGTACCCGCAATTTGGAGAAAACTGAAGTGGTCGATTTACTACCCACTCAGAACTCACACTTCAAGAGCCGATGCATAGACGATCAAATCGTGCGGACACAAATGCACCTCTGAGGGGTATGAACGATTATCCTGGCGTCCTATTGAGGATGATGAAAATGTTGATTGTCATGTTGATCATGTGAGTCCTTTTTATCTGCCAGCAGTTTGGGCCAACTTTTATGGCGTATCCTTGTTGCTTTGACGAGGAATAATTTCATATCTACAGACTATCTACAGACAGCCCCTGGGTGTATTCAAGTGATCTGGTTGAGTATTTGATATTTTTCTCACTGAGCTAAGATATGCTGAAGGTCTCTGCTCACCATCTAATGGCACTTGACCGAGGAATGCGGTTGTGAGGTTGTTTGTTATAGCCGCACCGGAACAACCGACCCCGTCCGCTTGCCCTGACCCGGAGGTTCAGAAGGTTTGGCTTTTTTATCGGGTCTGGCAATACTGACACGCCGGTTCGAGCAGACATGTCCACTTGAACGCAAGGTGGAGAGGACGATGGGCATTCTTGAAGTCTCTACCTTAATCTCAGTTCGTGCAACATCGAGAACCATTCAACTCTTTATACTTTCACACAGCATCACAACTCCCTCTCCAGCTCAAAATCAAGCAAGAACCCCCAACGGATCCCACCGCGGCAACACCTTAGGCTTCTGCTCCAGGATCTCGCGGACCTCGCGCGAGACAAACTCCGCGTCCACCACCGCCTGGAAGGTATACTCGTCCATCCAGCGATCGGTCATGACGAACCAGCCCTTCTGGCCGGCGGCCTCGCCCCAGGAGTTCTCGACGCGCCAGCGCACGGGCGTGCCGTCGTCCTCGAGGTGCACCCCCGTGATGACCATGGCGTGGGTCATGGCCGACTCGCCGCTGGCCAGCCGCTCGGCCTTGCTCATCCCGAGGGAGACGTTGAAGGCGAGGGCGAGGTCGGTCAGGTCCGCGTCCATCACCCCGAGGGAGGTGTCGGAGGATTTGCCGACGTCGCAGCCGAAGAAGACGGGGTGGCCTGCTTTGAGCATGGCGATGACTGCATCTTTCAGGATCTGGTGGCTGTCAGCATGTTCCCCACACAACGAAGAACAGGAGGGGGCAGGGGGGGTAATACCTTCATCTCAACATTAACATACGTCAACGGCCGTCCCTCGAGCACATTCCCTAACCGCTCGACCGTCAACAACCGATTATACTCATTCCGGGGGTCGTTCACCAAACTAAACAACCTAGCAGGCGCCACAGCCACCCTCCCACCGACCTTCCTCACGCCCGTCTCGGTACTCACGCGCCCCGCAAACTCCCTCGGCGACACCCGCACCGTCCTCGCCTTCCCGGCAGCATCATAGAACTGCCACACGAACCGCTCGTCCGGACTGGGCGCCGGCCCCAGCAGAATCGTGACCAACGAGTGAATCTCCTTCAGGAACCGGGTCTTCGCCTCGGCCACGCCCTGTCCGCCACTTTCGCGCTTCAGCCTCCGCAGCACCAGCCCCTGCTCGCGCAGCTTGGCGGTAATCAACCAATTCATCCGGCTGCTGTTCATGGCATTGTAGTTGTCCGGGTACACGGTCGCCGGCACGAGCCCGTACTTCCGGACGAGGTTGACGACCATGTCCCACTGGCCGCCGTCGGTGACGGGGTCCTCGAGCAGCTTCTGCACGAGTCGGCCCGCCAGGTCCTCGGTCGTGGCCGTGGCGAGTATCTGCTCGAAGAACCAGTTGGCCTTTTCGAGCTTGTCCCAGTAGAAGAGGTAGGCTTGCGAGAGCTCGAATTCCCCGAGGTCGTATTCGTGCATGAGCGGGAGGCGGAAGATGTTGGTCGACGCGAACAGCCAGCAACGGCCTGAGGAGCGTTGGTTCGTGATCGGGGCGCCTTCGTTGGGGATTCGTAGGTTGAAGATGTGTTGCGCGGTGGTGTGCAGGGTTGTGCGGTTGGTGAGGAGTTGCGGATAGGGTTGGCTGGAGAGGGTGGTGATTGCGAGGCGGTTCTGTTATGTACATCTTAGTTTGGCTGGTTTTGGGGGTGGGTGCGGGAGAGTGGTGGGGGAGGGGGAGGACAGGGGAGGCCGTACCTTGGGATCGCGGAGGAGCGACTCGTTCCAGGATTTCAGGTTGGAGAGGGATAGCGTGGGGATACGCTCTGCCTCGGGTTCGAGGTCGTCATCTGGATATTGGTAGGGTGGTGCTGGATTTGGCACTGTTAAAGAGATGGTCTGTCATTGTAGGGTTAAGTTGGGGAAGGCGTACGAGATTGCGGGGATTCGTCATCGGCGTAGACGGGTGCAAAGGATGAGGCAGCCTTCTCGCTGGGAGTAGCAGCGGGCTTGGAGTACGTGGTTCCCATCCTGAGAAACTGGCTCACGATTACACTGGGGAAAATTGAATCAGGTTTACTCAGAGACAGGAAAATGGCGGCATGTTGCAATAAATACGGACAACCAACAACCGGGGATGGGAGATAAGCAGACTCCACAAGGACCCGGGGAGCAATCGAGCGGGGAACCTCCGTCGAGTGGGATAGCACCCTCCCCTTCCATTGGTCTGTTGCTAGCGACTTATCAGCTGCAGCTGCACATGCAGGGCCTGCGACGAGTCAGATGGCTGCACGCTGGGCTGATCCGGTCGCGTGAAGGTGTGATGATTAGTTATCCGTCGGGTACTCCACCGCTGTTGCATGCCAGGCACTGGGCCCTTCCTCTTGATGTGGTTGCAGAGAGTTCACACTCGATAATTGTACCAGTGACCTTCTTCAGATGTCATTGAAGAATTATACCAGTGACCCTCCTAAACAGCAAGTTGCAGTCTTACTGCTAAGACAAGTAACGATAGTGGCTTGTTGACAGCTAGACGCCCCCCCCCCCCCCCCGGCAGAAACGCCATCTCTCATGCGGGGAAATTCAGATATAAGGCTCCCTACTCTGCATTTAGTTTCCATAAGGGATAGAGATGTCTTGAACTTAAGAGAAAACCAAGGAGAAAGCAAAGGGTACTACTCCATGACAAGCTCACTTTTTCGATCGGCAACGTGCCATGGTTTGGCATCTGGCTTGCCTCGAGCGCCTGTAGGGCTGTTCTTACTGGCGGCCCCTGAACAGCCCAGCGGTTAGCAGGACGAACCACAATACAAAATAGCCACCTGAACCTTCTGAGGATATCGTTAAAACACACACATGTCAATGATGGTTGCTGCTGTGATCAACATTACCTCCTCTCCCTCCACCCTCTTCGTCTTCAGCCAGCCTCAATGCAATGACCACTCCCCGCCGGACGATTCTCGCCTCCCTCCTATTCATCCTCAACATCTGCTACTTCTGGCACAAACTGCCTACCAAGCCGAAACAGACACTTGAACACCGGCGATCGCAGCTCTGGCATCAGCTCCTCCCTCTACTAACCCAACATGCCCCCAACTGCCCACCACCCATCCTCCACGGCACAGCCGGCACCCACCGATTCGACCCCACCAACCCCCTCCCTCGCGCGAACTTCATCCTCAACAGCGAAGAGATCCTACTCCCAATGCAGACCGCACACGACGGCTTCATCCGCGCCATTCACACCACCAACTTCGAATCCGCATACCGCCACGGAACAAAGGGCATCGTCACCGCAGCCGGAGGATCCT